ATATTGGTAATGTTTTTCTGGATAATACTATTGTAGGCAGAAGCATGAAGAACAAATATCTTGGTCTGATTGTTGATGATCAGCTCAGGTTTGACAAACACATTGAGCATTTATGTAAAAAAATATCATCAGCATGCTTTGCTGTTAGAACTGTCAAGGCTGAGCTGGGTGAATCGGTTGCTAGACAGGTGTATTTTTCTTTAATCGAGTCACATCCTAGTTATGGCACTTGCTTCTGGGGTTGTTACTCATTAACATTGTTCAACATCATATTTGCCAAAAGCTTGCTATAAGGTCAGTATGTGGTCTTAATCCACGGCACTCTTGCAGACGATTCTTTATAAGTAGACGTATTTTAATCTTGATTTTGGAATCTGTGTGTCTCATGCAAATGAAGTACTCTTCTAATATTCATGCTCCCTCCTTAGTCAATACCAGAAGTTCACATTTTATTGATCTACCGATTCCCACATCTCCTCTAACTCAAAAATCTATTCGCTATAAGTGTAAAAAAATGTATCACCTACATCATAGCATAGGAATAATAAAGGAGAGTAGATATTTCAAGAGACAGGTCAAAAAATTACTTTTGGCTAAAGCTTTTTATTCTGTAGAGGAATACTTCTTATCTCCTCTGTCCAACGATTAATAATTTTGAGTTTTAATTTTAAGTTTTAATTTTAAATTTGTTTTTAATTTTAATGTTGAGCAGTCTTTCGATCTCTTGCTTTCTAGCTCCTAACCTTTCCCTTACCATTGCTTGACTGCAGTGCAATATGTATACATTTTATCTAGTTGTTTTTATTTCTGTTGTGTTGTATTTTTATATTTATGTACCTACTTTATTGATGATTTTAATTTTAACTATATTGTACCTATTAGAAGCAGAAGCTTTGTTATCAAGATATGTATCTTGAAACAATAAAGCATATTTTGATTTTGATATTACACACTCTTAACATACTCACTGGCGACGTGCTATTAGATCTATCTACATAGAAAAATTCTTTATCAGTAATTCTTAACCCAATCAGTCATATGAATAAAATGTAGCAAATGCTTTTACTCTCCCTTCATCTCTTTTTGCTGCATCTCGTGCTGCATTAAAGCTGAATATGTTTATTTCACAAAACTTAAGTAGAAGCATTTGCTCCTGTTTTATTCATATGAGCCTGTCTCGATATGATAAAAAATTTTGAAAAAATTTGGTAGTATTTGTTTTAGCATTGTCGGTTTCTAAAAATGACCAGGTTTCATCCTTCAGTTAGTCGCACATTTTCACAATTCCTATTTTTGTTATAGGAGGATAAAAAGATTGGTCTACTTTTAGGATTTCACTTTTTAAAATAAAGATGGGGATGACACTTATTTCACATTCAGTTGCATCATGATCAGACAGATTTAGATTAAAAACATTTATTTTACATTCACACACTTTCAAAATTTACAAAGACATTATCAAGACGATGGTCTTTACGTGTATTTGTGAAGACTTTTTCACAATAATCATATGAGTCAGTGAGATCTAAGAATTTTTGTTCAAGGTTATAGTCCCTGTCAAAATGTATGTTGAAATCGCCATTCAACACGACATATTTCTTTAGACTAAGACTCATATCCAAAATACTATCTGTAACATTCAAGAATATATTAAAGTCTCCATTGGGTGGTCAGTGAACAGTTATTAATGTTAGGTCGAGTATTAGGTTCTGCTACTAACAGGTTTGTAATTTCATCATGTGTCTTCATTTCCCATAGGGATTATACATGATTTTGACTTTGTAATCTAAGATTTTGAGATCTTCTGACTCCTCCTGTATCATGCAGTGCTTCGTGAAACACAGGACATCATATTTTGTTCTTGATTTTATTGTGGCTTCTATTTCTCCAATTTTGTTTCTGATTGCGCATACATGAGCATTAAATATGGAGATTTGTGTTTTGTAGGTACCTATAGGTTTTGGTTTTGTTTTCGTTTTTTATATTCTTTTGTGATTTTACAAGAAAAAATCACCTGATTCTTTTAGGAATTCTGTGTGTTTGGTGAAATTGGACCATTTAATTCCTACAGAGTTTGGGCAAAAGTTGGTGTCGTAGAGTTCATCTTTTTTTTGCAAGAGGAACTATAACAACAAAGCATTTTTGCTTTTTTGGATCGCTAGGTAGTTCTTTTACTGCAATATTTTCATTGGTAAAGCCTGAATAAGATTATATAAGCGGTAATTTCTTCTTAAGTTTTCTCTTAAGTTCTTCTATCGCATCCCGAAAATCCATTTTTCTCATTTTCTGGTGTAACTTCTGCTTGTCCCAGTCGTTTTCTGGAAGTACGCCTTTTGTGCCTCTGGTAGGAAAAGTTTTGTTTTTCTTCTTTACCCTCTTCATTTTGTGGCATTGAAGAATCAGAAAATATGGCCAGATTTGTTTGTCGTATTTAAGCAATGGCGGTTTCTGAATAATATTTCCGTTGTCTCCTTCATAGTATCCAGAGGGTCTGAGGGGACAATCCTTCTGGTGTGGCTTCTGTGTTTCCATTTGTTTTTGTTTTTTGGTGGTGGTGGATGCTGAGGGCTGTGGTCGAGGTGATCTGGGTATATTCACGGGGTTTATATGACCCAGTTCAGTTCTATGGTTTTTGTTAGCTTTCTGATTAGTCTTATATTCTAACAGTTATAGAGATTGCTTAGTTGCTTCTTTGATGTCATCCAGCTGCTGTTTCAGTTGGAGTACTTCGGAGTCCTGTCTAGAGACATAATCTTTCTCGCTGCATTTTCCATGTTTTGTTTTATTTGTTGTTCTAGATCTTGATTAATTTTCTCCAATTCTGACCTCTTCTTTTTTTCTTTGTTTTTGAGTTAACGTTACGGCTTTAAGAGATCAGGAAAGCCGAGAGGAAAGCTTTCTTGTTCTATTGACATGTTAAAAAGGTGGACTAGCGGTCTTGCCAACATCTCAGCACATCCCTTATAGATAAATACTGGTATTTCATCTGGACCTGTAGGTTTTTTAGGTTTGAGTTTTCTATACTATTGATGACATCAAGTTCAGTTATCTTCCTAAAACAGAAATTACCCCATTCCATATCTTCTAAGCGGTAGTTAGATGATGCAAAATATTCCGCAAATGAGTTTGCAATGCTTACAGAATTATTATATTTATTACCATTGAGTATCATTTCCACCAGGATTCCGCCATTTTCTGTTTTATTTCTGAAGAATGCCCAGAAACTGTTTGGATCTGTCATGAGCTTGCTTTCAATTGATGTTTCATATGCATTGTATTCAAATTTTGTTTGTTTCTCAATTTTTACTCTTAAATGTCAGATATTCTGCACTCGCTGGGTTATGTGACCTGTTTCTTAACAGTTAAGTAAGAACGATGAAGCCCATTTTTCCTCCTAATTTTACATACGAGGTCGATGGAGAACTAGGAAGGAAACTAAGCTCCACCATTTAAATTAATTTTGATCTTTGGTATAGAGTTATCTAAGAATCTGTACATACTTTCATAAAAAAAAATTCAAAATCGTTCCCACATACTGACATGTCAGTAACAAGGACCAATTACGATCCGTAATAAACTGATGAAGAAGTAAGAAGTTACCTGTATAGTATAGTATACAGTAGTATAGTATACAATACTATAAATTTGTCTAATATTACTTGATACATAATCAAATTTTAAGTTAAAAATGAATCTACAATATGTATTTTGGACATACTGTAGTCTATTTTTAATAAATGCATCTAAAAATGCTTAATACACAATACAGGGTGTTTCACGAACATCGAAACACAGGGATTTTAGGGTATTTTGAGGTCGATTTGAAAAAAAAAACAAAACGCTCGGAGACGACATTTTTGTATTCAAGGGGTGAACTTTTTGACCCCTTTGGTATTTCGCTAGGGTGGGGTGACTTTCGTGTCTCTCTTTTAGATAGGGAAGATGGGTCGAGCGATACCTTGTTTTAAAGGTATTTTCATTCTCGTCACAACTGGGTATTTTTTTTCGAAAATCGAATGATTAGTTCTCAAGATATTCAGTGTCAAACTTGCCATGGGCTAAATAAGAAACAATCTTCTGGCCCTGTTATTCTCAAATTAACACTTTCCTGACTTTCCTCTTAGACAAGTCAATTTTAATTTTTTCAGAAGCACACAAAAAAAGAAAATTGACGTGTCCGAAAGAAAAGTCAGGAAAGTGTTAATTTGAGAATAACAGGGCCAAAAAATTGATTCTCAATTTTCAGATTATACTCATTAGAAAACCGAAATATAGCCTCCAAATTCTGGTTCTGTAGCCGTTCAGCCTGTTGAGGATCCGAATGATCGAATTCCAATAACAACTGAGCATTGTCAGCTTGGATATGCGAATGCACATGTTTTTACAAAGAAAAGGACCCCCCTTTTTGAAAACTTTGAATAACCATAAAAAAAATTCTATCATAGCTAGGAAGCTGAGATTTTCAGCGATTCTTATCATAGTAGAGAACCCTGCAAAATTTCAACTCATTTGGACTTATATAGTTCCTGAGAAAAAATCGTGTTGAGGAATTGGGGATGAATTGTTGAATTTTTGACTTTTTTTGAGGTCATTTTTTCATATATTTCGGCTTCAAGTCTCAAAATAATTTAGTGTTTGGAGTTTGATGGGTCCCAAATGATCATTTTAACATAAAATCTCAACATAAAAGATTTGAAGTTTCATTACTTGACTTTCATTAATATTTCTGTGGTTGGTACATATTTCTGAAAATTACATTAAAAATTTGGGATACAAATTGCAAGCCGGTACAAATTTATAGCAGCAGTAAACTTGGCAAAATTCAAACTTGCATACGCGAATGTTTGAAAAATAAATCTGGAACTATTTGCTGCAAAAATTAAAAAATCTTTGGAGAAAGATTCATATCCTTCATAAAAATTCCTTCAAGTTTTCTGTAAAATACACAGTTTTTATATCTGCCAAAAAAAAAAAATTCACAACTCAAATCCATTTTTCAGTTTTATGAATGACACAGCCTACAAAGAAATCCTGGAAAGCTCCGTCAACTTCAACACTAGACTATGCATCGAACGCAGACTCAGATTACCCTTCATCGACACCCAAACTGGCGTCGCCCAAAACCATTGCTCCTTGTTCATGCACAAACGCCAACGGATGCCCGGTTTGAACCCTGGCCAAATCTACACCTACCCCAGACAGAGATGGCGCAAGAAACGACGCCAATATCTCAGCATGAACACCAGGGCATTTGGCAGACATGCCGATTTGCTGGACGGAGAAAGCGATATACACAGTATAAGTCAAATAGAGAATCCCGCCCTGCAAGACACTGATAGCAAAGATAGCCAGTTGCTTTCTGGAGATGTTTCCAAGGAATGGTTCTATGATGAGCAAGATATATTGGAAATGGAAAACTTTGATGAACCTGATCCTGATTCTGATGTTGACTATGAGGAATCTTATACCAAGAGGAAACGTGGTAGAAAAGCTTCTGGAAGGGTATGTGTGATAATATTTGAATTTCAGCAAACAAAATTGTTTTTGTCAATTCAGGGACGCTCTGGTACTGATTCTCCTAGTACTCCTGGAAGAAAACGCGGAGCGGGAAGGGGCAGAGGTAAAAAGGCAGGGCCTGGGGGTCACAATTACGAACCTACACCTGGAGATCCTGATAAACCTTTTGCGTGTGAACGTAAGTTACTAATTTTTGTGTGGACTAATACATTATAAGAATTTGAATCCAGGAATACAAAAACTAGACAAAATGCGCATGTCATTGATCAAAAATCCATTCTTATATTTTATTCGTGTTGGAATTATGTAAGATTTTTAAAACATTTTATTCTTCAATTCCAAATGTAACATGCAAAGATTTTGGATGCTTTTTCTTTTGGAAATTTATTAGGAAAGTTTGAACTGAATATTTTTTAGCCAATTTAGTTCAAGTTTCACTAATAATTCGTATATTAAAAGTTGGGGTAAAAAAAAAAAATGACAATCTTCTGTATACTAAAGCTTCTGCTTGGTGTCTCTAAAAATTGTTTTGTGCATTTGGAATTTATTTATTTTTGTTGATATATTGTTGATAATTTAAGTTATTCAATGTAAATCCCATCAGTATATCAGCAAATTAAATAAAAACATGGGTGGCATTTTTTTTTTTTTTTAGTTTTAGACTGCTGGTGATAACCTAGCATTCGGTGAATGGTATTTATTTTTTTGATGCTTTTCTTTGCTTCCTTACTACTTATATGTACTAACTCCATCATACATAAAATTATATAATATAAACCTCGATATAAACAAAAGTTGACCAAAAAAAAGGCTGTACACAGAAGATTATCATTTCCTTTTTTTAGGAGGTGTGTTCCTTTGTGATTGTTGCAGCAAAAATTGTTATTAATCATTTTGTCATTTTAACAACCCATCATTTGACTGCACCCCATTTGCAAGCGCACCACCCATCAAAAAAAAAAAAAAAAAAAAACTGGCCTCATTTCTTTCAGTATGCGGTGCCCGTTATAAAACACGTCCAGGATTGACCTACCATTACGGTCACTCTCATAGAGAAGGTGCCAGTGATGAAAACTCGCGCGATAGTGCTGCCGCCTCACCTATGAACGCTGGCGCTACAAACAGTCCCGGGGGCGGTGGATCGGCTTCACCTTATCCGGGTGGGCCGCCCACCGGACCTAACGGTGGTCCTAGCACCGTTCCGTTGGGTGGACAGGTGGAAGGAGCTGCGCCACCGCAAACTCAAGCAGGTGGTGGAATCGGACCGAATCAAGGACAGGTCTTCCATGACAGCTATGTATCGTTCTTGAGCCAATCACCCGGTACATGCCTTTTTTTTTGTTTTTATTTATTTTATTAACTCTTTTTTTTTTGTAAATCACGAATAGATTTTTGGCAAGCAAGCGTTTTTGGCATAGTGGTAGTTTAGAATGGTTTCGGTTAGTTGAGTTTGTGATTCAAATGCACAACTAATATCAGCAGAAGCTTTAACCTATATTATATGTATTCATAATTTTGAAAATCTTCAGTATAATTTTTAAGAGTCAGTGGTTGATTATTGAAGAATAAAATGTTGTAAGGTGCTTTTCTTGCCTAAAATCTATTTTTCAAACTTGTTTCTCGCATGCATGTAGTAGAAATTTAGTACGCCCACATGTTCTCTTTAATTTTTTTTTGTTGCAATTCTTTTGTTGGTTAGACTTTTTTTGTTTTGGGTTTTTAGCAATTTTGATGAGTAGAGCTTTAGATTTTTCTTTACTTTATGCTGTTTTGCTGGAAAAAAAGCACTCCTATATGTATTCACAAAAAAATTGAAATGAGGATGAAATTTGAACTTTAAGGGTAATTTGTTTCATAAGTAAATTTCTAGAAAATAGATGTTTCAACCTGCAATTTTTCAAATCCTAAGGTTTCATAATTGTGAGCGTGAAAAATAGATATTTAATTATTTCAGCCTCACGTGCATTGTAAATCTGAAAATAAGATTATTATCGTAAGACTTTGGAGCTTGATATATACATTCTCACTATGCCTTGATCGATTTGCCAACCTTTGAATAATGGAAATGATGGGTTTTGTCTGTACAATTTGTTTTCAAACATAAAACCACAAATCAGTAAAACAGTTTGTTGAATCGGAAGTCTTTGTATGTGGATCCTGGGTTTTTGTGGTCTGGCAAAGTTCCCAGGGCCGACATTTGTCCTAAAAATGTATGTAATGTAATTTGTGTACTAAAAATTTACTAAAACCCATTGTATTAACCCAAACAAGAGGCCACAGCCCAGGAAACCACTTTTTCATCAGTTTTCTGATAGACTCCAGAACCCCGATTCAATCAGAATCAATCCAGAAGTTTTTCCTGGGATTCTGGATAATGAAATTGCCAGTTTTCGTTGCCGATTTTTAAATGTTGTTCCTGGATTTTTTCCACAAAAACTTCCTGAATATTTGACTCAATTTCGGTTGCCTTTTCCTTATCCAAAACCCACATATTTATAAAATCTTTGCATAAAACTTCCTGGTTTTGTTCCAGCAATAATTCCAGAATTTTTCAGGCAAATTGCTGCATAGAAAAATGTGTAATTTCTGGAAGGGTCTTGCAAAAATTTAAATTTTTTGGTTTTCCTAAAGGCCTAAAGGCAATCATTAATCAAATGAAATCAATCTTTGACAAAAGGAAAAATAAGGTGCAGTGAATTGTAAGATCAGGTGTTCTGATTGCCATAAGAAAAAAACAAATTATTACAGTAAAACCCTTAAAAAATAGTATTAAGCACAGTGAGTATTTGGCTTGATCAGAGTATGAAAAATCAATCACTTTTCATCCACATTTTTACAACAAAACAATGCATTATCAAAAGTGCCCCCTCAATAATGTAAACAAATTGATTTATTTTTTACACAAGTCAATATTATTTTTATTTACTTATGTGTTTGTGTTCATTTTATTATTTTCCAATGATTTTAATCTTCCAATTTAAGACTGAGAGCCGGTTTCTCAATAGCAAGTCACCCTTGGGTTAAGCATAACTCCAGGGTACACATTGCAACTGGACACGTTTACCCTGGAGTTAAAACCAACCCAGAGGTGACTCGCTATTGACAAACCGACCCTGAGCCCCAGAGTAGTACATCATGGAATCCTCGTTTGTTGGTTCAATGAAATACTCTAGGGCTCCAGGGCTTCACTGTAACAAAAAGCCTGCTGAGTTTCCACCATGCACAAAAAGTTTGATGTATTGAAAAAAAAAAAAGATTTGTTTTGAAATATACTAACAATTTGAAATAATTATTAAAAAAAGGCAGAGTATTCGGGTGATTACAAACAAAATTATTAGAATTTTTAAACATATTCACACACATTATTTACTTTTAATGTTATTTTTTTTATCATTTATTTATATTTTATTATTTAAGACAATTTTAAATACACAGTCTGATAAAGACACAGACATTCAAAGAATAGGGCAAATACGAATAAATAAAATTCAGAAGGATGTGTAATTTCTTAGACAAGGAAATTTAGTTTTAAACAAATACTTTTATATTTTTTGGCTCGACCTCCGCGTCAACGACAGCGTAGTCCAGGGAAAAAACGATTTTCTCAAGTAGAAATACTAACATTTCCTCTCTGGATTTCAGGAATAAACCAAGGTAAAAATTTCCATTATTTGCTTGCTTTTTCCTGGGAAACAAATATAGGTTAGGTTGAAGAGTAAGCATAAGCATGTGTGATAACTCTGGGGACCCATTAGGGCCTCCGGATCCTGGCATTAATTGAAATAATATTCATAATTCCCCACATAATTCTGAACAAATTAAAAATAAGATTATACATAAATATAAGTCACTCTATAGGTCCATTCCAGGTGGTAGTACAAGGTCCATCCAGGAAAAATGTGGATCAATTACACCCTATGGCAATTGCCAAATTTATGTATGATTTAAAACTAGAAAATGTAAGTGGTCTCATGAAAAAAGGAAAGAATAAAATTATTATTGAGTTTAAAACCCCAGAATCTGCCAATAATCTACTACAGAATAAAGAATTACTTAGTAAGGACTACATCGTTTATATTTCAGAGTATTTAATTTAGTAACGTGTAAAGGTATAGTGAGGGGAATATTGAACGAAACTGATACGAAAGACATTATTAAAAATTCCGAAAGCTCATCAGAAATATTGGAAGTTAAAAGATTCAACCGAAGAATCAGGAATGACAACAACGGAGTTGAATATGCAAGCATGTGCTGGTAAACTTATGGAAGGCATTATCAAAAATAGAATGGAATGGATGATTGAAAAAAATCAAAAATTTCTAGCATCACAAATAGGATTTAGGAGGGGAAAAGGATGTATGGAATGTCTAGCCTATTTAACTCTTAACTTACAAAGGAATTTTCAGCAACTAATCCTTGTGTCCCCTTCAAATATCTGAGTATATTTTTTAAGTGATTCTAAGCTGTATCAGAAACTCTGTCTTGAAATCTGCTCAAATAATTCAACGCATAACAAATATCAGGTCTAGAACCCAACATAAGGTACATGAGACACCTTATCAATTCTCGAAATGGCTTCTCTGTTAGATTATCAGGTTCTTCACAAATGTCAACATGTAATTTTGGTTCTATTGGGATGGCTGATTTTTTGCAGTGTTGCATTTCAAATTTTTTTAATAAACCCCTTATGTAAGTTTCTTGATTTATTTTCAAAACTCCCTTATCTCTGTCATACTTGATTTCCAATCCCAAAAAGTTCTTCAATTCCCCTTTAACTACATTTTAAACTTGTCATTAATTTTGATTTTATTTGATTTGATAAATTTATGTCTTTACCAGAAATAATAATATCATCCACGTATATTAACAAATAAGCCACCTCAGAAGTATTATTCATAAAATACAAACAGTAATCGTTCTCATATCTTTCAAAGCCTAATGCCAACAAATATGAATTTATTTTGTCATTCCAACATTTACTTGACTGTCTTAAACCGTATAATGATTTTTTCAGTTTTAGCACTTTATTCTTTCACACTCTACTCCTTCAGGAGGATAATTATAAATATTTTCATTTATAATTCTATTTAAAAACGCGGTTTTCACGTCGAGTTGATAAAAATAGAATTTAAACTGGTTTCCAATTATTAATAAAAGTCTAATAGTAGACATCTTAGCAACTGGAGAATAGATATTCTCATAATCTACATTTTTATCTTGTAAGAAACCCCTAACTACCAACTTAGCTTTATATCTATTTTTCTCATTTTCCTCCAAATTCTTGTAAGAAAAAACCCTTGTGTCAATTATATTTTCATTTCTAGGAATTTCAACTATTTGCCATGTCTCATTCTCATAAATTGAATTTAGTTCCCTGTCTATTGCATTTAACAATAATTTACTATCAGATCTATTACCTATTCCATAAAAATTTCTAGGAACATCATCTACGAAAGATGTTGCATCAAATGCCATATAAAGTTCAAAATCATCATATTTAGCTGGTATTTTAATAGTTCATTTACCTTCTGTATGTCTTATATTTTCTTCATTTCTATTTCTTAAACTTTCATTCTGACTGTTGTTCATTTCTATTTCACTACCTACTTGAACTAACCTATCTTTAAAATAAAAAATATTCTCATTAAATTCTACATTTCTTGAAATTATATTTTTTTCCTTTTTTTATGTTCACTAATCTATACCCAGTTGGAGCATAATCTACTATAACACATTTTTCAGCTTAAGATTCAAATTTATCCCGAAATTGCTTTTGTATATGGCTATATGCAACACAACCAAAAATTCTAAAATTACTGATGTCTGGTTTTGAATTATACCAAATTTCTGCGGGAGTAACATTTAAATTTGAAGAAATTCCTCTGTTCATAACATAATTTAGTATTCTCTCTCTCTCTCTTCCAATATTGTTTTACTACGCTCCACCAAGCTTCTGTTCTTAAGTTCAGCCTTCCCGTTTTGTTGAGGCGAATATGGTACTGTATAATGAATAATTATTCCCTTTTCATGACATAATTTAGTAATATCTTCAGAAATGTATTCCCCACCATTATCACATCTCAATTTATGAATTTTGCAAGTAAATTTAGCTTCCACCATTTGTAAATACTCAACAAACCTATCATACGTTTCAGATTTAGTTTTTGAAATAAATACATTTGAAAAATCATCTATAAATATTAGAAAATATCTACCACCATCTATAGCTACAGGAGTAATAAGGTCCACATAAATCTGAACGTACAATTTCAAGAATTCTAGTACTTTTTGTATGAGTACCAAAAGGAGTTCTCGTAATTTTTCCTTTGATACAAGGCTCACAAAAGCTTACGTCATGAATTTTCAAATTTTCAGCAATCCCTTTAACCATATCAGTCCTAATAATTTGTTTTAAACCGCTAAAACCTATATGGGCATATCTCTTGTGCCATTTTATATATTCACTATCATAACTTTCAACATTGAGGCATCCAGGTGAAGCGAGTTCAAATATTATCTCATATAGATTATCCCTATTACCGATCCCTAAAATCTCATCTCTACTATCTATTAATTTAACCTGCCCTTTTTCAAACAATACTTTGATATTCGAAATTTCTAATTTTTTGACAGAAAGTAGTTTTTTTCTTAGCTCAGGTATGTAGAATACATTTTGAATAGTACATTTTATCCTCTTATTTTGAACATGACTATAAACCTCAATATTTCCAACAACCACAGCCAACAAGAAACTTGAATCTTTTGCTATTGCAACTTTAATTGGATTTTCTAACATGCATAAATTTGAAAAATATTCTTCCTTGTTGACCATGTGATCAGTACAGCCCCTGCCTTGATTTCTTCTGTACTGTCCTCTAAAAACCACTATTGTTACCTCTCATGAAACTTCCCGATTTCCTCTAAACGAGCCACCTCGGACTTCCTCGAAACCATCCTCTGTATCTGCCTCTATCAGCATATTCACGATTTGTTCCTTGACCCAGGATTTGACCTTCATTTTCAGGACATTCCCTTTTGTAATGCCCCATTTTTCCATATTGAAAACAGCTACGTTGTAACATGAAAGCTGTTGGAGTAGCCTTCTCATTTTCTTTTATATTCTGTCTCTCACTTTGTAAACGTACCTGTCTTTTTTCATTTTCTGCAAGGAATTTATTTTTTACAATTACAATACCTGGTAAATTTTCTACCACTTTAACGAATGTATTATATGAACTAGGTAAACTTAAAAGAAAATTACATATTAAATCTTCATCTGTAATTTTCATGTTTGCTAATTTTAACTGTCTTACTATACTATCAAATTCCTCAATAAACTTGACTGGACATCCATTTTCTTTCAGGTTCATGCTCAGTAGTTTCCTTTTCAAAAACAACTGTCCTGGTAATCCCTTCTTTTTGTATTTATTTCCCAGTACTTTCCACATTTGGTAGGCAGTTTTACATACACATTAACTTTCTATTTCTGAATCTTATATGCACTGAACCAAAAGTGATTTCGCTTTGTTATCTTTTTTCTTCGCTGCGTTATGTTCTAGGGCTACCTCATTTTCTACAAAAGCTAATGCATCATATTTTGCTAATATTAATTCAAGCCTAAATTTCCACGTGTGATAATTATTATCTCCATTCAATGGTTCTATACTTATTTTTTTCTCCATTTTACAATATTTCTTCTGTAGGCACCTTTTAAAAACTTGTGAATCGGCTTTTTTTTAAATTTATTTATGCTCTACCGCATATAGACACCATTCCCCGTATTCTGGGCCCATAACTTCATGTAATATTTTAAGGAAAACCACTGAAACTCCAATAGTTCTCAATAATTTATTTATTTAATTTTTAGGATTGAATTGAAAACTTTTACTGAAAAGTCAAACTACTAACATTTTTTTCTGGTGTCGCAATCTAGGTAATATATGCCTATATAAACCGAACAATTACAAAACTATAGAATATATGATTATATGATTTTAGCTCGGATTTTAGTGTATCATAACACGGAAATCTTAACAAACACTATTTAAGATCCCTTACCCCATCCTGTTGGATGTCAAGGAATATATTTTGGAGTTTAAGAGAAAACATAAGCGAATTTGGAAGGAATATTGGAAGAACTCATCAGAAAACAAAGGCATCAAGTACAAACAATATGTAGAATCGTTTCCGGATGAACCCTGGTTCAAAAATCTGGAATATTTGGACAGAAGACATATAACGACAATCATCAGAATGAGAACGAGTCACTGCCTAACTCCTGTACACCTTCATAGACTGGGGAGGTGGGATCATTAGTTTTTGAATGCCAAAACCTGCAACCTAACCTATGTGATATATTCATACAAAATGGGGTCCAAAACCCAATTTCAATTGACTCAGTGATATTCATTCCTAAGCTAAGAACAAAAAAACTAATTGTGGACTTTCTTAGAGCAAATAATATTGAATTGTAGCGACCTGAAATCCGAAAATCTTTCTATGTCAACTCCCCTTAGAATATGTGAATCTGTATCATAATATGTGATGTCTTACTAACATTTGCGTATGGGAAGGATAGAAAGGAAAGACAAATCAAACAGTAGAGAGAGAATTAAGACAATCGAAAAAGAAACAAATATGTGACTCCTACATAGCTTGCTGGAAAGGGCAGTTCTGAGCCGGTCATCCCTGGACAGCGCCACTAGATACCTTAGGGGTGAAGCCAAAACAAAGTCAAAAAAAAATATTATTTTTTTATATAAACTGGCGTTTTTCCTTGTCTAAGTTTTCATAATAAAAACCTTCTAATGTGAAAAAGTGTGTTGAAAAATCAACCCCCTCTTCCTAAATTCATTTTTAAAATAACAAATTTTTTCTCCATATAGGTCCTCCAGGTCGTCGTGGTCCAGGTCGTCAGCCGGCAATGCCTCCTCAACTACCTCCTGCAGGTGGTCCGTTACCCATGCCGCCTCAAATGGGCCCAATGCAACAAATGCCGGGACCTAGTAATCAAGCTCCTCCAACATTGCCGCCAAATTTACCTCCACAACTACCAATGAACAATATGGGGGACGATCCGCCTATGCCTATACTCAAACCGGAAAAAGTAATCGAAATGCCTTTGATGCCGCCTCAAGAACATCATATGAACATGATGGTAGGCGGGCCTCCTCCTCCGATGGTTGGCCCTCCAATGATGATGGCTGAAAGAAAAGTACCACCCAGTCCGTATTGCGATTTTTGCTTAGGCGATACCACTCAGAACAAGAAAACCGGTGGGATCGAGGAGTTGGTGTCTTGTCACGATTGTGGCAGATCAGGTAAGGGTAGTAGTAGTAGTTCGTTACAGGGTAATTATGCTCCGCCTGAGATGCCTTCCGGCATGTATTTGGATACTAGTGTTGTGCCTCCTGTGCCTGAAAAGGCCAAAAGGGGCAGGAAAAAGAAAGTTGTGCCCGTTTAATTTTTTTGCATTTTGTTATATTGTTTTTGTTGGTTGAGATTGCTTTACATCTGAAGTAAAGGGTTTACAGGGTTGCCATATTCAAATTTATAAACAAATTGCTTCAACAAGTACTTTGTTCATAAATAAAATTTATGAAATGTACTTCCGTAGTACTTTGATTTAATAGACAACTCAATTTTAGAACAAAATCATTGCAAACTGATCAAAATATCCAATTGAAACTGCAAAACATATGTAAAGTGGTCTCAATAACAAAAATTTTAGGCAATTAATTATTATTGAATTCCCCTTGAAGCTGCCAATTCTGACATTGTTGTACAAAAAAAAATCATTAGGAATTATTATATTATTGTGTTTTTATTATTCACCCTAACATTTTATTTTATGGTTTTCTATTATGCACTGTGATAAGGTTTATATTATTGTAGAACGATTTTCGGAGATTCAAAATTATTTATGCTTATTGTTTTATTTTAAATTTTATTTAACGTAATATATATATATATATAGTTATATGGGTTTTATATTGTTATGTTAGTTCAAAGTTATGGTGACGGTCTCGTTTTTGAAGCGAACGTTTTGGGCCCATCCTAAATTTGATCCACCAGATTTTGGGTTTTTACTAAGTTCCTCTTAGTTAAGAAAAATGCAGCATTTTCTCGGATTATCTATTAATTTTTAAGAATTTGAGCCAGTACTAGACGTAATTGGTTAGGTTAGTGAATGAGTTTCTGGAAAAATGTTTTTTTTTCTAGAAAAGTTTTTATAATTAATTGCTATGGTGATTTTTGAAATTTGAATCAATTATTGAATTGAAATTGATTATACAAAAGATTGGTTTTGTGAAATTTAAATTTCAAAATTCACTATAATAGGGTATACTAGAAAAATATACATATTATTATTAAATTAATTTTAGATTTATTCACAAATATTCTAGAATATCTAGTTAATACATATATAATTATCATATTTATTGTGCTTTTGCTATTATACGTAATTAATACATAAGTTTAATTTTCGAGGACTGAAAGAAAAAATAACCAAAAATAACTCATTTTAGGAGAAATGTCTTCCTAAATGTATCAATTTATGTTGAAGTGTTCTCATATCTATTTCTCCTCATTTTTCTGTTATTCGAGAATTTATTGTAAATAGTCACTCACAAATTCCTTACTCGAATATTAAGGTTTAAGTAAGTTTTGGTAATAATTTTCAATGTAAATATTCACATTTTGGGTGTTTATAGAAAAAAAGAACAGTTATTTTCCAAGAAATTATGGCGCGGAAATATAAATGGATCTAATTAAAATTATGTGCAATAATTGAATAAATTTTTTAACATTTAAGTTGATGACGTGTTTTCTTCGGTGCCGAAGCCACGTGGTGCACTTCAATGTATATGTCAATTTTTTACTTGAAAAAATGTAAAACATTGGTGTAACTTTGAATTTTGTTTGATGGAAAAAATTAACATATCTTGGAAAGTACCTGTTCTTCGGCACCCAGACTTTCCCCCATACTTTCCTTTACATTATTTCAGTAAATGGTTGAAGGTAGAATTTAATTTGGCTTTAACTAGACACCACTAAACGAAAAAGTATACAATAAAGTGCCTTACTAGGCCCAGAAAGGTGTTTAGGAAAAATTTTAATAATAGAGACCTTCACAGCTCTATCACAGCTGTTGTTTAAATAATAATAATAACTTATCCTATTTCAACAAATTTGTGCGTAGAATCTGAAATTCAATTCTACACACAAATTTTACGTTTTGCTCAGAATCATAACAGGCATGATGATACTTTCACTCAAACGCAAAATCCATCTGTATTTTGTGACATTTGACACAAGAATCAGTTAAGCTCAGGCGGTCGTGTAATGTAGATTTCAAATACTACAATAAGCTTCTTACTCTCCTATTCTAGAATAGAAGAATTAATTAATAGAATTCGTTTCAACCATTGTAGATCTTGTACTACAAAAATCCCAATTTTTTCCAGTTTTCCATAATCAGTAAGTAATATCAGCTTGCATGCACTAAAACCTTAAGCCTTATAAGGTTCTCAAACGAAAAACAATTATTTTCAGGCCATCCCACGTGCTTGCAATTCACAGACAACATGAAAATATCCGTCAAAAAATACAGGTGGCAGTGTATCGAATGCAAATGTTGCTCAGTTTGCGGGAATTCTGATAACGATGTAAGTAACTACTAAGTGAAAATTTGTGGATAACACTAATAATTTTATTCTTTTCAGGATCAATTATTGTTTTGCGACGATTGCGATCGCGGTTATCACATGTACTGTTTAGCTCCGCCACTAGAAAACCCTCCAGAAGGTTCTTGGTCCTGCAAGTTGTGCGTCGAACAATTTCACATGCACTAGATTTTCATTTATGCCTTTTTCCGTGCTTTCATTTTCTAGAATGTATTATAATTAGTTTAGGGTAGGTACTTAAAAACTGTACAGGTAAATGATAGGAGAAAATGTTCCATATTTTTAATTAACTTATAAGTATTAATCACAGAAAGTACTTACAATAATTGATATTTTTTACAGTAATTTTATTAATTTGTGTTTATGTAAACATTGCCATTATCAATTTGAGGCACTAAAAAAAAAGCAAGCTTGAGTTATATCCCGTGAGAACTCCAATTCAGCATTTATATTGTTCTATTCAGCTTATTTTTAATATTATAAAAGGAGTAATTTCTAGATTTAAGTCAGTTCTATTGTATTAGTCAAATAAAGTTTTTTAAAAACGCTCTCTCGTGTACACCCCTCGTAAGTGGCGCAGTCGGTAGGATTTTGACGGAGACTTCGGTAAAAAACAGTCCGGTTCAGTCGAAAATTTGGATTTTGCGGGCCGTAAAAAACCATCGTCTTTTCGTGCTAACGATTTACCGTCAAATCGAAATATACGTTCGTGGTATACGAAAGACTTTTGACAATCAGTGAACTCGCGACCAGGGATCGGAACAAAAATCGTCCATTAATCCTATTGGTGCGGATAGCGGAACTACATCGTCCAAAATCCATAGAAGATAAATTCATGTACTTCAAGATCAATCTGATATTGCTGTAAGTGATCCCATTATTCTTTTCCTTTTATTTTTATATTTTTTGATTTTATTGGTATATATTTGTTCGATCTGGAAGGTGATAACGAGCTTGACAATCTTATAAACATTTTTAACAATAATTTTCAACCTAATAATCAGATTCAAAATCTTGTTAATATGGCCAACCCAAATTATCAGCTTATTAGATACCAAGCCGATAATATTCCAAATTTTGATGGTAACACCAAAACACTTGGCAGATTTTTAACATCATGTGAACATTTTCTACAGAATCACCAAAATCGACAAAATGCCGCAGATCCAATAAACATCTGTTTGTTCGATACGGTAATTTGTAAATTGACAGGTAGAGCTGCCGAATTAATTGCTTCTCGCACGGAACTCGATACCTGGCAGAAAATTAAAGATTCGTTAATTGTCACATTTTCTGACCAAAGAACTGAAGATTGTCTTGTCCAAGATATCATTAATATGAAACCAGATAAGAACGAATCCTTACATTCTTTTGGATTAAAATTGCAAGATTCTAGAAGTTTGTTATTTGCTAAAATTAATAGCTCAAACGATCCTAATAATATGAAAATTCTAAAAATCGAACAATTTGATAATCTGTGTCTAAAAACTTTTATTAACAACTTAAATTACCATATGCAGTTAGTGGTAAGATTAAAAGACCCAGATTCTCTTGAACAAGCTCTCGCATTTGTACGAGAAGAAGAGAATTTCATACAATATAGAAACAGGTCTAATCAAAGCTCAAGAAATATACCTAATAACAACGTCAATAATAAAAGTAAGCCTCAATCAAGTTTTAACAATACACTTGGAAATTATGCTGCTAATATTCCAAGAATGCCTATAACACCATTCACTAATAATCCTTTCTATCGACCAAATAATTCGTTTAACAACCAAAACTTTGCAAGACCTTTCCCAAATATGCCATTCAATAACCAATTCCAAAGACCTCAAAACTTCAATAATTTCAATAGACCATTCCAAAGACCCAATATCACCCAAAACAATAGTGCTCCAGAACCAATGGACACATCGTCTGGTGTCACTATAAGACCAAATACAGTTCAAAGATCTCGCCTGAATAATTTCACTGTGCAAGAACTTTCGAACCAATCCGCAAATACTTTGTCCCCTAATACTATCACCGAAACTCAAACTCAAGACACAAATATCGACGTTAATTCTACTCCCAATAATGACGAACAATTGGATTTCAGTAATTATTACCAAATGCCAAATTCTGAAATGTTCAACTCATACAATGTTCCATATGATTATATGTACAACATGTATGACAACACTAATAATGACTATAATGAAACAAATATCGATGATTCCCAATACCAAAATTTTCAGATTACGCCCAATTACCCCAATGTGACGTAATATGCCTCAACAACTATAGTACTTCAGATTTGCCTGTAATAATTATCCCCGAATTAAATGCTAAGTTCTTAGTCGACACAGGCAGCGGAAAAAGTTTCATCAATCCGCAATTAGCATACCAAGTTTACTCTCAATTCATTTCTAATGAATATTTCACTGTAAAAACTGCTCATGCAACATCAATACATGACGAAGTCATAAATATACCCATTTTTCCATCATTCAAAAAAAATGGTTACCACAAATTTTACTTGTTTAATTTCTCTAATAAATTCGACGGTTTGATAGGTGTCGATTTTCTAATCGATATCGGTGCCAAAATAAATCTAAAGAATTTTGCACTCGAAACGTCACAAGTAAATTTACCCTTGCATTTTCAAAACAAATTATTTTTCCCACAAAACACAACGGAGCCCACACAGTCATATGAAACTGTTATACCTCCTCGTGTTTCACAAAAGGTTAAAGTACCTGTAAACAAAACAGATGGAATAGGAATACTAAACCATATTAACTTTGATGATATCGCAGAAATGCCAGAAGCCTTGGTACAAATTGAAAGTAATTTTGCATTGACAACAATTACGAATTTATGTGAAAACCCAATAAAAATTAGTTTCACAGAACCATTTGAAGTAGAACCTATAAACGAAATTGAAAATAATTTTATCGAGGAAATGGAAACCGATATGGATATCGAAGTAAATCAACCAAATGATATGAAACTAAAACAAAATTTGAAGAACTTACGTTTAGACCACTGTAATCAAGAAGAATATCAAGCGATTCGAGATCTTTGTTATGAATACCGAGACATATTTTACTGTGAAGGTATTCCATTGACTTTTACGAATCAAATCAAACATAAAATCAATCTTACAAATGAAACACCTATTTTTACAAAGACTTATCGATACCCTGAGATTCATAAGAAGGAAGTCAGCACCCAAATGGACCAGATGTTGAAAAATGGTATAATACAACCATCTAATTCCCCATGGTCTAGCCCAATTTGGATAGTACCAAAAAAGCTAGATGCATCTGGTACAAGAAAATGGAGAATAGTAATTGACTACCGAAAACTTAACGACAAAACAATCGAAGACAAGTACCCATTACCCAACATCTCTGATATTTTAGATAGACTAGGTAAAGCTCAGTACTTTACGACGTTGGACCTAGCAAATGGTTTCCACCAAATAGAGATGGAACCGGAAGACGTACACAAAACAGCATTTTCCACCGACACAGGACATTACGAGTTCAAACGTATGCCCTTCGGTTTACGAAACGCCCCCGCCTCGTTCCAGAGGGTGATGAACAACGTTCTTCGTGGCCTCCAGAACGAAATATGTTGCGTTTACTTGGATGACGTCATAATATACAGTAAATCACTCCAAGAGCACATAGAACGCTTGAGACTAATATTTGAACGGTTCAGACAATCAAATTTCAAGATTCAATTGGATAAGTCCGAATTTTTACACAAAGAAGTCAATTACCTTGGACATTTAATAACCAAAGAAGGCGTGAAACCCAATCCAGATAAGATAGAAGCTGTAAAAAACTTTCCTATACCCAAAACACCAAAAGATATCAAATCATTTTTAGGACTAGCTGGATACTATAGAAGATTTATAAAGGATTTTGCTAAAATTGCCAAGCCAATGACATTATGTCTTAAGAAAAATGCTAAAGTCGAACATTCCCCAGCATTTTTATCGTCATTCAACCATTTAAAAAATCTTCTAATTAATTCCCCAATCCTTAAATACCCTGATTTCACACAGCCCTTCGTATTAACAACCGATGCTTCTAATACAGCTCTCGGTGCAGTTTTATCTCAATCAACACCCCCCAACGATCATCCCGTGGCGTATGCTTCCCGCACGCTAAATGAAACAGAACAGAGATACTCGACAATTGAAAAAGAATTGCTCGCTATCATCTGGGCATGTAAATACTTTAGGCCGTATTTATTTGGAAGGAAATTTCAAATATATACAGATCACCGACCTTTAGTCTGGCTTTTCAATGTTAAAGAGCCAGGTTCAAAACTTATTCGATGGAGATTAAAGCTTGAAGAATACGACTACACCATTATATATAAAAGCGGCAAACAAAATACAAACGCCGACACTCTTTCAAGAATTCCACTCAACGCTTTAGAAACAGAATCTCTCCTTAATAATCCAGGAGATATTACAACTGACATCGATAAATTTCTAAACGAAATCGATAAAAATCTTCTAGAAAAACATCACACTGACGAATATAACAAAATCATAAACGAACTTAATCGACCGGTTGAATTACCTCCAGTGCCTTCAACTTCTCAAGAGCCTTCAACCTCTCGAATAAAAATTCTTGAAGATATCCGAATTAAACCACCAATGGATAATACGTCCAGTACTGACACTGCTCATAGTACAAACGCAGACGAAACCCTAAATGAAATCCCAATATTAGACGAAATAATTAACAACAAAACGAATCAATTAATTGTGAAAAAATCACCATACGACGCCTACATAAAAAGAGAATTTGAAACCTTTGACGGTAATAGGATAATCCGAGCAACGATTCCCACGAAACAAGAAGCGATAGTAAATTTTCTGAAAGAAAACCTCACAGAGAAAACTACCTATGTGCACTTTTTATCAAAAGAATTACGTGTTTTATTTCAAGAAGCATTATCTAAACACTTTTGTAATTTCAAGCTTGTAGAATGCACAAAACTCATTAATAATGTTAAACCAGAGGAAAGAGAAATGATAATAAGATTTTCACACGAAGGCAAAACTAACCATCGAGGAATACAGGAAACCCTAAAACGCCTGAAAATTAATTATTATTGGAAACCCCTGAAATCTGACGTCACTAAATTTATTAATGGATGTGAAATATGTCAAAGAACTAAGTATAACAGGAATCCACCAGACCAACCTCTTGTATTGACAGAAACACCTTCGAAACCCTTCGAGATTATTCACCTCGATACACTCCTTGTAGATAAACAAAAATTCCTAGTAATTATAGACAAATTTTCCAAATATGGACAAGCCCTTCCTTGCGTTGGCACCGCCATATCAGTATCCCAAAATCTAATCCATTTCTTTTCATTTTTCGGTATCCCTAAATTGATTGTATCCGATAATGGAACAGAATTCAAGAACGAAGTAGTTAAGGATTTATTGAAAACACATAATATTAAAATCCATTTTACTACTCCAAATCATCACGAGTCGAATTCGCCCGTTGAAAGGTTAAATTCAACCCTGATAGAACACATAAGAATACTACGAGAAAAAAACAAAAATACTGACGTATCAACCCTAATGTCCTATGCTGTAATTGCTTATAATAGCACAATCCATTCAAGCACAGGCTTTACTCCCTATACATTGATTTTAGGACACACTTCTTCTAGTGACCCTATGCAACTTATGCCCGCGCAAATATTCACTGAATATGTCCACAATCACAAAACTAACACGGAAGCTTTGTATAACAAAATACAACAAGACTCAATTAATTTAAAACAAAAACTTATTGACAAACATAATCAAAAGAAGACCCCTCAAAAACTAACCATAGGGTGTCAAATATATAAAAAACAAGACAAACGACGTGGTAAATTACACCACAGATTCACAGGTCCATTCATCTTAACAAAAATATTAGAAAACAACAAGATTGAAATTGAAAACCCCAAAACAAATCGAAAAGAGATTTTGCATATCAACGAAACCAAAATCAAATCTATTGTTACAGATGGATCCGAATCTTCAACATCGGAGCAGTAGGAATAAACTTCCATAACCTGAATAAATATCCCGGACTCCTACCTTATAAATTGGGAACTGCCAAAATAGTTTCCAATCATTGGTCATTAATACAAATTCACGACCTAACACCCCTTGTTAACGAATTTTATTTGATCAAAGAAAACGCTAACTATTTAATTAAAAACATTACAAATAATGTATCCTATGAACGAGAATATAAAAACACGTTGCTGCCTTTAATGGCATTAGAAAAACGCATAGAAAACAACATAAGGCAAATTGACCCAACGAGTAGTTACTCAAAAAGACAAAAACGTGGCATCTTGAATCCTTTAGGATCATTAATAAAATGCATTACTGGCAATCTTGATAAAGATGATGCAGATCTTTATGATAGGCAAATTAGACAATTACAAGAAAATCAAGATAAACTTAAAAAATCATCTTTTAATCAAATTAATTTATTAGGGAAAACCATTGAACAGTTTCAAAACGTTATCTCTAATATATCTGCCAATCAAATAACGCTAAAATCGAGAATACTGCAAATTGAAAGCACAATAAAAAAGGTAGCTCTGTCTGCTATTGACAACCATCAATACTTCCAAACTCACATAATAATTAATCAGATATCAATGCTATATCAAACAATTTACGATATCTTAGAAAAAACGGAAGTAGCTATCTCATTTGCTAAAATCAATACGCTCCATAATTCAATAATCGATCCATTAGAGCTAATAAAAGAAATTTGTAGATTTAAAAAACAATTAGTGCATGACGTGTTACCATTAGAAGCCAATATTGATAACATATTGAACTACGAAAAAATAATCGAGATTAAAGGTTATTCAAAGGGCCTGATTATCACCTTCATCTTGGAAATACCATTGGTCGAATCGGATGTCTATCACTATTATCAATTATTTCCGATACCAATTCCAAGCGAACAAAATCCTGATTTCTTTATGAACTTTCCACACAAACCATACCTTGCACTTAGCAACAACAAGTACTCTTATATGGACCAAACCTGCAACCAATTGTTACCCAACGAGTACTTATGTAAAGAAGCCCATACTGCATACATTGATCATGAGCCTCCATGTGCAGTCCAATTGATTTTATACAAAGAAAATGCCACTACTTGCCACCCTTTCCGTATTAGACTACAAAATGTCCAAATCACTAAAATAACGGACGGAAAATGGATAATCACAACGCCCGAACAACTAATTGTCTCAGCATCTTGTCCAAATTCTAAGGACAACGTACCGCTTCATGGTTCCTACTTAGCCGAATCTACAAATGAATGCAGCTTACAAATAAAGTCAATTACTCTACGAACTTATAAGCCCAATCGTTTGACTTATGATGATGTATCCTTGCCTACACTGAATTTATCGATGAATTATTACCAAACAAAGGAGTTTGCTTTTAATCCACCTACACTTGACCTGAACTCCATCAACTTGAAGGAAACCAATGAAATTGCCACAACGCTTCAAGAACAGAAGAGACGACTACAAGAAATATCTAACCCAATGGAAATGCACCAAATAAATTTTTGGACAATTTTACTTTATTGTATTTTAGGAATACTATGCATTTTTACTGTCTATAAATTACTTTTGAAACATCGCCTTAAACGTGCCCAAAAAGCCTCGTTAGAAGACGATATTGTAATTTAACAATTTTACTTTTACTTATTTAGTTTAATCATATTTTTCTTTTAGCATTTTCTTTATTTTTTCCATTGTATAAAACCATACCTTTTTTGGTATGCTTTTAACTTAGGATGGAGGAGTTATATCCCGTGAGAACTCCAATTCAGCATTTATATTGTTCTATTCAGCTTATTTTTAATATTATAAAAGGAGTAATTTCTAGATTTAAGTCAGTTCTATTGTATTAGTCAAATAAAGTTTTTTAAAAACGCTCTCTCGTGTACACCCCTCGTAAGTCTTGCCTTGTTGTATTCGCCATGTATTTTTTTTTTTTGTATAAGGAGTTGTATAATTTTATTTCTATTTTTTTCTAAGCTAGTTTTTTAATAAACATTAAAACAAATCGATTTTTGAAAATAAACTTAATTTTGTGCTATGGTACGATCCACATGAAAAAAAAAAAACAATAATAATTTGACAAAACAAATCTATCTTATTTCCCAAAATATTAATTTACTAACAATATATGTAATAAGGACAAAAAAACAAAAAAAAAGAGATTATTCCATAGTGTAGCCTTCTGACACTTCAAATAAATCAGGATCCATACCCAAAGAGGCAGTCTCTTTGAAAAACTCCATTATGTCATTGAAAAACTTAAACTTAAAACCTTTCTGTCTAGTATTTTTCAATCTCAAATTGTACGTCCTTATTAAATTGCGCCATTTGGATTTGATTTCTTTAATTGTCACTTGGTAGCCGTTGTCGACCATTTCTTGCATGATTTCATTCCACAAAGCTGGCTTTTTTTGCTGGTCCCTGTCGGCTATTTCATATTTACGTCTACGGATTATGGAAATCAGTAGACTGGTAGCTTCGTCTGGCCAACGACAAGGGAAATCTACAAAAAAACTGCTAATTAGACATTTATTGTTGATCATAGAATATTTACTTGGAAAAGTTATTTTGAGTTTAAATTTTTCTAGTTTCAAGAGTAGATGTTTGGCTTCTCTATATTTTGCTACATTACGATTTTCCTCAAAGTTGGCTGTTTCATTGTCTTATCATCTTAGAAAAAGGATTCCAGTTTGTGGAGGAAAGGACATTATACGGAGTCCAAAGAAAAATTATTGATATATTTATCAAGAACAAACTTTCTATAAAAATCAGAACAAACTTAAGGAAGTCACTATATGGATTTTCAAAATGATCATAACATATTGTACTGAATTTGGCTTCAATATTTTTAAAAATAAGAAACTCATTGTCACCGTGTATAAATAAATACGAACAACAAAATAAAAAAATTTCAACTCACAAAAAAAATGTCTCAAAACGCCAAGTTGGACAAAATTTCAAGGTGACCGTTTGAATCTTGTTCAACCACCTCGTAAACTTCCACTTCCTCATTACTCTTATTATTACTATTAGTAGCTTTGCGTTTCCTACCGAAATTCACATTTTTAGTGCCTTGCAAGTTCGCCATCGCCGACTTTTTCATCACCTCCAGCTTCTTTTTTTGCACCTCGAGCTCTTGCCTGCGCAAATTCATTTCTTCGTCGTGCCTTTTCTGTCTGGCCATGTACTCGTCGCGTTTCATGTTTGTGTACTCCATAAATTGTCTGTCAGTGAAACATATCGGTGGAAATGTTACAGTTGGAACCACTTTGGAACTAGAAGCTCCGGTACCTCCGGAACTCAATAACGGCATCAAAGTGAGCCTGGAGTTGTTGTAGTCGTGGTCAGTGTGGAGGAATTTTTCGCCCGCAAAATAGTCGCACATTTCTTTGTAGTAACGGAATCGCATGTTATCTTTGTTTTTCATTTTAGTGCACTCCTTGTAGCTTCTTATCAGGTTTTTCCATTTGTTTTGACATTCTTGGATCGTCACCGTCAGTCCTTGGTCTAAGAGATCTCGGTGGATTTTTCGCCAAACGTCTTTTCGATTTGTGGCGCACGCAAGTTCATCTCTGTACTTTGTTATGGCTGCGATCAGTTTAAGCGACTGTTGGATGCCCCAACAATGGTGAGTATCTGAAACAAAAACCGATTTTGTTAATAATTACAGTATCATTTTATGTTTTTCCAGGTTTTTGAAACACCCGAGATTTGTGATGAATAAACTACATATTTTGGCATAATTTTACCAAATCTGCCACAACTAAGTACAGAAATCAAAGATAAGGTTCTAATTTGGTTGCCTATTTCAATTCCTTATCAACCCACAATGCATCTGAATGATATGCACCTACTTGGTGGCATCAGTATCAAATGTGTTTGCTGCATATTTCAGTTCCGTTTATGCTAACATTCCCTACATTCATGATGCTCTGCATGACTGTACCGTGCGTTCAATTTATCTTGATAACAACCAAAACAAACTATGGGACTATATAACGTTCCAGCTTTTGTAGTAAAAGACTGCAAGTTTATTTTCGCCAATAATCACTACAATATTTAACTTATGCATGAAAGAAGGAAAATATCCTGAAATTTAGAAGTTGTCCAATCTTTAAAAAGGGCACTAAGTGTGTTATAGAGCAATAAGTTTATTCCCCAACTTTTCAAAAGTGTTTGAATAAGTGTTGTACACTTGTATTCTTTCAGAATGCTCAAATAAACTCGCATCAGAGCAACATGCGTTTATGCAAGGCAAATCAACATCCATCCACAAACCTGATAACCTTTACCCAATATATGTCAGATTCCCTTGAGGTGGTCAGAGATGTCCATATGGCTTACCTGGATTTTAAATAAGCCTTTGATAGAGTCAATAGAAAAATACTAATTGATAAATTAATACAGGCGAACTTGCCATATGTCTTAATTAGACTGATTAGGTCTTTTCTGCATAAGCGTCAACAATTTGTTTTTCATAACAATTGAAAGTCAAAGCCCTACAAGTCTACATCAGGAATACCTCAATGCCTCAAGGGTCAAATTTGGGCCCACTGTTATTTATTATATTTATAAAAAGTGATTCTCGTATTGCTGAATAATTGGAACTAAAAGACAAGTATTTAACAGGTATTTAACCGATCGCAGAAAAAATAGTATGTGTTTTTCGGTGGAAAAATACATTCTCGGCCTTCAGTGTTTTCCACCTAAATACACAATATACTATTCAATGTTATTTTGAAAAAAATCAAGATTCAAAAAACAACATTGAATGATGTTTTTTTTTTTTTTTTCAGGAAAGTATTTGAAGGGATGAAGAAAGGATTGAAATTCAAGAAAAAAAAATAAAATTTGCTCTTACGCGCTCACCTTAATAAAAATCAAAGTTGAAAGGGTTTAAAGTTCTGCAGCTACGGAACTATTGAAAATACTTTGTAGAGATTTGTGAAGGGTTTAATTGGCTTTATTTCAAGCCTAATTACTTTATGATCGGATTGAAATTAACAAAGATGTGAGGTAAAATATGAATGGCATTTTGGAAAAAATGTTTCAAAAAACGACATTGAAGGATTTTTTTTTTTTTGAGGAAAGTTGCAAAGATTGGTTCGAAATTTTGCAAGTAGATACTTAAGGAAAAGATTGAAATTTAGGAAAAAATAGAAAGTTCTTTCTGATCGTTCACCTTTAAGGAACAAACCACCTAGGAATACTTTGCCAAAACTGTGGGGAATTTAGAGGAATTTTGAGAAATATATGAGGAACTTGAAGGAATGTATGGGAAATTGGAGAAATGTATGAGAAATTGGGGGAATTTATTGGTTTTAACACTGAGCGTAATAAAAATAGAAAAATAATTTTTCTATCACGAACAATTTTGGGAACTTTTATGGAATTCGTAACAGGCATTTGCAGGGAACTTGCGAGCAGTTTGGAGGAATTTGCAGGGAATCTGGAGGAATTTACGGGTAGTTTCAGGAATTGTATGCACAAATTCGGGAGGGGTGTTTTACTTCTTGGTTTTTCAGTAAATAATTTTTAAAAAAAAATACATCACTGTGAAGAACAAAATCTAAAACAACATAATTCAGGCTATATCAAATGCATATATCAAAATTAGAAATTCAGAAAGCCCATAATAACCAAACGCTAGAAACAATGAGGAGAGTTTCTGGAATTCATACAAAATACTCAATAACATGATCAGTGCTTCTGATTTTTCAACCCAAATTAACTTCGGTAATTATTTATTAAACGGACTTATGGTATGTTGAAAATTATTATCAGATATTGTTTATATCGATTATTTAAAACAAATTATGATGTCGGAAATAACAATTTTATCAGTTCAAATTTTCTAGAGGGCTTTTTTCGGGGCCTTTTGATGATGGACTACATATTAAATAATTACCCCAGGCGTATTTGTTTACTATACGGATTATAATTTTTTTTAGGAAATTACCATCAGATATTGTTTCAAATGATTATTTGAAACAAATTAAGGCGTCGGAAAAAAAAAATTTACTAATTTAAATTTTCTATAGGGCTTTTTGATTGACTGCATACAGTGATGGGTTAGATATTGACCATTTAAGTATAACGTCAAGACAAGTATGACATTACAAGACAAAACAAGGAATTTTGGAAACGTCCAAACTATTTTAGATTTCTGGTTCTATATTTTATGTTCCTTGAATTTTCAATAAGATTGCAGATTCAGTTCTGGTAACTTATAGGTCGCAACTTCTATGGAATTATTTCGCAATAATTTCATTTAGATATCACTTAAAAAATAGTTCCCATTCAAAACAATGCCGAATATTTAGTTTCCAACAATATAATAAGGCTCAGTACGTTTTAGTTACGGATAGAGGTGGGTTGCGATTTCACGAACTGTGACTTTCTGTCACTGCTACTCGTCTGTCACAGTCACGGCCTGCTCCAGTCTCAGTCAAGTAGCAGTGACATTTTGTCACTGCCCGCTTCAAGCTCCGACCGACGCAGCGCAGACAAAACTCGAGCTAAGTGATGCAAATGAATATTATAAATCGCATCGCGGTCACGCCAAATAGAAACTGCTACTGCAGAGCAGAGGGTAGGCTGGAAACTGGAACATCTCTCTCGGCCGTGACTGCAGATGGAAACTAGAACATCTCTCTCGGCCGTGACTGCGGACTGTGAATTGTGATTCTGCCACGTTACGATGTAGCATTAACATAATATTAGCAGTACGGCCACCAACTAAGGTAAAACTGCTCCAAAAAATCACTGCTATTTGTCACAGTGACACGAATGGAGCAGTCATGTCTTGTCACAGCTCCATTAAAATCACAGGTTGGCCCACCTCTAGTTACGGAAAAGGCATATACCTACCTCATTATTTTTTCATCAATTTGTCAGCAGTTTTTTATATTGCACTTAACTAAGGACAAGCGCGCATTACGTGGACGGTGGACGGGTTTGTTTGCATATTTTCGCTCAGTTTCGTTACAGTTCTTTCAATACTGGTTATAAACTGTGTTATATATACTGGTTAATAACAGAGCGCGCGAAGCGCGCTTGGTTTTTTTAAATTCAATAATCCCATACAAGGACTAGCGCGCATTACGTGGACAGTGGACAGGTTAGTTTGGGCTAGTTTGCATATTTCTGGTTAGTTTTGTTACAGTTCATTTATTACTGGTTATAAACTTTGTAATAAGCGTACTGGTTAAAAACAAAGCACGCGGTTTTTGAAATTCAATATTAACATACAAGTGCACATTACGTGGACAAGTTAATTTGGGTTAGTTTGCATATTTCTGGTTAGATTCGTTACAGCTCGTTTATTAATGGTTATAAACTGTGTTAAAAGTGTACTGGTTGACAACAAAGCGCTTTGTTTTGTAAATTCAATTATTTAACATACAAGGACTGGCGCGCATACGTGGACAGGTTACTTTGGGTTAGTTTGCATATTTCTGGTTAGTTTCGTTACAGAATTTCTGAATTTTGCAGATGACAAAAAGCTATACAAGGTTATTCGCTGCTTTAATGATCAAGTCTTACTCCAGGAAGATTTAAACAGATTTAGTGAATGGTGTTCTTTAAACGCTTTGAAATTAAACATAGATAAATGCTGTGTGATTACATTCCATCGAAAAAATAAGACTTTGATCCACGACTATAAAATAGAGAACACCTCACTGGAAAGGGTAGACTGTGTTAAGGATTTGGGTGTCTTTTTTGATACCAGCCTAACATTCAATAAACACATTGATTTTGTTGTCAATTTTGCTTTTAAGCAACTTGGATTTATTCTTAGGAACTTAACACAGTTTTCTTGTTCAGTTCTGCCGACCCTTTTCAACAGCCTGGTTAGATCTAGATTGGAGTATGCAATAGTTGTATGGGGTCCTTACTATCAATCTTCCATAAATAAAATGGACCGGGTGCAGCATAAGTTTTGTAAGCATTATCACTTTAGAAGCGCTTTTAATAATTTAGGAGTTCCTTATAGCTACAGCCTAATAGCAAGTCATCTGCGAATAGTTTCCATGGAAAAGCGAAAAGAGTATTTTACCATGTTATTCCTCTTTAAAATTGTAAACTCCTTAATCAACTGTCCTGACCTACTTGGCAGAATTGGCTTCAATACCTTTCATGGAACCAGACACACTACGCTTTTCCATGTTCCATTCCATCAATTTAATTATGAATATTTTAAGCCTTTAACTAATATGGTGAGATTGTATAACAGCATTGAGGTAGAATAATAAGGAGGCGACATAAGGAGAAAAAAGCGTATCCACTTCCGCCATATTCTAACGACATTTCTGTCTGAGGTTCTGTCACTTTTGTCATAGCAACGCGTCAAAATTGCATGAGGGCCGCATTTTCCATCCGAAGATTTTTCAAGTGCGAAAAATTTTAGAAGCCCAGAATTCCTATTTTGGGTCTTGGAAGGATCTTCTGTTCCAGTATGTTCACGTTTCTGTAGCAACTTTTTCTTTCTTGGTGCAATCTCGATGTTTTTAGGTTTTTAGAAAAAAATTATAAAGAATCCATTTAGTTCGGATCTGTTTAAGTAGCCATATTGTTCCGACACTTAGCCACGCCTACTGATGCCGTTTTCTATTGCACTATTCAAATGATGACAGCGTCTCCTTATTATTCTACCTCAATATATATAACAGACACCAAAGTGATTTAGACATATTTTCCCAACCTTGGAGTACCTTCAAAAATGTGATAAAAATTCAGTTATTTAAGTTTTAATATTGTTATATTGTGAAATGGTATATTCCGTTAATAAATAAATAATAATAATAAAGACTGGTTATAAATTGTGTTATAAGTGTACTGGTTATAAACTGTGTTATAAGTGTACTAGTTGACAACAAAGCGTGCGGAGTGTGCCTTGTTTTTTAAATTTATTATTAACATACAAGGACTAGCACACATTCCATGGACAGGTTAGTTTGCATATTTCTGGTTAGTGTCGTTACAGCTCATTTATTACTGGTTATAAACTGTGTAATAAATTTACTACATAGTTAACAACAAAGCGCGCAAAGCGCACTTTGTTTTTTAGATTCAATTTTAACATACAAGAGCAAGGAATTTACTTTTTCAGGGATCTTCTCTTTGAGTTTTGGGCGAGAGGAGCGAGCGGACTTAAAAACGATTTCTAAAGCGTACCTACTAGACCCGATTAGAAAGTTCTATGTACCCATAAAAAAAAAACAAATTAGGAAGAATTTCATGTCCGACGCCATAATTTGCCTCAAAAAATTCATCCAAAGACTATCTGATCATAATTAAAAAAAAAAAAAAAAAATGGAAAACCACAATAAGTCCGTTTAGTATGCAGTCAATCAAAAAAAAAAAAACCTAGATAAAAACCCATAAAAAATTGAAATTAATGAAACATTCATTTTTGACACTATAATTTGTTTTAAATAATCTATTTGAACGATACCTAATGGTTTGTTTCTAGTAAAATAGCGATAATAGCATAAGTCTGTATAGTAAACTGTTACCTTAACTTCTATGCTTCAGCATATAGAACACGTAATTCATTGAGCTTATATCAATATTGATAATACTCAAACAAATTACTACAGCAACTTACCTGTTATTGTAATGTGTAGATTATACAACTAACCAAATGCACTTGTAATTTGATATGTGGAGATAAGTTTAGTTAAACAAATAAATAACCTCTGTGTACCAAACTTGGTGATTCTTGTACAACAATGTTCTGAGAACTAAGACCACCTTTTAAGGAAGAATTTCAGGGGCCACTTGGCAAAAATAAATCAACTACTTCAATAAACTGCACACCAAAGACGTATGTTCATACCACTGAGATAGGTCAATACCTATACAACAAACTTGTATTTGAATGAAACGAACGGGGTTGTTCATTCGAACGAACGTATTTGAATGAAACGAATGGGGCTGTTCTAATTAAAAAAACTAAAATTAACCCACTAGGGGGTAATTTTACATATCCAAACTAACCTCTCCGTTTGCAATCGGGATCTCTTTCCTCGGTAACTTCGTGTAGGAGTTTAGCAGCTTCCTGTTCACTGTAACTTTCCTCTTGTTGCTCGATAATCATTACCTCTTGTATCTCTTCCGTGCCGTGATGGTCCAAATCTTCATCTTCCAAAGTGGCCTCTTCCGCCCTGTATTCGGTTCCATTCTCGTCTTCGTAGATGTATTCAACTTTTGCCACATTCATTTTTCGAATTTTCATAACATAACAAAAGTTTTATCTGCGAATTTTTAATTGTTTCGCTTCGTGGTTTTCGTCGCCATTTGCCACTCTGGCGTGGCTTGGCTAGACAAGGACAACAACTGTCAGTGTAGTAAATTGGAAAGAGACAAGAAGAGTATTTTTGTATAGGACACTATTTTATCGATTTTGGTTTTGAGTTTTCTACTGTTGGCAACACTAATTGTTGATGTTTTCCATAAAGGAAACGGACGTGACGTCATATAAATATAAATCAATAAATTTAAAGAGCCAACTTTTTCCCTTTAAAATTTTCCTTTGAAAGGGAAATTTTCATTAAATGAATGATCAAATAACAAAATTATTCTTTTAAAGAATAATTCAATCTAGAGTAAATAATAGTCAAAGTTAAAAATCCCTAATTTTATCTACTTGATTACAAAATTGTGAAAAATATTTGCATTCCTATATGTATAATCACAGTTTAATCACTAATAAATTCCCAATGTGGAAAATTACAGAAAACAGGAGCCTGCGCCTTGCAAGTTTTCCAAAAGAGGAGGGCAATTAACTTAATAAAAAAATTCCCCATTGTACTTTTTACACTAGTAGAGTATTTGCATCCTCTAGAAAAATGGCTTCGTGCAGTCCTTGTACCATTAACACTGATGAGTTTTACAAAGTGGTTCTTGAATTAACAAAAAGTTGTGGACAGGTACGTAATGATACATTTAAAAACTATGGTTATGTAAATTTTACATTTATAATCATTTAAACAGTAAATGCAAACTTATCTTTATTCAGTTAATAAAAGAACGTACCTCATCCAGAACCAAAAAAATCGAAATAAAATCCAGTGCCATAGACTTCGTCACTGAAACCGATCAAGAAGTAGAACAACTTCTAGTGGAAGGCCTCACCGAAGCCTTTCCAACTCACAAATTCATCGGTGAAGAAAGCGTTTCCAGTGGAGCCCAATGTCTCCTTACCGACGCCCCAACTTGGATAATAGACCCAGTGGACGGTACCATGAATTTCGTACACTCGTTTCCACATTCCTGCATATCCATAGCGCTTTTTATCAACAAATTGCCTTACATTGGAATCATTTACAATCCCATGCTGAATCAACTGTTCACGGCTCGAAAAGGCATGGGGGCTTATTTGAATGAGGAGAAAATTACGGTCTCTGGTACCAAGAATTTGGCAGATTCGCTTATTATGATGGAGTTTGGTACTAGCAGAGATCCAGAGAGGAGGAAAGTTATTTTGGAGAATCAACACAAGTTGATACCACAAGTACACGGGTAAGGAAAATCAATAATTTATGTATGTAATTTTTTAAAAAAATTGCAGCAATATTCTGACTGAATTGTAAAAGAAAGGGAAAGTCCATAATTTATATTACAATATTTGAAAAGTCTCTGTTTGTGTCCTCCAACAAGTCCATGTACCTTGGTGTGTGTTATCTGAAGTATTTTAGGTGTCCGATTGTGGGAATTTCCAATATAAAGGGTGCATTTATGTTAGAGCGATAGTAGGAGCAAGAAAAGTTACCAATAAAATTAAATTTTCGCTAGTCTGGTCACTGCTGTTATCGCAGCTTCAACATAAACGCACCCTAAGTCTTATATTAGTTCACCAAGATGCATAGAGAGATAAACACTTGACTCGATACTTTATTAGCTATCTAAATGCTTGGAAATTTTTTAGCAGATCTAAGGTATCGATTAGAAAAATATACCTAAAGTAAAAGGGAGTGAACCCTACACCTACCAGTAGGTACTTTTTCATCCACCGATTGTGCGCCTACTGGTAGGTAGGTCCTTTTTCGTAAATTGATCAAGCGCCTACTGGAAGGTGTTTTATTACTTTAGAATCCGGAATCCGTACATCCTACCAATCAGCTCTTGCTAGCTTAATGCGTTAATACAATTTTGTTTGTTTGTAGAATTGTCATTAACAAATTCGTCCACTGAGTAATAACCCTTTGTTAGTACCTGACATCTTTCTAATTTGGGCTTGGGACTTGTTGATGTTTGAAATCTTCTTCATTCTAGACGGCAACCTATTGAAAATCCTTCTGCATACACCTTGAAATTATTTTTGAGTCTTCGATTGCTCGCTATGCTAGCAAAGAGCAAATCCACCAAAAACGTGAAAAACTTTTATTAAACACACCTTGAAATTTAAATTATTTTTGAGCCTCTGATTGCTCGCTCCGCTCGCCAAACTTCAAAGAGAAAATTCTTCGAAGTGTAAATCCACCAAAAACGTGGAAAACCTTTTTCAAATATATCACCTATCAAACAATAGGTAGGGGACGGATTCTTGAATTAATATGAACCTACTGGTAGGCTCAGGCTTTTTTTACAAACACTACCTACTGATAGGCGTTTTATCATGTGGCAATTGGGGAACTATTTTTTTACCATAATATTTTAGCGTTATACATATGGTAGGCACACAAGCAATGAAACAAATGGAACCTACCGGTAGGCGCAGGGTTCACTCCCAAAGTAGGATATTCAGTTCAAGTATATTCTATTCACAATCCGTAGTCCAAAGGTAAAAGTAAATCTATCACTTTTCCCTATCTAATAGCATTGAAAGGTGGTAAATTTTACCTTTACCTTTGGACATCGGATTGTGAATAGATATTAGGTATATACAGGGTGTCCCAGGGAAAACAGTCCACCCCGATTTATTGGATTCAGGATGAGAATCTGGAAAAACGCTCGGACACGTCGATGTTTGATTTGAAGGGGAACTATTTTTCAGTTTGTTTTATCCCCCTAATTAGGGGGAGAACAACCCCCCAAATTTAAATAGAGGATAGGGGTGCCATATCTCTTTTTAAAGGTCTTATGGAGGGGGTCGAGTTATAATTTATGTACGTGAAAGCATTGCAGGTATCAAATCCACAGTAGCATTAAACCAGAGATTCCAATTGTCTGATGGTATTGATGCGATTTTATTGGATATCACACTGACAACACTTAAGCTCTCTTTAGCATACATATACAGACCACAAGACATACCTATACAGAACAGAGAACTTTTGGAGTATCTTAGACAAGTCTTCGAATTCTCGATCAACACGGACTTTAATTACAGACAAATAGACTGGAAAACTCTTCCACTAAACCAACAAAATCAGCCAGCACAAGAATTCCTAATTTTTTATGTAGAGAACAATGCTAAACAGATAATAGATTTCAACACCAGAATTAGAAACGACGAGCAATCACTTCTTGATTTCTTATTGGTAAGCGATAGGAAATTATTTACAAAAACTCACCCTTCAAATCCAATTGGTTACAGTGATAATGTTGTAGTGAACGCTGTAGCGCAGATAAACACAAAACCAAGTTCAATAAAGAAAATCAGAAAACGTAATTTTTCGAAGGCCAGTTACGACAATTTAAGCCAAAAAGTATCTGAAACGAAGTTTCCAAACAACATGGACACATGTATATGAAATATAAACACTATCATTCAACAAAGTATTCCCATGCGAAATACTAGAATAAATTCTCAAAAACCGTGGATGAACCCTAACTACTTTAAAGAAATTCAAAAGAAAAGGAACCTTTGGAACAAGTACCAAAATCTGAAAACTCCCCAGTCTTACCAGGAATATAGAACTCAAAATAACCTACTAAGAATTGAGAAATGCTGCAACAATCTCTTTTTAAAGGTCTTATGGAGTTCTTTATGGCCCTAGAATTTCATCTCATTATTTTCATCCGTAACGAAATGACAGCCTGTCAAAATCTTGGAAATAGACTATTATTTTGGTGGCAGTGAAAGCGATACTTACCTCCCTTAATAAAAATACTTGAAATTGAAGTTTTTTATTATTATTATCAATGAGGTGTACACGAGAATTGTAAATTATAGATATTTATACTCGTATTTTTATTAACGGAGGTAAGTACCGCTTTTACTCCTACTAAAACAATAGTCTATTTCCAAGATTTTGACAAGCTGTCATTTCGTTACGGATGAAATAAGACGAAATTCTTAGGCCATGAAGAACTAGACCTTTAAAAAAAGGTATGACACTGCCGCTATCCCCTATTCAAATTTGGGGGGTTGTTCTCCTCCTAGCTAGGAGGTTGAAGCTACGGGGATGAAACAAACTGAAAAATAGTTCCCCCTCAAATCGGGGTGGACTGTTTTCCTTGGAACACCTTGTATTTTATTTAATTAACAGACATAGTACAGCATCCAATATAGATATTCGGTATTCAGTTGCTCTAAAAATATTATCCAATGGATATAGGTGCCATAGATAATCAAAATTTGAACTATTACCGGCTCTTGATTCTCTGGTAAACTTTCCTGGATCCAATCAAAAGCCGGTAATAGTCAAAATTTAAACTTGTATCAACTCTGGATTCGCTAGAGAATTTTTCTAAGGGCATTCAAGGCTCAAGAGCCGATAATAATCAAAATTTCGAATGATTATTAGCAGATCTTAAGTTGATATTAATCAAAATGTCTTCTTCCGCAGCTTCTAATTGGCTCTTGATTATCTGGAAAACTTTCCTGGAGCCAATCAAGAGCCGGTAATAGTCAAAATTTGATGAATGGTTTAGTTCTGAAGTGAAAAATCTCACTAATGAAAAAAAAATTAGCTCATAAAAGATACAAGAGCATAGTTATAGCTTGGAAGATTACAATTTATTGTAAACAGCTGATGGCTGTTTGCACCGACCGTTTTGAGAAAACCTTCACGATAAGTATTCCTTGAAGTGATATTTCCTCATGTAAAAATGACATTTTAAGGAATACTTATCGCTAAGGCTTCCTTATAACGATCGGTGCAAATGGCCATCAGAGTCATTTGTAAAGATTAAGCAGAAAAATGTTATTCTGATTATATTGGAAGAACTGAATATAATGAATTGAATGATCCCAAAAATTACTGGAAATATATTCATTCTAAAATTCATTGTAGGGAGTTGTCACCCTTTGCATCGGTCTGGGTACTGTGGACAGTTGCGAACCTGTTGCTTTTCATCAGGACTATCAGTTATTTTACCTATTAACTTTAGCAAAGTTTTCAATAAGTTAAGTCACATTGATATGACCAAAGGTCCAGAACCAGATGGAATACTTCCAACATTTCTTAAAAATTGTTCACTGGCCTTATCTAGACCCTTGTGGCAACTCTATAATAAATCATTGTCTGTTGGAGTCTTCCCAAAGGAATGGAACCAATGTTTTATATGTCCAATTTTCAAACATTCTGTCACAAATGGGGATGTTGAGAATTACCGCCCTATAACACCAATTATCCCATTTTCCAAAGATATTTGAATCACTGATTTTTTAACTGAAAAATTCAAAAATATATTCATTCCAGAACAGCTTGGCTTCACCAGTAGCCGATGTATCACAACAAATTTGTTAAGTGTATGAACAAGCCATATCGAGGGCCTTGAAGGCCGGTCAGGTTGTAGATTCTGTCTATACTGACTTCTCCAAGGCCTTCAATAGAATGTTATACACTGTTAATAGACAAACTTTCTAGATATGTTGTATTCGATTCATTTCATCAATGACTGTACTCTTATCTTGTAGGCAGGAGCCAAATTGTAAGGGTGAAGTCATTTCAATCTGAGGTTATTAGTGTCACATCTCGGGTGCCTCAGGGTTTTGCTTATTTATTAATGATATAGGGTCTTGCTTCCATCATATCAAATTTCTATTTTATGCCGATGACTTGAAAATTTTCAAGAGTATAAATCAAGAAAGCCTAGACGGGAGAATGCAGGATGATCTTCAAAAGTTCCGGGAGTGGTGTGTTAAGAACAAGATGACATTGGATAGTGAAAAATGTAAATATGTTCAGTTATCTGGGAGAAATTTTCCCAAACTAAATAACTATTATAAAAATGATTATGTTATTGGAAATGTTTCAAGTATTCGTGATCTAGATGTTATATTCAATGCAAATTTGTCATTTTCTGAATATTGAAAATGTTAGGATTTAGAAAAAGACATATTAGGGATTTTAAGAATGTTTCTGCTCTGAAGTGTGTATATGTATCATGAGTGCGTTCCCATCTAGAAAATAATAGCTGTGTTAAGTCCGTCGATTTTATTCTGATACTCGAAAGGAATATGAGCTGGTGGCTCCCTACGTTAGAACGCCAATGGTCACCTGATGTCACACTGTTTTTGCAATATGCTTCACCCCCTCGCTCCTCATATGGAAAATGTCAGAGAAAAAACGACGGACAATTTGCTTATCACATTATAAAATTTATATTGAGTTAGTTGAAGGTGTACAAAAAAAACTCTTGAGATACATAGGTTAGAAAATGGAAATACCATCACAGTTTATTAATTGTGGTGATCATCTTTTACATAATTTATCATTGGAAACTTTAGATGTAAAAAATTTGATGAGTCATTGATTAATAAATTGCTCAGAGGTTACCTGATTTGCCCTGATTTATTTTCAGCTGTAATCTTGAATGTCCCACGTAGAATTCTTAGAGATGTGACAATCTTTAAGCTCACTTCTAACGAGTATTTCATGAGTCGACAAAATAGAAAATATTATGGCAAATTTCTCTCCGTTTTCCATAAGTAACATTTGAAATACCTAATCAACCACTCTTTGAAATAAGTTCTAATTGATTTTACTATTAATTGTTAAGTCTCTCTAAATGACTTTCTCTTAACACTTCATTGGATGAAAATTTGCAAGATCTCATAAAGGGTTCATATTCATTTTTGCACCTTTTGTTCCCTCATAAAAAGTTTTCGGAAATATTTCTTTAGAGAATAATAAGGCAACTAAACGCCCTTCTATCAATAACTGGAATATTATTAATAATAAAAGCTTTGTTGCCTTAAGGGATTTTAGTATTTCACTGATCTAATAAAAGTACATAGACTCATGTCGCGCGTTCTCAAATTCTACCTATATACATTCAGAAATATTTTTAAAAAATCCAAAATTTATAAGTTTGAAACTAATGTATTTTCTATTTAATTGTAGTTTAAGAGCTTTGGGCTCAGCAGCCTTAAATATGGCAATGGTGGCCTGTGGAGCAGCTGAAGCCTATTTCGAGTTCGGTATCCACATTTGGGACATAGCAGCTGGAGAATTGATTATCACTGAAGCAGGCGGAGTTGTTATAGATCCTGCAGGAGGAGAGGTAAAATTTTGTTGCATCATACAATAAACAAATTAGGCAAATAACATAAGGAACTGTTTCTCAATTTTTGGGAAATACATAACATATAGAAATTCTTACATGTTATTTGCCAACTTGACGAGTTGTTTCATTGGAAAAACTAGCTCATATATTAACAAAGAAACATTTTCAGATTGACAGATTATCGCGTCGAGTCCTTGCAGCTTCTTCTCAAGAAGTTGCAGACCAACTAGCCAAAGAACTGTCGCAGTTTTATCCAGAGAGGGATTAAAACATTTATGCAAATTTTGATATTTAAAATACCAAAGTTATAACCATATATTTATGTTCCTGATGATAATTATTAAAGTAAATATTAATGTCTTAGGCAAATATTTAATTTTATAAGTGTACGCTAATGTAAGAACAATAGATAAACCTAGTAAAGTACCTGATTTGAGGGACACAATTAAAAATGTAAATACCAAAAATCTTAGTAGGTGAAATAAAAAGTCAATTTTATTGAAGGTAATTTTATTGACTCACTTCACATAATTACAATATCATTTGTATTGTAACTTTTTCCAATTTATTCATGACACACAATTTTTTTAATATTAAATTCCGCACTTTGTGTAGTTTCTGCTTCATTATCATTATATCTGCCCGAGTTAACCGTTTTGACAAAAATGTACAGGAGATTCAGTTAAAAAAAAAAAAAACTGAACATACTTGAGAAACGATCCACTCAAGTCATTCTGAGTTGATGATTACAAATTATTGGATTTTTCGCTCTAATTCTGGCTCTATTGCAGTTCTTTGTTTTTTTGAGTTCTGAACTAATAAAAATGCCCCTCTACAATATGTAGGACTAAAATAAGAACTGTCTAGTTAACAGTTTAGTATTGGGATTCATTATTCCTATGATCTTGTGTTCTTCTTAAATAGGAAGTTCAAAGCTGTTTTGCTCACTATTAAAACCACCAATGATATGGAGTTCCCTAATCATTGTTAGAGACTAGTAAAGTAAAAATTATGCCTAACGCAAACATGTTAGGTATGTCTATTCAGGCTTAAACTAGAAGAATCTTTCAATAAGATTATATTTTGCCCACATGGGTTTTGGGCAGCATTGGTGATTGACTTAAACTGACATTCGTATTTTAGACCTCTTGGAGTCTCTCAAGATGTTTTATGTCAACGTTATTTCTTGTGAATTACACAAAACCAGGATTTAAGTCACAGGATCATTTCCAGATGTTCTGTTGGAAATAGCAGCGGCCTCTTCACAAAATTTAGCTAGGTTGAGACGTCTTAAAGTGGATGAAAATACAGTGGAGTCAGATATAGCAAGCTCATTCAAAGTGAACACTTCAACTCAACATTTTTCAAGTTCACTATATCTAGACTTCACTGTATTTAGTTTGATAGGATTATTGTTCAATTCTGTCGAAGTCTGATGGATTCTACGCTGAAAGTCTGCTTAAAGGACCAGCTTTTATTTTAGTAACAGACTCCTGGCTACACAAGGACATTCCTGATGCAATGGTAGGCATATCAAATTATTTTTTATTTCGAAAAAAACAGAGAAAACCAAAAAGGGGGTCGAGTTATAATTTATGTACGTGAAAGCATTGCAGGTATCAAATCCACAGTAGCATTAAACCAGAGATTCCAATTGTCTGATGGTATTGATGCGATTTTATTAGATATCACACTGACAACACTTAAGCTCTCTTTAGCATACATATACAGACCACAAGACATACCTATACAGAACAGAGAACTTTTGGAGTATCTTAGACAAGTCTTCGAATTCTCGATCAACACGGACTTTAATTACAGACAAATAGACTGGAAAACTCTTCTACTAAACTAACAAAATCAGCCAGCACAAGAATTCCTAATTTTTTATGTAGAGAACAATGCTAAACAGATAATAGATTTCAACACCAGAATTAGAAACGACGAGCAATCACTTCTTGATTTATTATTGGTAAGCGATAGGAAATTATTTACAAAAACTCACCCTTCAAATCCAATTGGTTACAGTGATAATGTTGTAGTGAACGCTGTAGCGCAGATAAACACAAAACCAAGTTCAATAAAGAAAATCAAAAAACGTAATTTTTCGAAGGCCAGTTACGACAATTTAAGCCAAAAAGTATCTGAAACGAAGTTTCCAAACAACATGGACACATGTATAGCAAATATAAACACTATCATTCAACAAAGTATTCCCATGCGAAATACTAGAATAAATTCTCAAAAACCGTGGATGAACCCTAACTACTTTAAAGAAATTCAAAAGAAAAGGAACCTTTGGAACAAGTACCAAAATCTGAAAACTCCCCAGTCTTACCAGGAATATAGAACTCAAAATAACCTACTAAGAAATATGCTGCAACAAGCAAAGCAACAATATGAACACGGTTTGCTCACAAGATCTGATAAACAATCCTATTCCTACATAAAAAGAACACTGAATTCAAACTCTACATATATTGTTCTAAAAGGATACTGGATACTGGAGATATAATTGGAGATTTCAGAAACCTTGGCGAATCAATTTGAGAAAGTCTTCTCCAGAGAAACAGATCAGAGAAATTTCCAAAGACTAAGAAGTAAACGTTCAGTTGCCAAAATAACAACAGCCGAATTTATGGCAGAAGAGATTTTTGAAAAACTTTAAAATAGACTCCAGACAACATTGCAGCCATATTTTTGAATAAAATAGCAGCCAGTATAAGTGAACCACTCTCATCGGCTATGTAGAATCTAATGGAGAATGGAAGAGTGTCAAACAAATGAGTGGACCAAGGCAATTATAACGCCCATCTACAAGAAGGGAGATAAAGAAAACCCTGGAAATTATCGTCCCATAAGTTTAACATGCACTTTATGAAAGTCAATGAAGAGGATCAAGGATTGTGTTCTGGAAAATGACGTTATTCCTGCAGACCAACATGGATTTCTACCAGGACGATCCACCTTCATAAACCTGCTTTCGTGTTTAAACAAGTTGACAAAAGAAGTGGATAGTGGAGGGACTGCCATCAAAATAATTTCAATCCAATCTATCATTTTAGCAACCAAATTTGGGATGACTTAAAATCACTTTCATTTATACTATTTAGGTATAACAAAATCACTATAGTGATACCGATATCCTAGCCCAAAATTAGTATTAATTTGTTTCCAAAAACATACTTACCTTTTTCATATAGACCAACCTGTATTGAACCTAAAACAAATCAATTACAGTAATGTATTCTTCAAAAATGTGTATACTTAGCCATCGATGCCAACAAATTTAAGCTTCTTTCCGTTTGTTCAAATTATCCTAAAAAAAAGAATACATAAAATTAAAAACCGGAGTAAAAATACAAAACAAAATTATTTAGAAAACTATACTGAAGCATTTTTTTCTAAATAAATATCCAACAAACTACAACAAAAAAGTATTAAAACCATTTGCTTAACTGCCGTCTACCTTTAAAATAGGCCAGTTTTGTACAACACACACACATTTATTGTCAGCCATTTTTCTGTCCTCACTGGCTCTATCTGCAATAGAAAAATAAAAAATATAGTTAATGTGTCCAATACAAAAAGCAGGGTAAAATAAATAAGTCAATTTATTGATTTGTTTATTATTATTATCATACAATTACAAATAGATTAAATTTTTTTTGCCAATTTTTGCCTGTATGTTGGGTTTACCTCCTTGTCGTACAAACATCAAATTTTGTCCTGTATAAACGGATGAGTCAAGGCGTTGTTTAGACTTATCCGCTTAGCTGGATCGATTGATAAGGCTTTTTCCAGAAGGTCTTTCAATTGTGTGACTTTTTTCAATTGGTCCGGTGGTAAGGCTTGACCGGCAACTAATTCCGATTGAAGATCTCTATTTACTTTGACCACCGTCATTACAACAACTTTTTCCTATAACATAAACTATTGTACTGTAAACTTATACATAAATTGTAAACTTACTCTTTCAGTAACTTTATCTATTTCGTGATACAAAAAGTTACAATTACTGTCAAAGTGTTGTTCCTTAAACGCGCCCCTTCTTATTACTTTATTTGGGAATTTCCCTTTCAAATCCATAAAAAACTTCAACATTTGATTGTTGGATTTGCCTGAAAACAGGATTCTGCCAGCGTACAACTCGTAAATGGTACAAGCGGCACTCCACATGTCGATAGCGTAGTCGTATGGTATTCCTAAAATAATTTCTGGTGCCCTATAGAAACGGGATACCAAGTATGGAGTGATTTCGTTTTCGTTCACTTTCGATCCTGAACCGAAATCGCACAGTTTCAGTACTAGTTTACTGTCGTTTACTAGAATGTTGTCCGGTTTGATATCTGAAAAGAATAAAATGAGGAATTGTGATTTTAATATGACAATATAATTTACATCTATCTATTGACCATTATAAATATGATCTCTACTATCCCCTGTATATTAATTATTGGGAGGATTTGAAAATACTGTGTCAGGTATTTTTTTTTTTAGTTGCCCAGTTTCTTTTGGATGGTCTACTTACCAGCATGTAAAATTCCAGTTTTTTTCAGCAGTTTCAACGCCAACAATAATTGCTGAGTGTAGCTGCGTACTGCCTTAATGTGCAATCCCACGTTTTTTCCATATTTCTTCAGCACCTCCCTCAAGTTCATTGCCAAAGGTTCAAATACCATACACAAGTGTTGCTTGTGGAAAAAGTGCCTGATCAGCCTTAGGCAGTGCATCTTGTCTTCTGGATCAGCGTCGTTTAGTTTTTTCAGAATTTCCAGCTCCTTTAGACCAGTTTTGTGCCTGAAATTTACCTCATCAATAAGAAAATGCATTTTTAAAGAAATTACATACATAATTTCATTGTTCCTTATAATCTTAACTGCAACATCTTGACTGCCGCGAGCTTGATCTCTAGCTCTTATGACATTACTGAAAACACCTTGACCAGTGTAACCGTAAACCATGTATCTGGTATCTAAAATTTCTCCAATTCTGACTCTGGAAAAATAACAACAGTTAATTCTAGAAAAAATTTAAATCACATTATTTACCTATAATAACCTTCAGCATCGTCCCAATTGTCAGTGAGTGCAGGGTTTTCAGCCCCCATTCCTTTAGATTTAATTATTGCACTTGGAGACTGGAATACAAACAAAATAAAAAAATTATAACTAAAAAAAAACATCTTACATTAGTATTATGCTTGAACACATCTTGTTCAGCAAACATATCCCATTCAGCCCTTTTAACAGGTTTATCCTGGGTCTTTTTGTCAACTTCTTTGGTCTTCATGTTGGGCAAAAGTGGTGGAGTTAAGGATTCTTCTTCAACATTTACTGATTGAACTTCAAAAATGATCCCACTTACTTATACATTTATTTTATAAAAATTATCACTAACCTTCATTAGTATTAGCAATCTTAGGCTGCCCATTATTATTGTTACTAGAATCCGAATTTCTTTGACTTTTCTCTTTGACTTCAACTTTAGCAGGTTCTTCTTTGGGTGCTTCAGCTTGTGGACTTGACGGTGCTGACGTGTTGGCGTTGGAGTCTTCATTTGTGGCACCAAGCCGCTAAAAATACACAGATTTGGATAATTAACAACAACAAATTTTAATCCTACCTTCAACAACTCTTCTCTTTGTTTTCGTCTTTTTTCAATAATCTCCTCTTCATCCTCGTCATCAGTATCAATGTCCAACTCAATTTGAACATCAGAATCTGAAGAATCCTCTTTTGTTTTAATCTGCCCTTCACTCAATGAGTCCTAAAAAACAACCACACTTCCTAAAAACTCTGAAAATAACACAAACTGTACCTTAAACTTGTCTTGTACTTTGCCTTTTCTATGTCTTCTGTCTCTGTCCGTCGACCGATCTCTATAATTTCGCCTGTCTCGGTCATTACTCCTGCGATCTCTAAAGTCTCTGCTATTTCTGTCCTTGCCTCTAGAATCACGTGTCGACACAGTTTCCCTATATTTGTGATAGTCGCGCAAATCTTTATAAAAATTGTCTCGGTGTCTATCATTGGAACGATCTAACCGATTATCACGTGTTTTTTCACGACTGTAAATTCTATCACGCTCTCTCTCACGTTGACGCTCACGTTCGCGTTGTTTGTCTTTTTCTAAAAGTTCTCTTATACGTCTAAAATTATAAACAAAATAATTTATATAAGTATAAACTTCTATAAACAAATCTATTATTACCTATCTTTATCTTTAATCCTCTCTTTAGAACTCTTAGAAAGTTTTTTCATCTTCTTCTTTTCGGGTTCCTCATCCGAATCCAATAATGTAATAATTTCATCATCAATTATTGGCTGTTCAGTGCCATTTTTCTTATCTACACCAACATCAGCACTTGCCAATTGGGCTTGTAGCAGTTCCTTTTGCTTCATTAATTCTTCCAAATCCATATCGGCTTCAATTACGTTCATATCAATTGCATCGGAATCGCAATCTTGTTCAGGTACATCCATGCTATTTTCTTCAGACGATATTATATCCAAGGATACTGGTTTTTCTGTAAGGCCCTCGGTGATAAAGTCTGTAATATCGTCGATATCAGTCGTGCTTACGTCAATTGGTTTAGCAGATGATTTTGGTTTAGAGACTGGGTCTTTTCCATTGGTTAAGTCAACGCTTACGATTCTCTCGGGAGTGTAATGTTCATTCGGTTTAGGCGTCGCGTCTCGGTCACCACTTTTGCGTTTGTGTTTTTTATGTTTCTTGTGCTTCTTGTGCTTTTCTTTTTCGCCTTTTTCCGCCGAGTGCTTTTTATGTTTGTGTTTGTGTTCTTTTTTATGCTTCTTTTTAGTTGGATTTTCATCTTTTTCTGAATTGTGTGAATCAGTTCTTATCTTTTTCAGTGACCTGTAAATGAAAATACAATAACTGAAATTTGAGGTGATGATTTAAAATACCATGGAAATTATATTAGGTACCTTTGTGCGAATCTTTGTAGTACAAATATTGTTTTTTTTTTTCGCTCTTATCAAGCTGTAGAGTTTTGGCTGATATATATATATATCGACATGGGGCTATTGTTATCTGCAGTATTTTTTTGCTAGGGATCATCAAAATTAAAGTTCTGATTGGGGTTTTTTATAATAATAATAGCAGTCATTTATTGCATTTGGCTAGCAGACATACAAAAAAAAAAGTACCTATAGCTTGGGTAGCTACTTTATAGGATTTGGATTTTCTATTATAGATAAAAGGCTGAAATTTTCAACGATTCCTATCCCAGGACAGGACTACAGTCCCTGAAAATTTCAGCTCATATACAGGGTGTTTCAGGAACATCGAAACAGAGGCGTTTTGGGGTATTATAAGGTTGATTAAAAAAAAACGCTCGGACACGTCAATTTTGTATTCAAGGGGAAACTTTTTGACCCCATCGGTATTTCGCTAGGGTGCACCCCCTAGGTGGAGTGACTTTCACCCCTCTTTTTTAGATAAGCAAGATGGTTCGAGTGGTACCTTGTTTCAAAGGTATTTTGATTCTCGTTACAACTCTGTACTTTTTTTGAAAATCGAATAATTAGTTCTCAAGATATTCAGTGTCAAAGTTGCCATGGGCTAAATAGTATACAATCTTCTGGCCCTGTTATTCTCAAATTAACACTTTCCTGACTTTCCTCTCGGACAGGACACATCAATTTCCTTTTTTTTGTGTGCTTCCGAAAAAATTAAAATTAACGTGGGAAGGGAAAGTGTAAATTTGAGAATAGGATCAGAAAATTGTTTCTTATTCAGCCTATGGCAACTTTAACAGGAAATATCTTGAGAACTAATCATTCGATTTTCAAAAAAAAATACAGTTGTGACGAGAATCAAAGTACCACTTTACCCATTTTCCCCGTCTAAAAAAGAGGAGTGAAAGTCCTCCACCCAGGGAGGTGCACCCTACCGAAATACCGATGAGGTCAAAAAGTTTCCCCCTTGAATACAAAATTAACATGTTCGCTGGCGCAGCACAAAAAAGTTCAGGGGCAGAAAAAGGATCACCCTGTAGATTTCTGCAAACGTTTGACATGTGCAATCATTTAGCTCCTATTGCGTAATCTATATCCCAAATTTGAGCCAAATCCCTCAAAAATTGCAGGAGGTATAAAGAAAAAACTAAAAAAAAAATACAAAATTTCATCATCCTTTAGATCAGTAACGAAGCGTTTGCGGACGATATACCATCTTATGTTCTCAAAGATCTGACTGATTTTCCAGCTATTCCCCTTCAATCTATCACTGAAAACAAACACTTTTCCAGATATATGGACATTATCAAAAGCGACAAATCAGACATCAAAAACTATAGGCCCATTTCATAATTATCTTGCCCTGCCAAAATATTTGAAAGTATAATTTATGAATATGTGTATAGTTCAGTAGTAAATAAAATTAGTCCTGAACAACATAGTTTTTTAAGCAAAAAGTTAACAGCCACCAATTTATCTCACATTACACAATACAAATCTGAGGGTCTAGACAGCAAATGCCAAGTTGATATGATATACACTGATTTTGTGAAAGTATTTGATAGGGTGTCACACAAGTTCGGGTTCAGTGATAATTTGATAGGTTTCTTTGATTCATATTTAATTTACATGATAGGGAGCAAAGGGTGGTTGTTGATATACTTTTGTGGCGACTTCAGGTATCCGGTATCCTCTTGGGTATCCTGCAGGGATCAAAGCTTAGACCGTTATTGTTTTTGCTGTTCATTGATAGTATAGTGAAGGAAATAACAAATTGCAAAATCTCAATGTTTGCTGATGACATGAAGTTATATTTGGAAATTGAACATGATTGAGATTGCCAAATAGTACAGGAAAATTCGAATAAGCTGTATCAATGGTCTGATGCAAATAATCTCCATTTTAATATCAGCAAATGTTATGTTGTTCACTTTACTAGATTTTGGGGCCTCACTAGAGCCTTGGGTTAATCGTTTAAATTGAACGCTGGTCGTCCAAGTTGATCCCCTAATTTTGGCCAATCAGTGTCCAAAATCTCAGATCACGCACTCGAAAAAGTCTATCGACTTTATGAACGGACTTTAAAGTACTGTTCAGTGGTATGGGAATCCATATTATAAAAAATATAAATAGGTACATTCATTACAAAGAGTGGTGAGTTTAGATTGCATATACCCAGAATAGACAAAATGAAAACTAATAACCTAAAAAATTTAGATATTCAGAGAAAAATTGCTTCCATTATGTTTTTGTATAAACTAGTTAATAATTTTATTGCGGATCCTGATCTTCTGATCGCGTATCTTAAGTTTCATGTGCCAAATTACAGAAGAAGAAATCCACTAACATTTTATATAGATAATCGATAATACTTGAACAAATTATTACAGCAATTCTATTATTTCAATGTGTAAACTTTATGATCAATTTAGAGACGAATGTGATATTTTCAACCGAGGATTGGAAAAATTCAAGGAAAGAGTTCGAGATGTGAGAAATATCCGTTAAATCATGTTATATGTAACAAAGGAAAACAGGTACTCTATAATTGAATGTACCTGAATCTGTGTGGTTTGTAAATTAATAAATAAATATTGCTCTCCTTATTTTCACAGCAATTCCAATAATTATAGGTATTTATATCAGCATGGCTGCATACATTCAATCCTGGATTTATTCCTAACATTACTCAAATTCCATAATAAGAGACGAGGAGAGGGTTACTCAACAGAATTTGTACACCTTTTTATAAATATAAATAAATATATAAGTATTTGCTGTATTTACATGTATTTACTTCTTAAATTGTATTTAAAAGTATTTGAAAGTATTTAAGGTTACTTTCAAATGTATTTAAACATATTTATTTATACCTAAATAAATGTATTAATATTAATTCATATTTTTATGTATTTATTTATATCTAATGAAAAAGTGAATTTGATGAGGTTGCAGCCAAATTTTTGAAATCTTCTAGATCTTCTTAGGCATTAAAAAGAGACTCTTTTTATTTGTGAAAGCTTTCGGTATAATTTCAATACCTTCTTCAGTCACTCTACAATATAGTTGTTATAAAGTTACAATTATTTATAAATTAATAAATTAAAAAACTTACAATAATTGAGGATAATATATAAGCTGACTGTCTGGGTGTTTTAGAAAAATATTAGATGATTCAGCTGCAGGTTTTGATAATATAAACGTAAAAGATCTTATCATAATTATTGAACCACTACTGCCAATTTTAACAAATCTCATTAACAATGTACTTGCAACAGGTATATTTCCAGAAATATTAAAATTAGGAAAAATAACTCCATTACATAAAGCAGGCGATATAACCAATAAACAAAATTATAGACCAATTACAGTTGTGTGTGCTTTTTCCAAGATTATCGAGTCTTTGCTGAAAACTAGATTAATTCAATTTATAAACAAATATATCGGTTTTGATAGGTATCAGTATGGGTTTTTGAAGGAAAGTAATACTCTTTGTGCTGTAACAGATTTTGTAAACTGTGTAGCTTCAGCTTTGGATGAAAAAAAATGTGTTATTGCTGTATTTATTGATCTTAAAAAAGCTTTTGATGTAGTGGACCACTCGGTTCTACTGAATAAATTATGGACCATGGGTGTTCGAGGGGTGATGTATTCCCTTATTGCGTCCTTCTTGAAGGATCGACCTCAGTTTGTTACAGTGGAGGGAATAGAAAGTAATAGAATTTTAAACAATTGTGGAGTACCACAGGGTTCAGTTTTAGGGCCGATATTGTATTTAATTCACGTGTTGTCACTGAGGCAGGCTGGCCTGACAGGACGGTATTTCACGTTTGCGGATGACACTGTATTTTTTTATAGTGGATCCAACATGCAAACACTTGAACAAACTGTAAATGTTGACTTGTGTAGATATTCTGAATGGTTATTGCATAACAAACTAAAACTTAATGCAGAAAAAACTATATATTTAGTATTCCAACAAAAAAATACAGAACATTATAAATTTGAAATAAATATCAATAATATGCAGATATCTCAAGTTCACTCAACCAAATATCTAGGTCTTATAGTTGATGATAAACTTAATTGGGGAAATCATATTGACAGTTCGGTTAAAAAAATCATCCCCATGTTGGGAGCATTGTATAGATGTACAAAATATTTAAATACCAGAAATCGCTGCTCAATTTACTATGCATACATTCTGTCAAACTTGAGATACCTTATAAATGTTTGGGGTACATGTGGTGTGACTTCTTTCAACAGAGTACAGGTACTACAAAATAGAGCGGTTAAGGTCCTGTTTCAAATGCCTTATCGTACCTCCTCAGAATTATTGTACCCACATCTTTCGTTACAGCCAATAAGATATGTGTTAGAGTTAGAACAATGCAAACACATTTATAAGATTTTATTTTGCAATCTCAAAAGTAATTCTAGTCTAAAAACAAACAGTGAACTGTATGAGTACAAAACAAGAGGAAATCGTAATTTACATGTCAGTAGCATAAGAACAAATAAAGCACTTTATAATCCATTGACCAGAGCAGTACTTATGTATAACCAGGTACCGATTCATGTCAGAGAAGCTTCAACATTTGAAATATTTTTGAACAGACTCAGGGAGTTTTTAAACACAAAAATGTATTTCTGAAAAAAATAAATAATAGTAATGATGAATAAATTGAAAAAAAAAATAAATAAATAAATGAAAATGATAATAATAAAAAAAAAAAAAAAAAAAAAAAAAAAAATTAAAAAAAAAATTCTAAATTAGATTAGTTTGGTGCCAAAATGAATGTACAAATAAATGTGATTGTTGCGAATGTTTTTATTTACATAAGTGTTTTTTTACTGTATAACTTTGGTAATTTTAAGGTTTTATTAGTCTGAATATTGTGTAGTCTGAATCAAATTATATCTTGCTCCGTTACCAGCGTTTAGCTGTTTAGGAGCGAATAACAAAGTACATAGCTTAACTTGTGCCTTAGATTATATGAAAAAAACAAAAATTGTAATTTGTTATTTAATAAATAAAAAAAAAAAATGTAAAATATATAAAAAAGTAGAATAATATAAGGATAATAATTTGTAATTTCTTTAAAATTTTTACCTGATATAATTTTATTGTCAATTTGTCAAATTTGAAAATCATTTTACAAATTATTATCCCTATATTATTCTACTTTTTTATATATTTTACATCTAATATTTTTCTAAAACACCCAGACAGTCAGCTTATATATTATCCTCAATTATTGTAAGTTTTTTAATTTATTAATTTATAAATAATTGTAACTTTATAACAACTATATTGTAGAGTGACTGAAGAAGGTATTGAAATTATACCGAAAGCTTTCACAAATAAAAAGAGTCTCTTTTTAATGCCTAAGAAGATCTAGAAGATTTCAAAAATTTGGCTGCAACCTCATCAAATTCACTTTTTCATTAGATATAAATAAATACATAAAAATATGAATTAATATATATTTTACATCTCATATTTTTCTAAAACACCCAGACAGTCAGCTTATATATTATAGGGATGTCCAAAAATAACCGGTATATTCACTTCACTTTAATCGGTTATAACCGGTTATTTCACTAGCAGTAATTAACCGGTTATTCATTCAAAAACGTCATAATTGGAAGCAGGTTATTTTTTTCAGAAATCTGAATTTTGATACTGAATAAATAATAGGAAAACCATCTTTAAACTGTTAAAATTAGATAAAGATAGAAAAGTGTTGACGTAATTGTATTATTCCGAATAAAAAAACGAATATATGTTGACAACTGTCAAGTCAAAATCGTCAAAATGCAAGGATCAAGTTGTCTGGTAATGGGTAACTTGATGACGCATCTGGGGTGCCTTATGGAGATTTGCATTATATTGAGACACCCCAGCTGACGTCATAGAGTTATCAGGCCAGGCAACTTACCTCTCTCAAACAACCTTGATCAAAATGAAGCTTCATCTCTGTCGCATTATATAGGTAGTACTACCAAGTTTTATCAACTTATTTTCTATTTACAAAGATTTTTTTTCTTTTATTAACATAGGCGCCGGAATTTCAAAATTACTATGGGGGCTCGGGCTCCAAAAATTAACATAGACACATAGACTTAAATGGGACCAGTTGGCGGATACCCATTTATTTTACTTCAGGATCGGCGATCGCTATGCTGGATCATTGATCGTCCCTGCAGGTCCCCGCATATTATTAAAACTCGTGCATCTTCGGCAGTTCGGCTATAGTCGGCTTCGGCAGCACCATTAGCGTAGCCAGGATTTTGCCTTAAGACGAGAGGAAATTTACAGGAAGTGATCCTTATAGCAGTTGCAGTTTCGCCGCGAGCGCTGCAAAAAGAAAAGTGCCGCGAGCGCTGCAAAAAGAAAAGTGCCGCAGGCGCGAAATTTTTGGGTTTTTTCACGGTATTTTTGGGACTTCTAATGGCAGAGATATGGCAATTTAAACAAATTTTGATAAGAATTCATAGTAGAACGTTACTTATATTACAATGTATGTATTTGATTATTTACGTAGGACTTGAATTGATTCTTTGTTTATTTTATTTTGAATTATTAATAAAATTTAAAAGCCTTTGGGAGAAGGGGGCAAATGCTGCTTTGTCCCCTTCCCTGGCTACGCCAGTGGGCAGCACCGGTTCGATTCGCCTTAACCGGGTACAAGCTAATTCGTCTTATTACTCCCATGTGTCTAGTAGGTTTTCCGATCTGTATATAAATTTTTCATGATAAACTAGGTAAAAAAAGCCAGTGTACCTACTGGTACATAATGATATATTCATGTGATGTACCTATCATGAAAACCAACGGGAAGGAAATAATAATAGAACCACTTGTTGAAAATACAGGTTTAGATACCTACCTACTACCTACTACACAAAAATATATTAAAACTGTTTGTTAAAGTAGGTATAGCAAAAATAACAAAAATATTGATAAACACACAAGTTTGATATATAGGAACAGGAACTCAATATATCTGTACCTACCTATTAGACCCACTACATAGAATAGCAAAATCACTATGGGGGCTACGCCCCCATAGGAAATTCACTATGGGGGCTCATGCCCCCATTGCCCCCATGGTTCCGGTGCCTATGTTTATTAACCTTAGCGCATTCACTATAAAATCTGATTTTAAAAAATCAGTTAACTGTATAACCGGTTTATTTTACTTCGGTTAATCGGGCCAGTTATTTTTTAGTAAAATATAACCGGTTAACCGAAAAAAGGTTATTTTTCGCTGGTTGGACATCCCTAATCATAAAGTAGGTTACCTTCTCACTAAAACGATGAAATTTCAAACTTTTTTTTGTTGAGATTTTGTGGCCTAATGGTCAATTAACATCCCCCAAACTCAATACACTAAATTATTCCCAGATTTGGAGCCGAAATCTATGAAAAAGGGCACTCAGAAAAATTGATAAATCACCCCAAATTGCTTAACGCGATTTTATTTCTGAAACTATAAATCCAAATAAGTGAAATGAGAATCGCTGGAAATTTCAGCTTTCTATCTATAATAGAAAAAAACGTATGACCTTTCAACTATATTATATTTTTCACTGGCTCCACAAAGTATTTACCACAAAATGCAATAATATATTATTGCATTCATCAACGAGTGTGATCAGTGAATGAAAATTTGTTCATGCTTGTCTATAGTCGCGTCGGCAGGACTAGCTGTATTTCATCCAAAATTTCAGGGGAAAATCGAAGATTTATTTGTATTTGCATCTATTTGTCCGTATCTTAATTCTCTTTATTTATATTTACCTAAATGTATTTATTTGTGTTTAAATGTATTTATTTCTATTTAAATCTATTTATGTATTTGTATTTAAATCTATTTATTTGATTTAAATGTATTTAGGCATGTATTTTTGTATTTAAATAAATACATTTCTTGAATTTGTACACCTATTTATGGAGTGACCTGCCCCTTGTAAGAGACCAAGTGATTAAAATTATTATTATCAAAGCTTATCCACAAAAACCATAGAGAAAAGTTTAAACACATCTGTGTACTGTATGAAAGCCAACACATATTACTTGTCAACTTTTCTTTTCAAATTTGTCCAGAATAATTGGATAGAAGCACTTATGATAACTATACTGAGAATTATATCCTTGAAAAAGTTTTCGTATACAACTTATCTTTCTAGCTTTGTGATACAAACATAGAAAACCTTTGAACTTTCAGATACTTTGCAGCTAGACTATGAAATTATGAAAAAAAAATATGTAAGTGAATGGTCCAATTATAGGAAACAAGGGCCTAAGCATAATTATTATTAGAATTGTTTAATTATTTAAAAAGTCTATTAATATGATGATTCCCTGAAATGGCTACAAGAATACTAGGATAACGAGAAGTTGAAATCGATTATCAAAGATTGAATTATGTATAATAGTGAACAGACACTTACTTTTCCATATTGAAGCTTGCAGCAATAATAAACTCTTGTAGATTAGTGAAACTTTCTTTCTATGTAGAATTGAAAATTAATTTTTATTATCAAAGCAGAATCATCACCATCATGAAAAAGTCAACAAAACACCAAACTTCATTTTGTCAAAGTTGACGTTTGTTTGACTGAAGATTTTACAATTTTTCATGTTGGCATCACTGTTTTATGACAACAAAACAAAAACAAGTTGAAAATTTCAAATTTTCTACTTTATTATTTATATTTATTGATCTTTTTAATAAATTTCTTCCTCCCAAAAGTTAATAATTCCCAATTGAAATGAACGATTCGGAAACAAGATCTACACGACTGCAAAAAAGACGCCGCAGTAGCGTGGGCACTCGCGAAACGCCAGTGAAAAGTCAAAAAACCAGCCCCAAAGCCTTGATCGTCGATAATGGGGCCTACAGCATTAAAATTGGCTACGCCGAAGACTCAGAACCAAAAGTTATACCCAACTGCATTATGAAAGCCAAATCTGAAAGGAAACGGTTATTTGTGGGGCAACAAATCGAGGAGTGTCGAGACTGTTCAGGTCTGTACTATTTACTGCCTTGTGAAAGAGGCTACATTACGCGTTGGGAGGTCCAGAAACCGGTATGGGACCACGTATTCAGTAAAAATGTTTTTCCAATCGAAGACAATCCAGTTATCTTGACGCAGCCTTTATTCAATTTCAAATCGATCCAGGATTGTATAGATGAGATTTTCTTTGAAGAATACGAAGTTTCTAGTTTATTCAGATGCTCGCCCTCTGATTTAACTTATTTAAATTATGCTAAACATAAGCAAACAAAAAATGATGCTTGTTTAGTTGTGGATACGGGATTTAGTTTCACGCATGTAGTTCCTTATGTGCTTGGTAATAAGTTTTTAAGAGGAATTAGAAGAATTAATGTTGGAGGGAAATTGTTAACTAATCATTTGAAAGATATAATTTCTTATAGACAATATAATGTTATGGAAGAAACTTATGTGATTAATCAAGTAAAAGAAGATACCTGTTATGTAAGCAAAGACATTAAAAAGGACCTTGTTAAAGCTGCTGAACCATACAAACTAAATTCAATAGTGAGAAACTATGTATTGCCTGATTTCAATCTTATTCGAAGAGGTTTTATTCAAGAGAATGTCAAAACTGAGCTAAACGACGAAGACAATAATTATCAAATTTTACGTTTAAATAACGAGAGATTTATTGTCCCAGAAATATTATTTCATCCATCCGATATTGGTATTAAAAGTATGGGAATTGCTGAAGCTATTGTCGATTCAATTTGTTCTTGTCCTCAAGACCAAAGGCAATTGCTGGCTAGAAATATAATACTTAATGGAGGAAATTGCAAGTTTCCTGGATTCAAAGAAAGACTGTATGCTGATTTAAGATCATTACTTCCAGTTGATTGGCCAGTGAAGTTGTATCTACCAGAAGATCCCATAACATATCCTTGGAAAGGAGGAGGTACTTTATTGAAAACTACTGATTTTCGTAGTAATTTAGTTACTAAACAAGACTACGAAGAATTAGGTTCAGGAATAATTCAAGAAAAATTTAATAATTTTATGTCTAACTCAAGTGAAGTAGAGGTTGGCGAAAGTTCCAATAACATTAAACATATTGAATATTTGCCAGGGCTCACAGCAGATGTTCTAGGTAAGCAAGAACTTGCCCTACCTATTAATGAAGATGATAATAAAATGGAAGTAGAAGAAGAAAATGATGAAATGGATGAAAGCTCTAACAACTTAAGTATGGCGGCTGAAGATGTAGATAGTGAAAAAGGAGTGAACAAGAGGGGAAGAAGAACCAAGGTGATAGAGGAAGAAAATGTACAAACCCAAAACACTGTTGAAAATGAGTACAATATATTTGATGACTCAGAAATTTTTCCTTTTGATGTTTCAAGTTATTTATGAGTCTTTTTTTTGAATTGTTAATTAGGATTTAAATAAAGTGATTTATTTGTAATCAGTTTGAAAATATTTCTCTATATAGAATCAAAATATTCCACAAGGCATCAGAACAAACACACTGGAGATTATATTTCCCCATATTTTGGCTATTTTTTTTCTCAAAACTATAATTTTTTAAGGAAAGTAAATGTTTCTATGAAGTACTATGAAGTGGTAGAACTGCCATATTCTTTCAAAATTCTTTTGCTTCCATAAAGATGGTACGAACACAAGTTTCTCCAGTGGAAAAGGACTTTGAGTTTTGTGTATCTGAATGTATCTTGAACAATTTATTTAATGTGTCTATTTACGGGCAATTATTTTTACAAAAATTGGCAGAATTATTAGATGAGTTGTATAAGCCTAAAATATCAGTTATAGTTGGCGGTGATTTTAATTTCAATTTCCAATGTCAGAATGATGAAAATGTTATATTTTTGCTTGGCTTATTTGTGAGCTATGGCTTGGTTCCTCAAGTCAATCAAAATACAAGAGTCACCTCTAATAATGTGACTCAGTTGGATAATATTTTTTCTAACATTAATATTGACCTTTTACTTCTATCAAGTGTGCATTTATCTGACTTGTCTGACCATTATGGGCAGGTGGTGGATTTTGGGATGCCCAAGTTTGAGTCCCTGCCAAAGCATATTAAGAAAAGAACATTTAGCGATGGAAACTTAGTTTATTTTTCTAATTATTTGTCAAATGAGGATTGGGATGAGGTGTATCAGTCAAATGGCGTTGAAGGAAAATACTCAGCATACTTCAATATTTTCAATTACCATTTTAATATGGCATTTCCGATGTCTTCCACAAAAATCAAAAATAATAAACCATCTTGAATAAATTTTGAAATTCGAAAATACTCTAATTACATTAAAGACCTATACGTCAGAAGGGCTCCGACTTCATAGACAGTAAGGCTTATAGAATGTTGCCACACAACATAAAAGCAATTGAAAATGTGGATAGATTTAAGCAATCAGTTTACCAGTGGTTGCACCTCAAATGTTTTTACTGTTTCAAATTTACATTTTAGTAGGTACTGTTTTTTGTAATGTGTAGGTACTAATGTGTAGCACAAATTCTATATTTGTTCTCATGTATTTTATTTTATTTTAGCACTGTGTGCCAACAAATTGTGTATTTTAAGTTATACCCTAAAACATATTGATTGTCTGTATCGATAATAGCTGTTTGGATCAGCCTTGTAACGTTGTTTGTATTGTTTTGTTATTGTTATTGTTATTATTGTTAACAGCAGTAAGCGGTTTAAAGAAAAACCGATGAGACTGCCGTATTTGTTTAGACAGCTATCGCATTCTTAGTTCTGATTGTATGGTCTATAGACAGTAGTGCACAAAGGAGGTTATGGCCCAGCTTGTCATTTCCTGGTCGAGGCGATTCCTAAACTGATTTTTGGAGGTAGAGCTTATGGTGTCAGCACTCAGGCGGTTCCAATTGTAAACAACTCTATTGTTAAGGAAATTCCTCCTCAGGAGCTTATTGCATCTTTCTTTAGAAAGCTTTTGATCGTGTCCTCTCAGATTTATGTTGTGGCTTAGGTGGAATAAGATGTCTCTCAGGTTACAGGCACAGTGACCGTTGAGTATTTTATGTGTTTCAATGAGATCACCTCTGATTCTCCTGTCTCTTAAAGTTGCGAGGTTCAATCTCAGGAGCCGTTCCTCATAGGACAGATTTTTAAGTTCCTGCGGTAATCTGGTTATTCTTCTCTGAACTATCTCTATCTGTTCTATGTCTTTAATAGTATGGATTCCAAATCGTTTGGGCATATTCAAGTTTTGGTCTTGCATACGACTTGTAAAGTTTCAAGATCATTTCCTTTGATTAGTCTTTAAAGGCTGTCTGAATAAGGTAGATCATTGAATTAGCCTTTTTGGACATTTGTGTGATATGTGTATCCCATTTCAGGTCATATGTTAAAGTGACTCCTTAGTCTCATTGTCCCGTTACTGGTGTTGTTTCCGTTTGTTCAAAGAAATAGTTGAAATTGGGATTGTTTTGACCAATATGAAGGACAGTGCATTTGTAATCATTCAGATGAGACATCCCCCACTTATGTGTCCAAGCTTTAATGTTGTTAAGGTCCATTTGTAATTCAACCTGATGTAGCAGCGGATTTGTGTATAGGTTTCCATCATCAGCAAATGTCGCATTATTCGTGTGAGCCCTTGTAGAGATCACTTATGTAAGTTATAAACAGCAGCGGGCCAAGGACTGACGCCTGACGAACAACGCTGTGTACTTTGTGCTCCTTTGAAAGTGAGGAATCCACACGTACTTGGAACAACAACCTCAGAAGTTTACCTCTAACTCCAAAATGTTCCAATTTATAAAGCAAAAATTCTGTTGGCACCTTATTGTCGAATGCTTTTTCAAAATCATGGTAAATGACATCAATTGGTTCATGGTTGTCATCAGCCAGGGTCCACTCATTTAGTCTGATTAGCAGCTTTGTTAATGTTGATTTTCCTGGGAGAAAGCCATGTTGTTCAGCAGGTAAAACATTTTCAAGTATAAAATCAGTGAGTTCTTTGGCTACTATTTTTTCCATGCATTTACATAGTGCACTTGTTAGACTGATTGTTCTATAATTTTCTGCATATTGGTGTTACCACAGCCATCTTCCAGGCTAAAGGGAAATCTCCTGTGCTCATTATGGTGTTAAGCAAGTGAGACAAAGGCTCTTTCAGCACCTGTACACAGTTCTTGAGAAAAACTGGTGTGATCTCATCAGGCCCTGGACTAGAGTTTGGTTTTAGCGATGTGATTGCGGTTTCTACTTTTTCTGCTGGGAATATGATGTTGGTAATTTCAGTCCTGGAGTAGGTTTCCAAGGGAAGTGTGGGTATATTTGTGTTCTGATCCAGTAATGTGTAAACGCTTTCAAATTGCTCTGCAAAGTATTCTGCAATTTCTTGGTTTGTCTCAAATGGTTGTTGGGTTGCCCTATCAACTATGTTAAAGTTTTTATGCTTGGAGTTGAGGGTGTGAGTTATGTATGCATAGAATTGTTTGTCGTTTGTCAGTAGATTATGTTCATAAGTTTTTCTTGCCCTCACCATGCACGCTTTAGTTTTGTTGTTTTATTGCTGATACCTCTGATAGTTATTGTCAGTTTTGAATATTTTATATTTATGCCACAGATTTCTTTTTAGCTGGTGTCAATATTTGTTGGATTTGCTACCTTATGTAACTCTTGCTGGAGTGAGTTGTTGACAGCATCATAGCTTTCGAGAACTGTCTCTTGTAAACCTTGTGAGTTGGCTGAGTTATAACTTGAAATTGCGTTGTGGCTGTAAATACTACATGGTCACCCAGCGGTGCATGTTGGTGAATACCGAAAATTAGTTTCTTCTCATTAGTTATAAGTAAGTCTAGAAGTGATTGCTGGGCATTTCTAATTCTTGTTCGGAAATTAACATGTTGGTGTCCTCTGTGGTTTATGTAACTCTCCAGGAAGTCATAACTGCACTGGTTGTGTGGATGAGTTACTAGTTTGTCCCAGGTGATTTCAGGGTAATTGAAGTCTCCCATGATAAAGACAGGCTCTTTTAATGTCATAGCACTTTCAATAGCTCGTATCAGTCCTAAGTTAAGCTCTACAGTTGTTTTTTGTCTATATACACAAGCCACTAGGAACCTAAAATTGCTGATTTTAACTTCAAGCCATAACGATTCAGCTGAACCTGCTGTTTCGAATCGCGGACTTATGACTGCATGTACATTCTGGCCACCTATGTCACGTTTGATAAATACACAAACACCGCCTCCGTCGGTTCCTCAATCCTTACGGAACAAGTAGTAATCTGGTATGCCTATAAGGCTATCTGGTATTTGATCGGTTAGCCATGTTTCTGTAATCAATATTACATGGGCATTGGTGTTTTGGATGCTAGCTTTTAGTTCATCGAGCTTATTTACCATGGAACACAAATTGCTATACCAAAAGGAGACTTCAACAAGGGACACGTTTAGTTTTTTGAATTTTCTCTTTCCTCATTTTGAAAGAAAACTATTTTTGGAACATTGTTAATATATCATATCAGACTCTTATATTCATTTCCCCCTTTTGCTTTCGTTCTTCCAGATCACTGATTATGACCTTCAAGTATGTTCTTTGAAGGGGTGTTTGGTCTGCTTTGAAATTTCCTTCATTAAGTTTTGCCTCATTTCTTAAAATTCCCCTGGGAATTAATACAATTTTTGTTGGCAATAATGGTATCACAAATTCATACACGAGCCGAAGGCGAGTGTTGGAATCATTCGAGTGAATAATAGCCATTATTTGCGAGTAGAAAACTATACTTTCTCTTCAAACTCTTTGGAAGAAAATCATTTGTTGCGGCCCATGTATTCGGAAAATCCAGAGAATTTGAATCGTTGATAGGCCGTGGATTTTGGTTTGGAATCCATGAGGCGTGTAGAATTCGTATCATTAATCAGTTTAATATCGAGCAAGAATGAATGTATTATTTGTTATTTGGAGAGAAAGATATTCCAAACAGACTCTTTGGAACACGATATTGCGAAGCACCCTGACGACTTTCTTTGACCATGTCCTACAAAGAAAACAATTCAGAAAACTTAATTCCAATCTATTTCTTCACTAGTTTCTCAATCATTTTCGGTGGATGGCAAGCTGATAGGGTAAAAATAAAAAAAAAACAATGAAGTTCTGAAAGAAAATTTATTGATATGGTAAACTATAACACATCTATAAAAAAACCTTATTTAAACATAGAAACTGAAAACTAAAAGTAATTATTATATGCTTTACTATACTTTTTTTATAATAATAATAATCTAATATACTTTTGAAAAAATACTTCAACATCAATTGAACAAATTAATGAACAAAATCTCTTAAATATATATTTTTTTTTTTTGTGCTCAAATAGTACAAAAAATCAAGAATTTTAACTACCAAATCTTTCAACAAATTTAGTTACAAACTTAGGTACATAATAAACATGCCTTGAGCAAAAAATAAATTGTGAAACAATTATGCCATTTGTATGGCCTTTCTTTGTTGGAAAACATGCCTAATTCTAAAAACGCTGCTAGGGTTTGCAATCCTGGAATTAAAAATAAACCAGTATAAGAGAAAATTATTTTATTTTATTCTTCTGAATTACGAGATCCCAGGATTTTGTTCCCTAGGCTCAAATATCCTAATAATCAAGACTGCAAGCCCCAAAAACGCACACAAAACCACATTTAATCTTGCCAAACCATTTTAAGAAAAACTAATGACTCAGCTCAAAATGTTTACAACGAATTTCCTACAAAACTCATACATTTCAATAATCTTTCACTTAGTTACATTTTATACCTATTGATAACAATTTTTTAAAAAATACCAAATTATCAGATTATATTATGGTGTTAGTATTAGGATTTGTAATAATAAACTTTTCTCCTTGTAGAAGATTTTTTTATGAATTGAGATTCTGAATAAGAAGTTACAATAATATTGTAAAAACGTTTCCAAAGGCTTGCAATTAAAATGGTTTAGCTGATGAATAATTGTGGTAAACTGAAAATTAAAATTACAAAACAAAATAAGGGGGCAGTGGTAATAGTTTTATAACTATTCAGCATCAAAGTAGTGTCTCCTGTGGAAAAAAATATTTTAGTTAAATTAGCTATTTACTTACCGATACCCTGTTAACAAAAAAATTATTTACCTTCCACCTTGTCCTCGGTGTCTTCTACTCAATTTCCTCTCCGAACTGTGCATTTCAATAGTCAGTCTAGCAACCTTTTTAGGATTTTCTCTTAGTCTTGTTTCCTTGCTCTAAAATAATTATTACCAATACAAATACGTAAGTATAAAAAAAAATTATTATTGATTACCTCAAATTGTCTCGCTTTATCTACTTTTTCCATGTATTTCGCGATTAAGTCTTTGCAGTCCATGTTGTCTTCAGGTTCCCAAGAGTTTGCCGAAGAACCATACCCTTTCCATGAAACCAAAAAATCCTTTTTGCCATTTTTGTGAAAGTAAACATCAAGAATTCGATCAACCTCGAAATCTTCGTTTTCATCCCAGGACTCTTCTGGTTCATCATCTTTTTTGGAGGGTTTTTTCTTTTTACCAGCTTTATCGTCCTTTTTCGATTTCGATTTTTGTTTCTTTTTGAAGTCCTCGATCAATTCTGCACAATCGAGAGTATTTTCAGGTTCCCAGGTGTCGCTGTCTGGTCCGTATCCTTTCCATCTTATTAGATAAGATGTGACACCTTTTGTGATTTTTTTATCGATTATTTTCTCGACCTGGTAAAATATTTTTTTAAATTGACTTATTAGAGACATGTGAACTAAATATGTATACCTCATACTCTGAATCGTCCCCTCCTTCCTCGTCATCGTCGGCGAGAGGATCCTTTTCTGCAGTGGACTAGAAGTTAACAAAATAATTTTAGTTATTTATTTATTCATAGTATAAATGGGTTGTACCCAATCGTACATATGTATGTACCGGGTGATTGTCTATATTTTGCACCTACACCTATTTCACCTGTTTCAAGAGATACCTAGAAATGTCAAATGTGGAAGTTATAGGTAATATCAGAAAGTTTTCAATGATGTTAGTTACAAGTATACAGGATGTATCACAAAAGTGTGGCAAGGCAAAGTTTTACTTTTTTAAATGAAAACCCCCATTTATTATTGTCCCTGACAAACCCTGTATACTTGTAACTAACATCATTTCTACTTTGGTTGCTATTTAACAACCTTGTTTATGTCAACTTGCATAATGAATTATGAGGTAACCGAATTAGATAGTAAAAAGGCTCTTGCCATTATTCAATCCAGCACGATTTACCTTTCTGATGAAGGTAACACCAAATTGACAACACTGCAAGTTGGATATTGACTGTGCGGTTAGACAAATTTGATTAGACTTCTAAAACCTTCCAAACCAATATTGAAAAGGGCTACATTCATAGTTAGTATGATGATAGTGATAGTCTATAATTTCTTATGCCATGTGGAACATTAAAACCAATCAAACATAAAAGCTGAGGATCATATCATTCATCACTTTAAACCAGAATACATAGGTCTTGATGATCTCTCCTTTGGGTTAGGGTTTGCAAGTTTGAGAGTTTTAAGATATCCAAATTAATAGTCATAACAAATATTAAGTTTGAAAGCAATAATTTTCAAGAATCCTCGTTGTACACTCTCCAATTGGTATTTATATTTTGCTGATATTCATGACAGGGGTGCCCATGAAGAGAGTTTGGGTTTTGTACAAAGATTTCTCTGATATTGACATAATAGTTGTTACTGGTTATCTTATGTTTCAATCTCGGTTTCGATTAAGTCTCCTCTATGTCTTCTCTTTTAAAGTTGTTAGTTTTAGTCTTGTCAATGTCTCTGCGTATGGAAGGTCTTGTTGTTCTGGTGGTAGTTCTGTAACTCGTCTTTGTATCTTGTCTAGAATTTGTATCTTTGACATAGTAAAGATGCCACTCTGAGAAAGCGTATTCAAGTTGTATGTAACTTTCATACAGTTTGCCTATCATATCTATCGAGTGTGGTTTTCCCATTTCAGGTCAGAAGTCGGACTCCTAGGTCATTTTGATTTGTCACAGATTTTATTGTCACATTGTTTAGTTCGTATTCTTCAGTGGGATCGTTTGAACTGATTCTTAAGATTGTACATTTGGACTCATTCAACTTCATTCCCCAATTTGTAGACCATTCTTTAACAGTTTTTAGCCCTTAGCTGCCCTGCATGTACTAGTGGATTTGTATAGAGCCTTTCATCATCCGCAAAGTTTTTCACTTAAGATGAGACTGACAAGATTAAACAAATATCATGTGGAAAGCAAAGGGCCCTTGACCCTGAACAACTCCGCTACTGACAAGATGTTGCTTTGACAGCACACCATTCACTCTAACTTGATAAAATCTCTCATGCCTCTCACTCCAAAGTCTTTAAACTTTCCTAGAAGTAGATTATGTGGAACTTTGTTGAATGCCTTCTCATAATTGAGACAGATCACATCTGTGGGTTGAGAATTATCATGGTTGTTTGTCCAGTCTTGAAGACATTCAAGTAAAATTTGTTGTTGTAGAACGTTTAGAGAGAACTCCGTGTTGTGAGGGTAGTATGAGATGTTTTTCAAAGGAAAATGCTGTCAGTTCTTTAACAATTATCTTTTCCATGCATTTTGGAGGTTTGCATAGACTAATAGGCCTATAGTTTTCTGGTCTATATCGATCACCCTTTTTAAATAGTGGAGTCACTATCGATTTTCTCCATTGCTGTGGAATTTTTCCAAGTTTCAAGCACTCCTGCATAGCCTCAGCTAGTCGAGAACTAATTGATTCATCACAGTTCTGCAGAACTATCCTAGGTATCATCTGGGCCTGGACTGGACTCTTTTTTCATACTTTTTAGGGCTTTTTTGACTTTTTTTTCTTCATTGAAAGTTATAGATTTAAAAGACGGATGGATCGGTAAAACAGGGAGAGTAACGTTCTGCTGAGTGAAGACTTGGTCAAGCTGCTCAACAAACTTTTCAGCCATGGAATTGCTGTCTATAACATTAATTGTTATGGGGTCGTACAAGGTAATTATTGTTGTTACTTTTGAGTTCAGCTTCTTGTTTAACAGTAGTTATTTTCTCAGGACTTTATGAGTTGGCTTTGGGGGAAGCTGCGTTTTGGCTGTATCCAATAGGAACTTCTGATTGCAGGTCGTATATGCTCTTTTTATAACTGCACAGAAACAAATCCAGAAGAGAGCTTTGATTTTTTCAGAATTGTGTTGGAAATTTATTATTTAAGAAGTGCTTGATCCTTGGTATATATCCATAAAATCTTGAGTTTTTTTTATCTGGTGGGGAAACCATTACATTTTCCCATTTTACGTTGGCGTAATTGAAGTCTCTAAATAAATCTCATACAGTTAGAAAAACCTTTGGAATCTTTTGATGTTGCAAGAATTATTTATGATAATTTTCAAGGATGCTATTTGCCCAAAGTTTTTGTGTGCGGCTTTTTTATTCAAGATTAAATCTTAATGCTTTAACCTTCGTCTTTTCACGTCAAAAAAAATTATGTAGATTCCCACGGGGGGTACATACATACCCCATGATAAAAATGATACTTCTGATAATTAAACATGATTTTTTTTATACTAAACAGTTATAATAGATAAAATCAACCTATAGAGTACAGTTAGCGAAAAAAAAAGTTGGGAAATGGTATTTTCGACCAATGCGTGCCATTTTTTGATTTTTAAATCATTTTTCCGCCTTCTACTTCCCGTAAAATTTCCATCTCCACAGATACTTCTGGATTGGCTTTATTATCGTGATTTCTAAATTTTGCAGATTAGAAATCTATTTCCAACCTGCAAATTTCCTGCAAGGTGACTACTTGATAGAGTAACCATAGATTCCTACATGGGGTACGTCATTGGGTACATGTGCCCCACGCTATTCAAAAATTATTATTTCTAAAAAATTAATAAATAGAAAATTTTTGATGATCACTAATTAGTTATGTGCAAAGCCCTTACTGACACAAAATAAATTTAGTCACAAAAAATATCCACTTTTTGGGAAAATATTCTAGAAAAATTGTTTTCTGGGGTACATTTGTACCCCACCTGGGAAGATGAAGGTTAACCATCCACTTTGAAAAAATGGGATTTTCATTTCTGTTTAAAGGAATAGATAGTTTAAAAGCATTAAAAAAAAGTATATTATAGAAAGATTCACTTAAGTCTGCTAAACACCTGTATCATCAGAATTCAACCAGCATGGCCTGCTTCAATATTCACTATAATTTATCCAGGATACCTTTAAGATTGTTAAAATCATCACACAGAAAAATGTCAAGATTGTTAGTGTAATGCTACTTACTAAAAAAATATACAACACAGCACAAACAATAGTTGACACTCTAGGTTTTCATCAACTGCAATTACAAACAATAAAACATAACTTATTTTTTAAATTACCTCCTCATCTTCAGCCTCTTTGGCTTGTTTCCCTTTAGTAGGTTTGCTTTTTGATTTTTTGACTTTACTTTTCTTCTTGTCTGGAGTATCACCATTTTGGCTCACTTTGGTGGCAAGCACTTCATCATCATCTGAAGACTGTATAAAAAAATAAATAAATAAAGAAAAGAAAAACCCAAAATTAGGTTTAATAACCAGATATCATCTAATGGCAAACACAAATAATAACCTTAACTTGTATAAAATTAAGATTTTAGATGTTCTTGGAGGCTTAGAATTATTAGATCTCTATAAAAGTCCCCCTAGCCTTTTATTTATCTAGACTCATTTGAGTGGTATTTGGTTCCTCATTGGCAGAGAGTGTATTTCCCCAAGCATGGAAGATTTCTATTTTTAAAGGCTCAGGTTCAAACAATGAGATTGAAAACTATTGACCACTAACAAGGCTGTCACAGCTGATAAATTTAAAACAATTGTACCCAAACTTGTAAATGTCACAAGGTGAGCCAGGGAAAATATGTGCTTCTTGTGTAAGTTTACCATTAATAAAAAGAGCTGCTCTATAAATGGTTGACAACGCAACATCTTTTCCAGTGCCAAAGGTTTCAGTGGAATAAAAGAGAAATAACATGCTCTAGCAAATTACCCTTGCACCGGCCCAAAGATGCAAGAAAACCCTTTCTTATGAGAAGGGAATGCTGGAGGTGAAACAGAGGAAATTGTTTTCTTTTTCTATTTAACCTTAGAAATTTCATTCTATTACATTAAAATTGGCCCGTTGGATGTTGACTTGCCAAACCTGTAGAATCAGAATCTACATCTTAGGTTTTTAATACCTAGCCAAGTACAAATACAGCATAACTAATTTTTGAATTACCTCCCCAGACTCCTCAGTTACTTCGGCTTGTTTCTTCTTAGATGGTTTGCCTTTTGATTTTTTCTTTTTTTCCTTTTTCTTCTTCTCTGAAGCATCACCATTTGGACTAACTTTGGTGGCAAGCACTTCATCATCCGAAGACTATATATTAAAAAAAAAAGAATTGACATGGTTAAACAAAATATTTAAAGTTTACCTGAGCTTCATCTTCGTCGTGAGTTTTTTTGGGCAAGGATTGTCGTCCGGATCTGCGACCTTTTTTGTCCGGGCTTCCATTACTTGTACTAGGGCTCAGACTTTCATCATCTGAATGATGGGGCTGAAAGGAAAAAAAATATACATATATTTTTGGGAGGAAGTCAAGAATCTTGATGTAAAACTTTAGTAGAGTTTATATGAAGTCAATCTGAATAGCATAAAAACTGCATATGCGTGCAACAGCCTAAGTATTAGAATTCTTCATTTTTGGGAATTCTTAGGCTGTTGCATGCATATGCCTAATTTCATAAGATGTCGCCTACGCCTACGCAGTTTTGTATGCTATTCGGAATTCGGATTGACTTTGTTTTTCAAGATAAATTTACCGGCTTGTTTACCGGTGTATAAATAGTTCTATTGGTCGGCGGTTAACTGGCCGACCAATGGAATTACAGATTGTGTTTACTTTCTATAGGTCAGATTGCATACTTGACAGTTTCTCAGAAGGTGAATAAACCGGCTCTAAAGTAGAATTTCTGATAATTTTGAGCAAAGAAGTATGTTTTCCACCAATATCTGAAAGCAATAATAGAGCTGATAAGTTTGGATTTAATTTCACCCAATACCATCACACATCACAGAAAAGAAAATTAAAAACAAAATGGCGCCAAATAAGTTAATGGCTTCCAAAAGCCAAATTGCCTCACAGGCATAAAAAATTGTAACAAAGCAAATTCCAAAAAAAAAAAAAAAAAAGTTAAATCTAAAAATTACCTCGGAAGCTCTGGATTTTTTCCTGCCTCTTTTCTCTTGAGGCTCGTCTTCGGTTTGGACATTGTCGTCCTCTAATTTGCTACTCCTTTTGGAACCTTTGCGCTTCATTTTCACCAAAAATCTCAACACTTGGCAGACGCGAAAACTTTTATTAATAGGATTTTCGTCTAATTTTCCGGAGAAAATTAGGAGAATATTAAGCGGGACGCTTAAACAGGAATAGGGGGATTGTCAAAATGCTACCCAAGCCTACTACAAAATTGAATGGATAAATAAAAAAAGCTTGGAAGGGCCGCGAAGAGAAACTGACTCACACTGTTGCCAACCGCTGGCATAAATCAGTGTTGCCAACGGAAAGTTTTTCGCGGTGCGTTTTTAGCACTGGATTGCATACATTGAAATTACTTGATTTCTTTGGTTTTTATCTAATTATGCAAGTGAAATAATATTTATTCATTAAAATTATGGAGGAGTTTATTGCTGTAGTAGGAAAAAAAAACTGGTTCGAACAAAGACCATTGAAGAAACACAATCTGAACTGGGTGCACAAAAGTTAGTTCTAGTTCAATAAAAGGTCTGTTTCTGCAGAAATCACAAACCAGTCAGAGCAAATTTCGTTGGTTGAAAACAGTCAGAAAACTAGTTTCAACCAATGAAATTCACTCTGACTGGTTTGTGATTTCTGCAGAAACAGACCTAAAATCTCAACCTGAAAATGTTTTAGGAGCTCGTGACTCTGACTTATAGCGGGTATTATAAAACTACTTTGAGAGTTAACTTAAAGTTAACTTCTGAAATTACATGTAATTCAAAAAGTTAACTTCAAGTTAACTGTCAAAGCAGTTTTATAATACCCACCCTTGCTGAGTTCGGCTTTGCACTCCACGGAGCGGCACGGTATGAGCATGGTTATCGTGACGTCATAAGCCCAAAGCAAAAGAGAATACTTTGAGAGCTAAAACGAACAGGATCCGAATATATAGACATCTATCATAAAAAATTGAAAACCACGTATTTGATGACTAGTATTAGGTACAGTGGCTAAATAAACCTTTACATACAGTGGCGACAATAGAGTTCCCGCCGCCATCTTGTTCCCAACCTCTTGTTACTTTCAAATATTAATATATAAGATTTAAATAGACATCTATCATAAAAAATTAAAATCGGCATATTTGATGACCATTATTAGGTTCATCAAATACGTTGTTTTCCATGTTTTATGATGGATGTTCACCTAAATCCTATATATTCATATTTAAAAGTAACAAGAGGTTGGGAACAAGATGGCGGCATTTTCAATATAAACATATGGGATTTTTGAACCAATCAAAAATGAGACCGCAATTGTCGCCACTGTGGTGATAAAGTCACTGTAGTATTAGGTACAGTCGTGAGCAGGGTTGGATGAACCCACCAGGGCTGCGTTCAGGAATGGCTATAGCCAAGCCAAAATTGGCATTTTGCGTTCGAGTTCGGCTCCAACCGGCTCCAACCTAGGTGGTTCAGCATTACCGGTGGAGGGGGAAAAGTAGGTTTTGGCATTAGCATTGCCGTCCTTGAACGTACCCCGGGATACCGGGAAATTCCCGGTGGGCCGATCGGAATTAGGGCCGAAACAGGATCTTTATCAAGATACGGATATGAATATGAAGATGATGTAAATGACTGAAAAAAGTGTTCATCATATTCACGTTGCAAAAAATGTTTTGTATTAATAAAGATTAATATATCCGTGCTTGCAGTCATCCTTGAGGCCTGTACCATAGTAAGTAGGTATGTCCTTATTTTGGCGTGTTCATAAGTAGGAAGCGAAAAATGCTTTTCAACGCTTGGAGACAAAAAAAAACTCTATTATTCTAGGAAAAGACATCCTAAGATTGTTGAAGATTCCCTTGGAAATGTTTTACCTAAGCCCCCCATTAAGAAAATATTATCAATCTGGTGTATTACTCACATACCACAACACCCAAGCCTATATCCAGAGTGTGAGGCTGCACTCTATACACAACACCCTTCACAGTTATCACCCCTATAGCAGGGCACTGTGAATATACCTAGTGAGTGACAGCAAGGTAACCGTCAAAAGGGCCTTATTGTCAAAAATTACTAAGAGGTTGTTCCGATTTCAAAAGGGAATCCTTTTCAGTGATTGTTTGAAATAAATAAACCAAAAATATAATCAGCAGTATGAGAGTTATTTTTCAATTTTTTATTCCGCGTTTTCATTCAGCATTTATTGTTTCATCATTGTTGCTAATTTAATATTATTGGATCACAAGTGTGGTGATGTGGCCCATAAATCCATCAATTAGGCAATTCAAACCACGTGACTTTCAAGATGGCGTGGCGTCCACACATGGGCCAAAAAACACAAAAAAATATCTAGATTCTGCCCGATTTATTAGTTTAGGTACCTAGACAACAAATATTTTATTAAATAATCCAAATCAAAGTTGCAAGCAAAATAATTTGAAATACGCATAAAAACACATTCAAAACAAACTTGCTTGGCCGCCATGCCATATTGAATTTTCCTATCTGACAGATGGATTGAATTGCCTAATGTATGGGCCGCTAGACTGAAATTACCCGGCCCCCTTCCAAAGGTCGTCCAACCCTGGTCGTGAGCACAAAAAGTGGGACATCCGACTGACACTTTTGTCATTTTTTGCTATTTTTCGTAAATAGTCTTTTCTCTACAATCGATTTTTTGTCAAATATGACAATCCCTGTCATTGCCGTAGGTAGCTAGCTGGTGAGCCCGTTTTACAATAGGATAAAACGGGTGTCCCACTTTTTGTGCTCATGACTGTACATCAACATCAAATACGTTGTTTTCCATGTTTTATAATGGATGTTCACCTAAATAAATCCTATATATCCATATTTCAAATTAACTAGAGGTGAGGCACAAAATTGCAGCGTTTTCAATATGGATATATAAAATTTTAGAACCAATCAAAAATAAGACGCCAATAGGGTACCTACTTGCATGGAAAATTAAATTGATTAGGTATTGTTTATTGCAAACTGTAGGAAATCGAAAAAAAATCGATGCGTGATTATTTCGAAAGTTATACAAATATTGAGTTTTGTATACATAGATATAATGAGCACGTTGTTCAACACTGTTGACAATCCATTGATTTTTTTGAAGCCAAATTCTATGTCCCTATATTTCGCGCTTGCGCATTATTGATCGGAAACAACGAATCCTGGGCCGTGGACAGAGTCGGACTAGGATTTTTTGTGGATTAACATTGAGAATTAAACGGGATCATATTATAATTTCGAAACGATTCGTGATTATGTGAATGTATAGAGTAAACCTAATATGTAAATATAAATACTTACAGTCGTTCATCGTTCGGGAAACTAAAATATCCTAAGCCTGGGCTAGTTCTAGTGTTGTTTTTACAGACAAAACAGGAAGCAACCATGATAATACACAATGTATAAACGTTAAAACAGTCAACTACACAAAAATCGCGAATAACACGGAAAGCAAAACACTCTTAACAAAGCCGAATTTCAAATTGATGAATTTTCCGGTTACTTTTCAATTTCCTGAATAATTTCAATCAAAAACCTTCTCTTCTTTTTTTGTAATTCAATCCTGTTGCGTGTCTCGTTTGACAGTTATTTCTCGCGGGTTCTCACCCAAGCTATCTCTATCTCTTTTTTGCGTGCAGGATTGGAAAGAGACATGTATATGCCGAACTTCTTTTTCAATTTGAAGGGGCCTATTGTCGCCACTGTGGTTTAATACTTTAATAGAGTCATTGACAATAGGCTCCTTGCTTCACATTTTTTTATTGCTGATTTCGATAGTCCATGAAAAATAAGTCAACACGTGTTTTTTCTTTTTCTTGTTAGTCAAAAATTGACGGAGATACAACGCTAAATGGACGTAGTTATGCAGGAACCTACCAACCGACAATACGTTCGAAATTTGAATAAGCTCCATGCCTGGATTAAGAGGGGGCTAAAGGGGCTGCAGCCCCAGGCCCCGCGATCCAGTAGGGCCCCGCAGGGTCCCTCCTACTTTTGAAAAATGAACATTGAGGTGTTGAGGCTTATGCTGGTCAAGGACCCGTGGGCAAACAGTAAATATTAAATGCACTAGTCTTTCGCGTCATGTTCCGCAAAATTTCAGCCGAACAATTTAACCTATTTTTAACAAAAAACCTTTTAAAACACAGTGGCATGACCGGTTGTAGCGACACTTAGCGGTTGTCCTACTTCATTCTGTAAGCATGAATCAGATAATTGTTACAAGTTAAAAGGTTTCTCTTCCGCTACCTGGAAAATCACCTGGAACCTGGAACACTTTTTTTTCCAGAATTTTTGGTGTCAGACGAAAATAGCTGTTTTGTTTATGCAACAAGTGTGTAAAGTGAACCTTTTTTTCACGAATGTGAATTTTGACGACTCATGACATCACATGACTGGAAAAAGGTGCTTTATACACGTACTGCATACAATATTTTTTCTACAACCAATAACATATGCGTAAAAAAATAAATTTAGACAAGTACTTATTTACGTACTAGTGCTCAAAATATTTGCAGTGCGTGAAGTAATTTACAGAAAAATACTAAATTGATGACAGTGTTGACATCTGTCATTGACATTATTACCTTACGCACTAGGGTATGAAGTGAATTACTTTAAGCACTAGTGCGTGAACTGAAATTTTACGTCTTCTGAAATCTGAATAGTGCGTAAAGTGAGTACTTTAAGCATGGTAGTAGAAAAAAGATATTTTGACTTACTTTTGCAAAACATGTAGGTATAGCAGTGTCTTCTGTTATATCAGGAATATAGTTTTTTTATATATATTTTTTGGCACCCAATTTATAAAGGGGCTACAGGTCCCCCTAAAACTTCACTAGCTCCGAGCCCCATGAAAGCTTAATCAATCCGGCCATGGTCATAACTTAGGTATAATACGTTGTGAGTTGTGACGTCGCATATGCTCAGTATATCTCTATATACAAAACTTAATATTTGTATAACTTCCGAAATAATCATATTTGGACAAAATAAAAAAACACGCATCGATTTTTTTTCGATTTCGTACAGTTTGCAATAAACAATAATCAATTTAATTTTTCATGCAAGTAGGTACCCTATTCTAGCCTTGACTTGTGTATCAGGTAGTAATTTGGATCTCAATCCTCTCCACTCTCCATAATTGGGTTCTTTTTACTTCTGAGTACAGATCGAATGTGCCTTAAGCCAGGCGCAAACCAGCGCGGTGGCGGTGGCGGTGGCGAACGAATACTGCACATGTAAATAAATCAACGCGTGCATACTGCGGCGACCTGGAAAACGCGCCCGCCGTTCCTGCAGCGTTCTACCGCGGCTCTGCGGCGGTCACATTGCGATCGGCGGTAGAACGCTGCCTGCATCATTTTTCCGCTTAGTTCGCGCGATCTGCATCAGTACAGCGAAGTGCAAACATGTCGTGTGATACTGAAAAAGTTAACGAAAATGTGCGAGAAAAAAAAAAAAAAAAAACAAGGTTTTTTTCTTCCATTTCTTGGGCACTCATTGCGTACTTCTACAGTCAAAATTAAAGATAAAAATGACAGTCAAGTAGCACCTGGTAAAACAGAGATTATTAGAAATGAAAAAAGAACAGAGAAACAGTTCATCAAAATATGCCAGTAGAGCAGACTCTACAACCAATCTTGATCAAGAAGCGAAAATGAAAATACTGAAAGTACTAATATTCGCGCGGAAAAAACGCGTTGGTTTGCGGATATCAGTATTATCAGTTCGCTTCGTCACCGCCACCGCCACCGCTCCGGTTTGCGCCTGGCTTTATTTTAGAAAACGCTATCGCCTAGTGTCGCCAACCTAAAAACTGTCTAGTTTTGGTTTATTTACCTACCTATTTGTATTTATTTTGATTTTATAAATTTTTAGAGGTTATGATTTTATGATCCGGTAATAGGGTTGACAAACTATCGAAAAAAAAACTATCGATAGTGATATCGATAGAATGGCCTACCCATCGATAGTAACTATCGATTGTACTATCGATAGTTTGCTCTGACCAAAGTAACCAAATTTGTAATTAATTACGATAAACATTAACCTCCAACCTCCGTCAAGCCCATCAAAGTCACTCGTCACTCCTCCTAACCGAAAAATTGGCAGCACAGCATGTCTATCCCCAAAAATAATTACAGATTTCTCCAAAAGACTACAGATTTCTTTATAATTCCCTCAATATACAGATGTTTTCATTTACCTTTGGCTACATTGGAACTATCGATATTGGTGCAGGTCTATCGATACTATCCAAAATTAAAAAACTATCGATATTCCTATCGATAGTTTGTTATCCCTATCCGGTAATCCTTAGCGGTAATCGGTATCGGGTTGTGTGCGGTTTTTATTGCTGATGTGAATTTTCAAAAATTCAGTTTTAATCAACAAGTTCACAAATATCAGTAATTTCGGAAGCGGCAAATGCATAAGGTTCCTTTGTTACTTTTTATCAAAATTTCTTTATTTATCTTTCTATTGCTTAGCTTCTATTTTGATTAGTTTGTTTGGATCTGGAAATTCTAACCAAATTCAAACTCAAACCATTATAATTGTTTTTATTTGCAACTGTGCAGTAAGCAATAAGTAAGGTATACCGCACAATTTTGTGTACAGTAAGTACTATATTACCGCACGCTAGTTGCAAAATTACCAGTAATTTTACGTATTATTATCGAATGTAATACCACAAGAGGTTTCAGGATTACCGGATAATACTTTTACCTGTCACGAAACGCGTTACGCAGCAACACCACGGCTCCGAAGGAGTAGTGTTGCTGCTAACGCGTTGAGTGTCAGGTAAAAGTATTAGGTAATCCTGAAACATCGAGTGGTATTTAAAAGGTTATAAAATCTGTTTTTTTTTTAAAGATAAAAGTCAAAATGACATTCTGTTGGCAATACAATGTAAAATTGTCAATGCTTTCAAATTTTTTATGTAGAGAAGGCTTATGTTGCCAACATAGTTACTAAATTTTTGACTTGGGGAATTATCTTTAAAATAAAAACATACTTTACAACAAACTAAACTTTAATTTTTATCATTATTAATATCAATATTGCCACCAAGCACGATAATCCCAAAAGGCTTATCACTTCTTAAGCCTGGGAATAATGTACATATGGGAATAATGTACAGTGAGTTGTATAACCGATAAAATTGGTAAAATTGAAAAACAACTTTGTGACTCTACAATGATGCAACATTGATTTTAATTGTAGAATACCTACTAATGGTGGTAAGATGAACTTTTTCAAGAAATAAATTGAATATTTTTTCTTTTGTAGCTGGTGTTGTAGTGTGCGCCATAAAGTTGGGTACATATGGGAAAATTCTTAATTATTCCTTTTTTCAAAAAACTTTTGGGGATTGTGAGGGCATGTTCGATAACCAAAAAATCTACTATGACACATATCATGTTATTTTTCTGAAGACCAGAAAATGTGCAAAAAGGGACATGGGTACAGTTATAGCGACACGGCCAGACGTTATTTCCGAATTTATGACCTTCGAGTGTGTATTTCGCAAAACAATGGTAGCAAATATCAAGTCAAGTTTCCCAAAATTTTGTAGAGGGCGCGAGTGAACTTGGAGTGCTTTGAATTTTGGCGGTAAATGTCAATAGATTTAAACCGTTTCAACGAGTAGAAGGAAAGATTTATTTATTTATTGATCAGTAGTATAACAAAAATATACATAATACTATTATATATTCACAATAAATAATAACAACTTATTCCTACTGACTATTCGGTGCACAATGATATTCATAATATTGTGTGTGCACCCATTTCATTGCAAGTTTACTACTATTTGAGGTAGGTTACCCATTTCAAAATGAGTTACCTATATTTATATATAATATGTGTCTAGGCCTAATAAAAATTAACAAAAATGAGCAATTTGTTCACTGATTATGTTCAGCATGAGGTATGCATGTTCCAGAAGGAAAGAAAAAAACAGACAAACAAGAAAAATCACAACTGAGAGCACTGAAGTCTAAACGAAAAGGCTGTCTAGATCAAATAATTAATCTTATAGTTATTTACAAGTATCCATTTAGTAATTTCAGATTACTACATATGAACAATGAACAGTGAATAAGTTAAAATATTTTCCAAAACGCTCAGAGGCCCTTAAAGAATATTTCCAAAAGTGTCAGCGTCAGCTTATCTTGAAACCACACATCAAACTTGACTTTTGAGGTTAAAATTACATTTGATTATTCACGCGAATCACACGCCAAAATTTAAAGAGCTCCAAGTACAGAAGCACCCTCTTCAACTCAACTGTCAATATTACATGCCATTGATTCGTTTGATATCAAACTTACGCTAATCGCATGACATTTTTCATAATCGATTTTTTGGTTATTGAACATGCCCTAACGATCCCCAAAAAAAGTTTAATAATTAAGAATTTTCCCAAATGTACCCAACTTTATTGCACACACTGCATAATAAATTATTTGGCTAAAATTTCGTTTAGAATAAAGAGTAAGTTAACAAAGAAGTAAAAATAAGTGTAAATAATAATATAATAAAATATTAACTTCAGGGTTGAAGTCTTAAATCACTGAAATCAACATGGTCATTGTCGATATACTTTACTGCTTTCTATTTTTCAAAATAAAGATAGACAAAAAGTTTGACACACATCATTGGTTATAATTTTGTAGTCTCTACTGCTACGACACCCAGCCGTGTTTATAATCCTAAGGCAATTTTACTGATTTTGCCAATTTTACCGGGATATGGGTAATATTACGTAATTTTACCATCAGTAATTTCACAACTCTACCGCACGCTGTACCTTCAAATAATATAATTATTAATTGCCTACAATTACCTATATTTACCTAACATCTAAATTCTATCGTCGTCTGTCAAAGGTGACAGACTCAATTTTATTTTCTATAATTTTTTAAGCTTTTTCGCTTTTTTTATATATATATATATATTTTGTTACCGCACGGTTATAGATACAATACTGTAATATAATAGGCATGGTAATTAGGTTGTTACTGCCCTTAGAGATTGGGCGCCTCACCAGCTTGGTTTGCAAATTTCTGTCGCGTGTGGTAATAACCACAGTTACCACACTTATGATGTACTATTATCTACAACCGTGCAGTAAGTTAGGTTTACCCGAGGGGTTTTTCACCTTGTTAATCGGTGTACAAATCACTGGTTAATATATGTCAATACCAGGTAAATACTATGTCAATACTTGTAGATATCTACAGAAAAAAATAGGCAATATATGTTAATGTCATTGGTTGATGTTGATACCCATTAATAACATGTAAATACCTGTGGATATGTCAATACCTAGAATTCTGGCAAGACAAATATTTGATTTTAGTCTGTCAATAGCACGGCAATAGCTGGTAATATGTGATAATACTAGAGAAATACCTGGCAATATGTTGAAATATTTTGTTTATACTCTCCATTGTTAATCCGACCAAAAAATGCCAGTCAAGATAGCCGAATAACAATAAAGGCTATCGAACAAAAAATCAAACCGTCCGATTTATCAGTTTCTGTAAAAACAGTGATTCAGTAAAAAAACCTCAAGTGAAGGCTGCGACAGAATTGTCGGAAAATTATGAGATTGAAGTCCCTAAACTTGCTAATTCAAAGATGATAATTGTAGGAATAAAGGAAAAATTCTGTGGAGAGGATGAGTTTGTACAGCGCATAAAACACCAGAATTGTATGACAAATATTGATAATGCATTATTAAAATTTAAAATAATTGGAAAATATACATCAAAAAAGTTAGGCCTCCAAAACGTTATACTGGAGGTTTCACCCGAAATGTTTTCAGAATTGCAGAAAGATATTTTTTGATTGGAAAAGTTTTTCCATCTATGAACATTTTGGAGTTATGAGATGTTATAAGTATTGAAAAATTGGACATAAGGCTGCAGTCTGTAGGAGTGATAAGGTTGTATGCCCCTCATGTAACAAGAACCAACGAAGTGAAGAATGTTCCTCTGAAATTTAAGAGTGTACAAATTGTAAATATGCCAAATTATAGGTAGCGCGGGATACAGACAGATTGTAGAAAAAAACACTTGTATCACAAATACATCTGCTTCCCTTATTGATTACATCATAACAAATGGTTATAGCCTTGAAGAAGTTCTAAGAGACTTTCCAATGTTAAGTGACCATGAAATGGTTCGGGTAAAGATTAATGTTACTAAGACGCCAACAAAGGAACCGCAGACTTTCTGTGTTAGAAACTTGAGTGATGAAGTCTCCCAGGTGTGCTGTGAGTTAATAGGAAAAACATGGAACTATACGCCTGTCGATGTTGATGTGTTATATGCTGAGTTTATTGCCAATATACAGGAAGCTTTAGATAAATATGCCCCACTAAAAGTTCAGATACAAAAAAAACTGCAAATGGATTACAAAAGAAATTAGACTGGTTCAAATCGAGAGAGATAGAGCTTACAAAAAATTTTGCTTGACAAAAATTGAGGCCGACTGGGAAAATTTTAAGCAGAAGAGGAATGTGGTTGTTTCTATGATTCGTAGACGAAAAGTGGAGTATTACAGCAATCATATAGACAATTGTAGGGATGGCAACAGAAAAATGTGGAGAACACTGAAAAAACTTATTGGATCCAAAAAACAAAATACTGTTTGTGATCAAGTAGACTGGGGACAATATAATGGAAGTTTAGTTGAAAATTTTAACAATTACTTTTCTGATAGCGTTTCTGAAATATCTGACAACATAGACTATCAAGAATGGAAAAATGAAATCAACTTGAGAACACAACTCTTAAACTTCAATACAGTTAACTTGGCTCAGCTTAGACAAATTGTTTTTGGACTAAAAACAGAAGCACCAGTGACAACAATATGAATATTAAGCTAACAAAACAACTATTTTGTGTAATTAGATATCCACTACTGTATATTATATATTATTAATAAATCCTTGGCAACAGAAAAAGTTCCTAGGGATCTAAAAACTAGTATTATAGTTCTCATTCCAAAAGTAAATAAACCAAGGTGTCCTTCAGAGTTTAGACCAATAAATTTCCTGCCGACGGTGGACAAGTTGATTGAAACAATTGTGTGTAATCAGCTAAGGGAGTATTTTGAACAAAATAATCTACTGTACTTGGGACAGTCGGGGTTTAGAAGCAAGCATTCATGCGAAACGGCAATCCAATATGTCTGTGCGGACTGGAGGAAAAGACTCAACGATGAGGAATTGGTTCTTGGGGTTTTTGTGGATCTAAAACATGCATTTGAGACCATAGATCGCGAGATATTAGTGAAAAAACTCAGTTCATATGGTGTACGCAAGGGGGCTCTAAACTGGATTGTTGACTACCTAAAAGACAGGTACCATGAGACAAAAATTAATTTCAGTACATCAGAAAAAAAAGGAAAGTGTTTTGGACGTTCCGCAAGGAAGTGTTCTCGGGCCGCTTTTGTTTATAGTTTATGACATTTATTGTACTTTGAAGAAATGTTTTGTAAATTTGTTGTTTACATATATATACTATCACCATTTTCAGTTATTCTTTTCTTTAGTCTCCTGGCCTCAACAACATTTGCAACGGATTTTGTATACCTGACTATTTCCTCTTCTGATAAGCCTTTGTAAATACTTCTGGCTATTCCTTTGCAAGTGACTAGGCTAGCTGGAATATGTGCATTAAGGTTTTCCTCTGACTTTATTAGTTAAAAATTCGTTTGCACTAAAATAATCAGTAAATTCTATCCCAATTCTATTTTTACCCTTTCTGGTGGTTTTCTCCACTCCTCCTTTTCTATTTATTGAAAGTCTACCAATAATTAGTTATAATAGCTAAATAAACGACTACAACAACAACAACCAATACTCATGGGATCCATATTACCAATATTATCCTCATTCTTGCTTTCAACAATAACCATGTAAGGTTTAGAATCTTGAATCTCTGAATGTGTATGAAAAGTTACTTGTCTTTTTTTGTCCATATTTCCACTAGGGAGGGGGGGACCGAAGGCCCCCCAATCATTTGGTTGTGATACTATTTTAGGTTAGAAAAAGGCAAAGCAGGAAAAAGCTATACTAAGGGCCGGTATTATAAAACATTGAATCAATGATTGAGTTTCAACCTTCGGTCGAATCCTATCAATTTGCATGGAGTCAACCGAAGGTTGAAACTCAACCATCGGTTCAGTGTTTTATAATACCGGCCATAAGGCAAGCAGGGATTACAAGTATACAGGGTGTGTCACAAAAGTTTGGCCACGAGTGTGGCGAAGCAAAGTTATACTTTTTTAAATGCAACACCCTGTATATTATTAACCTATTCGATTAGCCTTTTAAACCTGATATTAGGTTTTTTAGATTTATTCCTAAATGTTTTCTTTTTTTTATCATAATTGAAATTAAAAATTTAAGATTCAATGTGAGATAGCAATTTTGAAATAGACATTTTTTTAGTTGTTGGTTCAATGGTAAATGTGTAACCTAGCGATAACATTTTTATCGCCAAGAATTTTTCATTAGTCACTCCCACAATCATAATATGCACATACAGGTTTTTAATCTCAATGCATGTGTAACACAATACTTTGTAACCTATTTCGCTTCGGTATTTATGCGTTATGCGTTGTATAGATTTATTGAAAGATTTGTATTGTTTATCATAAATTGATTGATTTGTATTCTATTCTAAATAAGTAAAATATAGGAACTAAAATTATTTGCCTGGTTTATACCTTCACTGTCGTTTGGAACTAAAATATTATGTATATTAGTTATAACATTAATCCTAGTTTTCTGCATTTCAGTAAAAATCTCGGTAAAAACATTATCACATTTTTTGCAAAACCTCTCAATCATTCAAAAACTACCTATCAATCATCAACGGTCATTATCCATGAAAATAAATAATACCTACATAATGTGTATATTTAAGCTTTATAGTTTCATGATACTCTTGTCTTTAAATTTAAAAGATTTGGCTATATTTTTTCAAGGTCCACTCCAAATTCTGTTCAATTTCCGAATATAATGAGCGGGGAAGACGTTCTAAATGAAGTTCCAGGTGCAGAGGTAACTCAATTTACATCATTTCATGAATTATTATTACATTATTCGTTTACCAGTTAGAAGCACTCTTGCCAGACGGATACGAGTACCTTGTTGTTGATGCAAAACCCATATCGGATAATAAATTTATCGCCCTATTTCACATAGATCTGAAATCTGATGATGAAATATTTACGTGGCTTGACAAATATCAACAAAGAAACCATATATATTTCGAAGAAGTTGATAATGATGACGAAAACTTTGTGGATAATGAATTTATAGTAATATTCTCAAGTTTTTCAATTTTGCATTTTAACCAATTTATTTATTACAGAAAGTTTATAGATGCGTTGCAAGTACTTTCTCAAATGCTGAGGAACAAAGCATTCAATGTGAGGCCACAATAAAAACAACTTTAAAAAAAGTAAATATGGAAAAGTAAGTCATTATTAATTGTTATGCTCCTTAATGAATATAGCAATTTCTTTGCAGCAGCTCTGATCAGTATCTCGAAACTTACCCCTGTGAAATCGTCGTTACTCACTTCCACAACCACGAGCTGAATTTTTCTATACCAAAATTTCAACATTGGTTTGAAGATTTGTTTCAAGAAGGTCAGAGTCCAAAATCAGCCTTAAAAAAAATCAGAGAAGAACTTTTGCAGAAATATGGGGAGGATTACCTCGAGATAGATCCCACAGCTAAAATATGTTTGTGCCAAAGTTGGGTTAACGATTATTATTCGACTCTTTATGGGGAGCCCAACATGAAAGAAGAATATTCTGAATTAGAAAAAATTATTCACGAGTATAATGATGAATGTGGGGATATTTGTGCTATGGTTAAAAATGAGTCAATAATAGCAATATGTTCTCCACTTATGAAACGAAATTGGGAACTCATTAGTGAAGTCAAGGAAGTTATTTATGTAGATTCTTCAGTCCTAGATAAACACAATATGAGAATTATGTCGTTATTGTGTCCATCCCGTCTAGGGATTTTGCCCTTGGGCATTTTACTTCTGCCTTGTAAAGATGACGATGAAGAATTTATTATTGAAGGAATTAATCTTTTAAGGCTTATGTTACCTGAAAACGCTAAGACTCCCAAACTTATGATAGTTGCAGATAGAAATGAAGGGAGATGTAATTTATTAAAAGATTGTTTTAATATAGAAAATGTTCTGATCTGTAAAATATTTGTACAAAAAACTGTATTAAAGTGGCTGTGGAGTCAAAAAAATCGTCTTACCAAAGCAGAGCGGATAAATATTTACGTGACCTTTATTAAAACCCTTAACTGTAGCACGGAAACAGAGTTCGAGGAAAGTTACGAAAAATTAACGGCAATTTCTAATAACACAAAAACCTATAGGTATTTTGAAAATTTAAAAGCCATGGCTCCACTTTGGGCGACATGTTACAGGAAAAGCCAAAAGTACGACTCAAATGATTATTCAAAAATTATTTTTAATGTATTACAAAAAAACATGCCAGCTAAAACTTTGAACAAAGTGCAACTTTTTGCTTGTGTTGCTTCAAATTTTGAAAATTATTTTTTCAATTGGCTCACAAAACTTACAAGCTCTAACGGTTTGGCATCAGAACAAACAGAGAGTTGGCAAGGTTGCAGTTCTAGTGTTTTCGATTGTCGAGACATAGGCGATAATTTATACAGTGTGATGGAAGACACGAAAATAAATATTGTTAATCGTTCAATTGATTATTGCACTTGTAGTGTAAACCAAAACAGAGTTCCATGTCGGCACAAATGGGCTATAATAAGGGCTTTTAATTTTAAAGATGATGTACATCCATTGGTTGATGAGAAATTAAAACGATTGATTAAAAAACTATTAGTTGGTAATAAATGTATACTGAAGGGTTGGTATGATGACAATAAGAAACTTGACCAGTTGGATACTGATTATGCAATTACTAGAAAGATTTCAAAGCAGCCGCGCATGAAGGAAATTCAAAATAAATTAGAAAATACTGTAAAAACGATTATGCAGAAATTAGTATTGAATCCCAATCTGTTTATTGGGCCAGTTGAGAAATTTATAAGCGATTTTGAAAGTTGTAAAACTAATGATGACTTAGTGAATGTTTTAGCAAGTTTTAGTAAGCCGAAAGTAGCTTCTACTCCTATTGCTAAAAAGGTAACTGCTGGCTCTAACAGTGTAAAAAAAAAGTCTGTTGTAATAAAGGCACAGCAAAAATTAACACCTATTGGTAGGAAGCAAAATTCTGCTGGTTATTTTATATTTAAAGAAATGCAGCGTTCAGACTTAGTGATAGAAAATAATTTCAACAGTATTAATAAAAGTGAGAGTGGTCCTGTTAAGAAAAAAAAAATGAATTGATTTGTTTAATGATTGAAAAAACAAAGTTTAATACGCTTTTCCACAAAACTTCCAATGCAATTATTAGATCACTAGACCATAGAGTATTATAATTATTTAGGATTAATTAGGAATTTAAGTGTATTGTTTGGTCAATAAATGGCATATTTTTGTACACACTTATTTTGTATAATTTCAAATACCTAGAGCCTAGAGGATGTGAAAATACTTACTATAAATATAGAACTTTATGTGGCTTTTGAATTTTGGCTTTCTGCAAGTTCAACCATAGCCAAGCATAACATGGCATGGTTCACTTCCATTGCGCAATCAGCGAGGCTGCGGAATGGCTAAAATGGTAACCCCAAAACTAAACTCCTGGGAAGAGGCAAACCTGAGGGGATTACCATCCAAGGATGTCGCTCCCAGAGTAAGTATATCGATGTGGATACCCAAAGAACATCTTGCTGCTGACGACCCGACGAGAACACTCTGTTGTCTAAAAACCCAAAACGAGGGGATAGACGCGGATGACTGGAAGGTGGTCAACATCAAAGTAGAACCAAAAGGCTTCATTCTCGTTGTGGGTATAGATGAGAACTCTCTGAAGGTGCTAACCAAGAAAGACTTTAAACTTTACCTTGGCCTCCATGATGCTAATCTTCAGGGTCCTTCGTCCAAAACCCAAAAATGCTGCCTTCAGATAAATTTTCAGCATAAGAAGGCTGCAACTGCTGCCTTCTGCAAAACCTTCAAGGCAGGGGGCATTGACGTGGCTCCGATCCAAGAACCCTGGACGTCAGGGAACAGAGACATGAATCTAGGCAACATCGGAGGTAAGTTATTCTATAACTCAAACTCAAAGAATGTAAGAAGCTGCATTATTGCAAACAATATTAATGCAAAAAAAATGACAAATTTTTGCTTCATTCAGAGACATGGCAGCAATAAAGCTTGACTACCAAGAAGCTGGGAACTTGACTTCATTATCTCTAATAACCTAGATATTCTGAATCGGGGAACTAAATACTTTTTTAACAAAAAATAGGCAAGAACGTATTGATGTAACTCTGGCGTTTCTCGGAATAAGCTCTGGAGGGTAGATGATGAACTGAGTCTCTCGAATCATAGGTATATTCAAATGGAAATCAAACATATTCATAAACCAGCGCGTGTATATCGCAATCGCAAGTAAATATGACTAAAATCCAAAAATTTTATTTTGTTTTTATGTGTATGTTATAAATCCATACAAGATAATCCTTAATACTATGATTATTTTCTTATTGAGCCTTTATTAAGTCATTATAATAAGCTGTAATGGATATTTGTTTACTGTTCAAAAAGTCCTGTTCGATTTCAACGAGTCCTCCAGGTCCAGCCATTTCGATGAGCTGCAAAAAAATAAATAAATACAAAATTATTTTAAACTACAAAATCATGCTCACAGTATTCGTATTGCAATTTTTTGGTAGGAAAGCTGCGACATTTTTCGAAATTTTTCCAGCGGTAGCAAATAGAGTGGAAAATCCTACTGGCTGAAGCATACTTTCCAAGTCGTAGACTTTTTGATTGCTATAATCCACTCCGCCCCAAGGTGGACTCAAAAATACTGCATCGGCTTTCAAGGATTGCGCCAAATTAAAGAAATCACCAATAATAAACTCGATTTTGTCAGTTACCCCATAAACTTCTGCATTGTTTTTGGCTAATTGGATTTTCTTCGGATCAATATCAATTGCAATAACTTAAAATAAAAATGTTTAAATTCTAGTTATTAAATTCATCGAGTTACCACCTTTATTACACGTCTGAGCGAATTGTATAGCGTTTCCTCCAGCTCCACAAAATGCATCAACAATCAAGTCACAACTACACCTTTGGGCTGCATGTTTTGCTATTATTTCTGGGGTAACTGAATACCAACTTTCTGAAATGAATGAGGGATGATTGCAGGTATCTATAAACTAAAGCTACTTACCTTCATCTAGTTTAATCCCTTCATCAAATTTGCTAAAAAGCGAAAATCTTCGAGACCAAAACTTTTTAATTTTCTTATTCGCCATCATTTCAGGCGGATAAGCAATTTTCTTTTTGCGTTTCCGTTTCCTTTTGGATTTCTCTTCACAAACATTCAAAGCTTCAACATCTGAATCTTTACCTTTTTCAATGTATTCGTTTACAACTTCTTCTACCAAACTACCAGCCGCTTCTACAGCATTTCCATCATCGTCGAAATGAATGTGCTTGGAACTGCCAAAGTTCAATCGCCTGTTTTGGTGTCTGATGTGCCTCATTTTGTATTCGACTTTACCGGTTAGCATTTTTGAATCCGTTTCAAGATATTTTACTCCGATTAGATCCAGAGCTGCTTTTATTTGTTGTTTTCTGGCATCGAAACTTTCATTTTGATGCCTAGAATGAAATAAGAGAATTTAGTTTTCGATTAGGGTTTTCTAAAACAATACAAGATACTACCAGCTATATGCAACATCCTCTTTTAGCTTAAAAGCGCTGTTTAAAACTGCTCACTTTTAAAAAGGTGTATTCTAAACCATACAAATTTTTAAAGGTACCAGTTTTGAGAAGCGCTTTTAAGTGGAAAGAGTATGTTGCATACAGCTGTACAATTTTAATGTTAGTATAAGATGTTTTTGGGTTAGTAAAGCTGTTTAAAAATGTTAGTATTTTTTAGTTGTCCTGTCCTGTTTTCCCCAATAAAACTTCATTACTTATTATTATTATTATTATTACTTTTTTTCGGCTGCATTAGTTTTATTCAATTTTTGGTCATTTTTGCTGCCTCCAAATGATGTGGGAAGTCCCATAGTTGCCATAAGGTCTGCGTCAGCATTTTTGGCATAAAAATAGTCTTCATCTTTGTCTTCGTGTTCACATACACTAATAAATGGAGAAAAATTGCTACACATTTACTTTATCAACAAATTCATCAGAAGATTCTCACAAAACCAACTACAAGATCATTAAGGAATGACAATGAAGCCAGTGAGATACAACAGGAAATACCTTGACCCTTTTCTAATACTCTACAGTGAGGAAAATATCAACTACAATGTCAACTGAGAGGTGACAGTGACCAATTACAATTTTTTCTCAGTGAAATCTGAAATCGCCAAATTCTTTCCAGTAAATGGAAAAAGTTGTGATATAAAACTCTATTACGAGTCAAAACGCAGGCCTAATTGGTTTGATAGAAGTTTCACGATTACACCTTCAATAAATTTCATATACATACATTGAATTTCGAGATTCAGAAGACTGAACCAAAGCAACTTTTTCAGAAATTGCAGTAGAGTGAAAAATTCTCCTCTTGATTAATTCTCAATTTCCCTCCTTATACATATAAGTATACTTACTTTGTTTCATCCATCTCCTGAATTTCTTGCTCACGATCACTTTCTGAATCAACTTCAGTTTCAACCATCAAATTTCCTTCGTTCAACTTACAATCATCCTCGACAAGAGTCTCCGAACTAGTAACCGGCACAATGCCATATTTGACAGCTTCCAAACTGCTCATCTCGACTCGATTCTCAATACAAAACTTATTATACTGATTAATATATTCTTGTTCGTAATGTTTCTTCCAAAGATCGTTCCACAAATCTTGATAGTCTTCTTGTTGGACTGATTCAGAGTTTTCCGAACTAGTCACTGAGCTGACTGAAGAAATGCTGTCGCTACTCGGACTGCTGCCTATGTCCAATGAGCTTACAGTCATACGAGTTACATCAGTTACGTTTGTCATAGAATCAACGGTCCTCAATGATTTGCTGCTTGTGTGAGAGCCGCAGCGTGAGCTTAAAAGCCTTTCGACATCATTTTCACCTTCTAAGCTTAAGGGTGAAAGCGGGTTCCAGCCTTCTGAAATGTCGTTGCATACTTTTTCGTCACTAATTGATAAATATCGAGTTAATATTGGGTTTTTTATTGATTTTTCGTCAAAATTAAAATGTGTAAGATTGTCTTTTTCAGCACCAATAGACTCTGGTGCTTTTCTATTATTAGTATTCAAATAGGTGGGATTTATGTAAGCACTGTATGTTGCAATCCACGATTGCCAAATTAGTTTTTCGCCATTTTGGGCCCAAAATTTGTGCCATTCTGATTCGGAATCGTTTTCATATGCTATTTCAGTTAAATCGGTGCCGCTGTCTGATATATGAAGATCTTTTAGGTGGTTTGCGGATTCTTGGATGTCTCTTAGACTGTCGTGTTCATCAGTGGAAATGTTATCTGTGTGAGAGGCACTGTTGTAGCAGCTCAAATTTTCATGATCAGTCTAAAAAAAATAACAATTCATTTGAATGTTAGGTATTGGGTAAGTTGCTTACTTCATATCTATATGGACTATTATTGCTTAAAGATTTTTGATTGTAAGACTCGGTACTTAACCAATGGTGGTTTTTATTGCTGTGTTCTAGTTTAGCTATGTCTACAACAGAATTCTTTCTAGTGTAATCTTCTGAGCCCTGAAATTTACTTAAATGATACTAAATTTTCAATATAAGTGCTATTTTGCTTACTTCTTCTTCGGTGTCGCTGAGGAGCTTTTCTAAACTTTGGTCCTCAACGTCTTTTTCAAAAGTGAGGTTTTCTTGTTGAACGTTTCTGAAGAAAAAAAAAAAGTTAAGTTGAAAATTTTGAGATTTTGTTGGAGTTTATAGTTACTGAATATTATCTATGATAATGAAGAGTTATATTCTGCTACAGGTTTCACAATCAAAATACATTGATTACTGAATTGAACATAAGATCAATTCAAAGAAATGTTTTCCATGTATCTTTTCTGTCTTCAATCTCCTACCAGAAAAAAAGCATTGAACAAATCTCAAATTAGACTCTACTTTACGTAGATTGGTAATATTTTCTTTAAAGAAGTGCTTAGAAACCAATAATTGAAATTTTGCCTGAAGTGATGAAATTATGTTATAAGAGAACTTCTGAATATCAGCAAGGTTTTCTCCCAAAAATGTTACTTTTAGGCCTCGTCTCAATTCAAAATTTAGTCGACATCTAACGCACTGCTAGTGGGTCACCAGGAAACATAGGCTACTACGATCTATACCAGACGCAGCGTCATCAAAAATTCAATTACCAAACTTTCGATGTGGAGTACCTAGACAACAGATAAAAGTCAGCGATTTATTCTTTTTAAATAATTTTCATTGTTCCTTATGACGTTTGTGAAAGTTACATTTTTTGTATATAAATAGTTGTTAATTGTTTAATAAAAATCAGAATTAATCCCCAATTACTAAACTTCCCGGGTGTACTAACCCAACCTACAAACCACAAGCAACAAACTACCAAGTGTTCTGAGCATCCTCCTGAATTCCAATAAAGAAATTCACATTGGTGCTTCGAGCAAAAAGAAGATGAAGGTTGAAAACCAGCCCTTCCCAACTGTCCTCCCTTCATTCCTATTTTTTAACCTACACACATATACTCGCGACCTTCGGGGTTAACGTTTAGACACTGGTCTAAACACCCACACAAAAATACCTACATCCCTTCCTTGCTGTAGCAAGTGTCTGGTTACAGCATTCAGTTCCTAGTATAGCAAGTACCTTGTCCGGCTATAGCTATACAGTCCTTCCTACATTCTATCAATAATCAAATATACACATACACTCGCGCCCTTCGGGGTTAACGCTTAGACACCAGTCTAAAGCACCTACACATACATTTCTTCCCGTTGTAGCAAGTGCCTTGTCTGGTTGAAGCATCCCATCCTCAACAGAACAGAACAAAGAAATCGGTTCAGATACCAGCAGACAGCAGCAAAAAAGGAGACAAAAAACACCAGGTCCTAAAGTCAAAGTAATAAGAAGAAGCCGGGACATACCTACACAAAGAGGAGAAAAAAAGAACAGATAACCAATAGCAGTAGGCAACATCCAAAATGAAAGCAGCCAATGAACTCATTAAAGCACAAGAAACCTTAGGTTAAAGGTTAAAAAAGTAATTCCATGTGGAGCACATTATTCTTCTTAATTAATTACCATTGTTCATGAGTATTCATGACGTTTGTGAAAGTTGCATTTTTTGTACAGGGTAGTCATTTTATCTTGATATCATTTGAAACTGTCATAATTTCTTTATTTTTGAAGTTATTTAAATAAATAAAAAAACATACTGTAGGGTTGTTTTCCAAGTTTTAGATAGGGTGGACAGAAAACAAAAGACTAATAAATTTTGACAGTTATGCATACAAACAGAATTTTTTTAAATGGAACACCCGGTAAATTTTTAGTTTGTTCGATAATTTGTATCATTCTGATTGCAATATATACAATACAATACAATTGAATACAATCCACTCTATATTTACATGCAGAAATGTTTTATTTATTCTAGCTAAAAATATTGATTACCTGCAAAGGTAGGTAGGTAGACAGAATTTCCCATTAGAATAAATAAAACATTTCTGCATGTAAATATGAAGTAAATTGTATTCAATTGTATTGTATTGCATATATTGCAATCAGAATGAAACAAATTATCGAATAAACTAAAAATTTACCGGGTGTTCCATTTAAAAAAATTCTATCTGTCAAAATATATTAGTCTTTTGTTTTTTGTCCACCCTATCTAAAACTTGGAAAACTTTTTTATTTATTTAAATAACTTCAAAAATAAAGAAATTATGACAGCTTCAAATTTTATCAAGATAAAATGACTACCCTGTACATAAATAGTAAATAATTGTTTAATAAAAATCAGTATTAACACAGTTATTAATCCAACAGTGGTACTTATTCCCCAGTTATCAAACTTCCCGGGTGTACTAACCCAACCTACAAACAACAAACTACCAAGTGTTCTGAGCATCCTCCTAAATTCCAATATCAGGAATTCACAGGCTTAGTTTATTCATCTACAGATAAACTTGCTGGTAGATACCTATTTGCAAGATAAATTCACGTTCTATATAGTTCTATTGGAAGGCGAACAACTGGCCGACCAATGAGATTACAGAGTGTGTTATTATCCCTCAGAGAGTTTATCAGAAGGTGAATAACCCGGCCCTTAGTATTGCAATTTTCTCAAATTGTTCTCAATAATAGGGGAAAAGAACTATGGAACTTTTAAAGCAAAAACATACAAATCAACTCTTTTTATTAATAGATACAAAATAATGATAATTCAAACACTTAAAGACTAAAAATACAAAAACTTAAAAACTAAAAAATTCTCATTCCTCATCTGCAAATCTAAGTTTCCGTTCTTTCTCCATCGCACAAGCCTTCTTCCAACACTGAGCGTCCAAAGTACTTTTTCCCTCCGAAAGACAAATCAATCTTGCCAACACCAACAAACCATGCAGCCCCTCAGCAGTAATATTACTTTGTTGCCGCATATTGACAAAGTCTTGTTGCACCAATTCCAAGACCTGGTCGGTAGTTTCATATTTAATCAATCTGGCTTGAGTTAAATACTTTCTAATAGTATTTAATAGGTGTGGCTTCAAAAAGTCTTTAATGGCTCCTAATGTTTCACTAAACGATTGAATACATTTAGGGTCAGGGTTTAGTGGAACATGAACATCGGAGGGTAACATACTCTTGCCTTCTGAGAAAATCAGAAAAGGTATATCGCAATCATATTCAATAGGGTAAAAGTTGAAATCATAAGACACTGTTTGAGTTTTAATTGCTGTAGCTAGAGCCTTAACGCTTTGAATTCCCGCTGCATCCAGTTTGCCTTCGTTTAATTTAGTTTCATCCAAAACTAGGAATGTGTTTTTGGTCAATTGTAATATACCACTGGTAAGCCTGTTGCATTCGTAATCCTTTTTTGGGGTGAAGCTCAAGTATACTAAAAACTTTGAGTTCTAGAAAACTACATAAAGTATAGAAGTTTTAAGAATATAATAAACTTGCGTGCATAGAAATCGGCCTACTCCTATTACAGGCAAATTTGAAATGTTTAAGGCAAATTTACCCAAAGGCATAAAGTCTTTCCTTAAATAAATCCCAGATATAAGATTACAAATAAGATATTCTGCTGCAAGTGCATCACCCATAAGCAACTGTGTTAGAACAAATAGTAATTCCTTTCGAATTAATTCAAAATTGTCAATCAAAACATCATCAACTAAAGGATTTATGTGTTCTAAAATTTTAAAGTGAACAACATGAATTCTGGGAACTAAACTGCTGGGTGGATGATGAGTTTGAATTTCTAACTGACTTTCCAATAATTCGTCTTCTTCGTTGTCCAGATGATTCATTGAAACGCTTAAAAATCCAACAAATTCACATAAATCGTTAAGTTTTAGTTTGCTTGCTTCCTTGTAGACTTTCATGTGACAAACTTTAGATTTTTCATTTAATAATGGGTGATTTATCAAGTGCTCTGCTGACACTGTTAGTTGAGGTTTCTTGGATTCTTCTGTAGGTTTTGGGGCTTCATCAAGTTTCTTTGATGTCCTAGGAGCTTCACTGGCACTATCCTCCATTACCTCATCTATATTCCGTTTTTTAGCACTCGAATTAGTTTGAGGAGTTGAATTAATGGCATACAACTGTTTTTCCATGTCTTGCACCCATGCATTCACCCCTGGCACTGATGTAACTACATAGCTTTGTCGTTCTCCAAGTTCATTTTGTTCATTGTCCATGTCCAGCTTTTCGCCTTTGTTCAAAACAGCCCCTTCACAATATTTACCGTTTTTTGTGGTTGTTTCATTGGTGATTTCGTTTACAATGGTGAATTTTTCCAGATAATATTCGGTACCGTACATGTCTTGGATCATTCCTCGAAATTTCACCAGTGTACCATCCTTGAAATTGTGGACTTCGTTAACGTTGATTGAAGGGATTTTTTTCCATATTTCGTCGTCCAGTAAAAGGTTGACATTTTCTTTACTGTTTATCCATTCTTGGACGGTAATATTTAGAATATCCATAATAGTTTACTTATTTATTTCTCACTTTTCACAAATCAATTTTTGTTTAAGGACTAGTGAGGTTAGATTTTTTGGCGGCAAACGATGTCAGATTTCACTAATTTCAGTGTTGCCAACAGGAGAAAAGTTGAAGCGCGGTCTTTGCAAGGGTCTTTGAACTTTGAATAAAAATAAATCAATAAAGGAATGAGGAGGAAGCAAAATTTCTTCAAATCAAATAGTAGTAGGAAAAATTATCAAACATAAAATCCAATAAATTGAAAAGGAAACAAAAAAAGGAGACCAATTTCCACAATTTAATTATTTGTTAATGCATTATTAACATATTTTTTTTACTACTAACCTGAGAAATAGACATTATTCAATCTATTTTTCTAAGAAAAAATTGAATTTCTCTCCCTAGGTGAATAATGAAAAAATACCTAGGTCAATAATGAAAATGACGTCATGACGCAAGGATATTGTCATGTTTCTATTGGTCCAATTTCAATTTCATACGTCAATTTAAAAAAAAAAATACAGGTTTCTGTAGGTACATAGGAAGTTATCATAAGCTGTTGATAGAGGGCAGCACTTTCAAGAGGGCGTTCAAAAAAAAATAATTAGAGCGCACATTTTAAACAATTTTTTTATTTTCTACTAGCAGTAGTAAAAAAAAAATCTATATATTCCTCGGTAGAGAAAGTCATTATATACCTCACGCATTATAAACCTCGGCGCTACGCGCTACGAGCGCTTTTATAAAAGCGCTTGGTATATAATGACCAACTTCTCTACCTAGGTATATAATATACTATTAGCACACAGTGCCTTCTTCAATCTGAATTATTCTAATTACTACTCTTCTTTTATCATTTATATCTAATTATAAATAGTATATTATATAAAGTCTGTTTTTTTTTTTAACATAAGAGTCAAAATGACATTATGTTAGCAATACAATGGTCAATGCTTTCAAATTTTTTATGTAGAAAAAGCTTGTGTTGCCAACATAGTCACTAAATTTTTGACTTGAGGAATTATCTTTAAAAAAAAACAGACTTTACCTAGGTAGAGAAGTTGGTCATTATATACCGAGCGCTTTTATAAACCTCGGCTTTTCGCGCCTCGGTAAATAATGACTTTCTCTACCGAGGAATATATAGATTTTTTTTCACTACTGCTAGTAGAAAATAAAAAAATTGTTTAAAATTTGTGCTCTAATTATTTTTTTTTTTGAATGCCCTCTTGAGATTGCTGCCCTCTATCAACAGCTTATGATAACTTCCTATGTATGTACCTACTGACACCTGTATTTTTTTTTCTAAATTGACGTATGAAATTGAAATTGAACCAATAGAAACATGACAATATCCTTGTGTCATGACGTCATTTTCATTATTGACCTAGTATTTTTTTCATTATTTTCATTATTAACCTAGGGAGAGAAATTCAATTTTTTCCTAGAAAAATAGACTATTTCTCAGGTTAGGAGTAAACAATAGTACATTATATTCCTAGGTAGAGAAGTTGGTCATTATATACCGAGCGCTTTTATAAAACGAGGCGCGAAGCGCCGAGGTTTATAATGCGTAAGGTATATAATGACTTTCTCTACCGAGGAATATATAAAAAAATTTTACTACTGCTCAGAAAATAAAAAATAGGTTTCAAATCTGTGCTCAAATTATTTTTTTCCTGTATTTTTTTCTTGTCGAAAGTGCTGCCCTCTATCAACACCTAATGGTAAGTTGATGTACATACAAGAACCTGTTTTTTTTGTAAATTGACAGTTTAAAATTGAAATTTAACCAATAGAAACCTGGTACGTGATGGCAATATCCTTGCATCATGACGTCATTTTCATTATTGACCTAGTTTTTTTTCATTATTTTCATTATTAACCTAGGGAGGGAAATTCAATTTTTTCCTAGAAAAATAGATTGAATAATGACTATTTCTCAGGTTAGTAGTAAAAAAACAAATATATAAACTCACTCAATTATTTACAGGGTCTGTTCCTTATAATTAGTGCAGCTCCTACAACTTAAACAAATGAAAATACAAAAAAAAGTTGTAGAGTTTTATCTCTATTATCTTACCTGCATGGCAAAATAGGCAAATGACAGGTGCCAACTGTCCTATAGGGATGTTCAACCGGCGAAAAATAACCTTTTTCCGGTTAACCGGTTATATTTTACTAAAAAATAACCGGCCCGATTAATCAAAGTAAAATAAACCAGTTATCCGGTTAACCGATTTTTTTAAATTACTGATTTTATAGTGGATGCGCTAAGGTTAATAAAATAAATAAAAAATCCTTGTAAATAGAAAATAGGTTGATAAAACTTGGTACATGATGCAACAGAGACAGAGTTTCATTTTGATCAAGGTTGTTTGAAAGAGGTAAGTTGCCTGGCCTGATAACTCTATGACATCAGCTGGGGTGCCTCCACATAATGCAAATCTCCATAAGGCACCCCAGATGCGTCAGCAAGTTACCCATTACCAGACAACCTATCAACTTGATCCTTGCATTTTGACGATTTTGACTTGACAGTTGTCAATACGTTCGCTTTTTTATTCGGAATAATACAATTACGTCAACACTTTTCTATCTTTATCTAATTTTTACAGTTTAAAAAAGATTCTCCTATTATGTATTCAGTATCAAAACTCAGATTTCTGAAAAAAAATAACCTGCTTCCGGTTATGACGTTTTTGACTGAATAACCGGTTAATTACTGCTAGTGAAATAACCGGTTATAACCACTGATCTCAGTGGTTATAACCGATTAAAGTGAAGTGAATATACCGGTTATTTTTGGACATCCCTACTGTCCTAATGACAGCACTTGCATTATTTTAAATGGAACACGCTGTATATTTTAAGCTAGGATAATAGATTTTTTTCTTCTGATTTCAAATATACCATATATGTCGATATTTGATTCAGCTGTTTTTACGCTATTTAAGTTTAAAAATGCATTTACATTACCCCTCGCATTACCCTAAATTAGGTCTGTTCCCGGTTTCTAATATCAATGATGAGGCTTGCTCAATGCAATTTTAAAATGAAATAGTGCAAAAACAGCTGAACCAAATATCAACACATATGGTATATTTGGAATCTATCATTCTAGCCCAAAATATACAGGGTGTTCTATTTAAAAAAAATTAAGTGGTGTCATTATGACAGTTGGCACCTGTCATTTGCTCATTTTGACATGTGCAAAACATAATAGAGATAAAACCCTACAACTTTTGTATTAAACTTTTTTTTTTTCTTCTTTTGTTCGAGTTGTAGGAGCTGCACTAATTATGAGAAACAGACCCTGTACACTAGAGCTGTGAAACAATAACATTCAAATTAAAATGTCTTCAAACATATTTTCAAGAATTATTAATAAAAGGCATTGAAGCAAAATTAACTTAAACTTATATTGTCATTCAGCAGAAAAGCAAATAAATAATACATTCAGTAAGAAACAAAAATAAAAATAAATTAACAATATTCTAGAAAATTTTACAACTTAATTCTAGACTGTGAAACAGATTATTCCTTGATAATCTCTATGGCAGTTTAAAACAAAAAATGTCATGCCTAACTAAGTCCTTCATCAAAACTAGACAAATTAAACTTAAGTAGATCATTTCGAGCTTGAAAATAGGCAGTATCAGTTAAATCACACGGATCTGGTACAAAAGGCGGAGTCATATTTAACAAATTCGACCAATCAATGTGTTTAAACGCCTCCATTTGCATTACTTCAAATGCTGTGGGTCTTTCTTCAGGATCATGATTTAATAGAGCCAATATAGCATCTACAATGCATGGAGAAAGTGCTTCGTCCTCGGTTGGCCATTCAATATTATTTTCCAAAATATTCCTAAAAACTTGCTGAGGTGTGTCATCGTTATAAGGTGGAATTCCTGTGACAAATTCATAAAAACATACACCTAAAGCCCACCAATCCACTGAATGGTTGTGACCTTTTTTCAAAAGCAGTTCTGGAGCTAAATAATCAGGTGTGCCTAATATTCGTTGATCAGAACTCCATTGGCCTCTTTTCACAGACTTTGGAGTTCTGTAAGGGGTTCTTGGTGTTTTGGGGGTGACATTTTCAATGGGGCTGACATGACTGGAAGGTTCCACAGGCTGTTCTAATTTGTCAGGAGTTGATTTGGGAATTTCAAATCTTGTAGATTTTTTCTTGCAAGATTTTTGACTTGAGACAGGAGTTGAAAATGTGACACCTAAAACCAAAAATGTATTAAACAAATCAAACACTACTAATAAATTACCTCTGGGAGGAGTTGTAGAAATCAATTGATTAACAACTCTTAGAGCCTCCATTTCTCCAGTTAATCCAGTTCTTACATAAGTTTTGCTAGTTTTATTTGGACTAAAACTTCTGTTTTTTCGCTTTCTTTCAGTTTCTCGCCCTTTGTAATACATTCCCAACCGACTAGGTATTTTACGGCTAATAGGAGATGTATTATTTTCACTATTATTAACGTGATCAGTTTCATCTATTTTTAATGAGGATGCTTGAGAGCTTGAACCACATGTGAGATATGAAGAACACTCAGTATTATCAATGGATTTTAGTGGAGTAAGTTGCTCAGCAGAAAAAAAATTTACACCAGATATATTTCCATCTTTGCCAACAGTTGAGGAATCATTTCTTGATGCAGAAATTTCCCCACAGTTGCTTATAGAAGCATTCACATGACTGAAGCACTTTGAATTTCCAGACCCAAAGCTTAAATGCGAAGTCAAACTAAGCACCTGACCAGGAGTACGAGTGTGTAAATTAGTGTTATTTTCAAAATCGGTTATTTCTAAATCTCTATGTATTTGAACTCTGGACAAGCCAAAATCTGTTAGTTTAACATGACCATCTTTGGACAATAGCATGTTATCTGGCTTAATATCTCTGTGAATAATGCTATGCTTATGTAAATATTGTAGGGCTAGGGCAACTTCTGCTACATAAAATGTAGCCATTGGTTCATCAAAGAACCCGTAAACACTTAAAAGGGATTTCAAGTCACCTCCTACCATATATTCCAGAACCAAATAGACACTAGAGACAGTCTGCAAGGAATAGTACAACTGAACACAAAACGGGCTTTTGGCAAGGGCCAGAGCGTTTCTTTCGTTGACAACATGCGTAACCATATTTTTGTTGATCATTTCTGTTTTTTTCATTACTTTAATTGCATACATTGTTTCAGTGTTGGTTTTCTTAGTACCCAGGAACACTTTGCCAAAGGCACCTCGACTTATGGGCTTAATAATCACAAAATCGTTGATATCAGGGGGCTTACAAGAGGAAGTACCGTTTGTAGTTTGCTCCGACGATGCCTCTTGGCAATTACTCATTTTAATTCGATTATTTTTGGTAAATAAAAAGAAAAAACCGTTTAAAACTTTTTGAAATGGCACGAAATGACAGAGAACTGTGTTGTGAAGATGTCACTAGTAGTGGTTTTTAGGTTAGGTTTCGGGTGGCAGATGTTTATAAATATCGATTTTGAATTTATTTTGTGAAGACAGCCTAAGCACACCTAAACAGCTTACCTTAAAAACGTTCTGCTGAACGTACAAACGATTTCTGGGACGTCCTCTTGTTGCTGGAACCTTATCAAAGCCAATATATCACGTTGAACATGAGGCATCATCAAATTTAACCGATTTTTATTGAAATTATTGCTATCGAATGGAATCAAAACAAAAGAGCAAAGAAATTTATTGAGTTTTTGTTTTTTATGTTGGCAGCAGTGATTATAGTATGACATTTGTATATCCAGTGAGGTTTTCATAAGGGGTTTTCTTTCCAATCTAATTTTTACTCTTATGACACTGACTGAACCTTATCTTCCGATATGTTACATCGCATTAGTAAAGTTGTACTGAAGCTTTCAATTGTACCATTTTGAACCAAACAAATCACTTGTGGCAAATTGGATCGATACGATCATGTTAAACAAATAAGCACCAGAGCCGCCTTCTTTGGAGCTAATCGTTCGGAGTAACTCCTAAAAAGAACGCTTTTTCAAATCCAAGTACTCCATGTGCATGAGGTCACAAGCCCCAATCAGTGAGGCGTAAGAGCCGTTTTACACGGCAAAGTTTCTTCACGAAATTGTTACCGAAATATTTCGTAAGTCAACTTTTCCTGTTTTAAGCCTAGTACTCATAACTGCGAAATTCGCATTTTTTTGACAATTTGACGTTTTATGCGTGTATCAAACGTCAATTTAACGAAGCAATGTCAAGAAAATGCGAATTTCGCAGTTATGAGTACTAGGCTTTAGAAGCTCCAAGACTCGAATACACCTTAAAGGTACTGGATCGCGTTTCAGTGTTATCAACACAGACAACTCCGAAAGGTGTTGAGTTGAATATTTGCATAGCATGAAATATAGCAAGCAAACCAGTGCAACAGTGATTCGACACGCGTTCCAAAGTGTCGGTTCGAACAACACGAGCAGTTTTTGAAATTTCAATCAAACCTTTAAATATGAATATATACAGGGTGAGTCCGAAATAAGTGCGCATTTTGTTATGAAAGATAGAGTATAGTACGACAATCACTTTTTGTATAGGAACATGTGTCCGCAAACGTCTCGTTAAGAAAATACAGAGTGTTGACATTTTCAAAAAATTTAATCGACCTGTAGAAGAAAAAGACAGAAATAGAAAAAATTGCACTAGTTCCGCACTAGGTCTACCAATCGGAAACGCCATTAGAAAGTTTTTTCAGGTAATGACCAACATGAAATCAGGGACATAAAAAGTCTCTGTTTGGGAATGTCCCTGATTTCACGTTGGTCATTACCTGAAAAAACTTTCTCACTATTTTCATTGCCAACAATGCCAACGAAAGCTTAGACCAATCAGTGTAGTTCAACGTCGGTAAGGGTATTTGCCCTCGGAGTAGTTGTTTCTGACTGGCCAACGAAGTTCGATAAACTTCATTGTTGTTTAGTTTCCGGTGTCATGTGAACAAAGTGGAGTATATCGAACAACGGTACTATAGCTGGGTTCGGCTTGCACACTCCGTGCACTCCGAGTGACTCCGTTCGCACTCCAGCCGTTGTATTGACGTGTCTCGCAGAAATAGAAAAATGACATGCGCGCGCAACTCGTGGCTGCAGTGTAGCCAGATTGTATTGTTGCAGAACAAATGTAGACAATACAAATCGAACATTATAGGTCTGTTCCCACAGGAGTGTCTGACAGTTTGCAAACTGTCAGTAAGCATCGCCCATACATGTTTTCAATGCTGTCGTTACAAGATAAATCTGTAACTCAGCTGAGCGATTGTTTCTGACAGGTTGCAAACTATCAGAGACTCCTGTGGGAACAGACCTCATCAAAGAAGTGATATATTGTCAAGTGCTTTACAATGCCTTGAGGGCGGGTATCATAAAACTGCTTTGACAGTTAACTTGAAGTTAACTTTTTGAATTATAAAATCTGTTTTTTTTTTTAAAGATAAAAGTCAAAATGACATTATGTTGGCAATACAATGTAAAATTGTCAATGCTTTAAAATTTTTATGTAGAAAAGGCTTGTGTTGCCAACATAGTTACTAAATTTTTGACTTGGGGAAAAACAAACTTTATGTAATTTTAGAAGTTAACTTGTAGTCCCTATCAGACAAAAGAAGAACTTTGAAGTGTGAAGCTACATCCTCAATCAATCTGGTAGCGAAGTGGCACTTCGGCACGCGTGCTGGGAAATTGATACCCATCCTCAATGCTGTCAATTTTCAGTCTGCTCTGCGTGTAGTACGGTCACGAACCGTGCGTTCGGTATTTTGATCTGAGTTCTCCGAGCATGAATTTACCGTTCGTGTATTTAAAAAGTGTACTCGGTGCAGACTCATTCACGTTCGTTTAATAAAATTTCGAGCCCTCTGATACAGCGTTTAACTGCTCTGTGCGCTCGCTGGTCACGTGATTACAGCTCCGCTCTGCTCTTCGAGCAAAATACCGAACGCAAGGATAACCTGAATTATTTTTTTCTGTACTGCGCATGACACAAGTCAGCACGCGTCGAAAAAACTTGCAGCTTGCAAGCTTGCACTTCGGAGTTCGGAGTCGGCGTGCATGCTAGCACGGAATTGAATTCATCATATTAGTTAGGTTAGAATCGCAAATTGGCGCGGGTTCCTAGTTCAAAAATTAATACATTGATGTCAAATAGTTTTTTTAATATGTTAATTAACTGAGAGAGTGTTTGAAAGTTGAATAAACATTGTTAAAATTAAAATATTACCAATTTAAGAAGCCGATGTTTGTATAAAATACGTATGTCGTTGCTTGATCCATAAGTATATATGAGTACCTAATTATAATAAAATAAAAGTTTACCTACATACTTGGTTAGTAAATGTACTTCAATAATCCAAAAAAATTGAAAAATAAATGACTGAACTAGTGATAAATAAATAAATAAACAATTCACCAACAATCATAACACAACACACAACCTCACTTTCTCTCAGCTGGTTTTAGACCCGACGTACGTCCACCGAAAACAGACACTTTTAATTAAAAACATTTGTATTTTTAATTCATAGGTCTAAAAAAACAATTAGAGCATGAATTATAGAGAAATATGTTCAAAGTTTGATGTACAATAGGTTCCAATACTGAGAAATGCCCAGAACCCAAGATATTCCCGTCTGAAAATCACTCTTTTGAATCCCCCATAAGAAATACATTGCTGTCAAATTTGTTGAAATGTGTTTAGGAACCCATTTTAAATTTCGCGCCCGATTTTTCCTAACCTAACTAATATGGTCAATTGAGGATGCCAACGTTAAACAACATTGTCCTAGCATGCGTGCCGAAGTGCCACTTCGCTACCAGATTGATTGAGGATGAGCCTTATGTTAACATCGATGGCACGTTTATTTTGATAAATGTTTCATTCGGCAACATCGCACAATGAAATGGCAGCAAATATCCAGTTTAGTTCCCCAAAATTTTGTAGAGGGCGCAAGTGAACTTGGAGTGCTTTGAATTTTGGCGGTAAATGTCAATAGTTCTAAACCGTCAGCTTGTCTTGAAACCACATATCAAACTTGACTTTTGAGGTTAAAATTACATTCGATTATTCACGCGCCAAAATTTGAAGAGCTCCAAGTACAGAAGCGCCCTCTTCAACTCAACTGTCAATATTACATGCCATTGCAAAGGAATATGTCAAGTATAATCAAACATACCTTCAGTGATGTGCCTGTAGACAATGTCAACGTAAACAATTGATTGTCTACGTGTAGACAATTCGAATTGTTTACGTGGGTATTTGTCTACACATTGTCTACATGTGACGTAAACACTTATTTTAGAAAATTTAAAAAAAAGTTCCAAAATTACTACTACTTACCTAAGTAGCTTATACCTATCACTTTGATATTAGCATTCACTGATTATAAATATGAGGAAAACCGATATATAATAAAATAAAAATAATTTTCGAAAAGGAAAGTGTGAGGTTAGAATTAAACGTCATTTATATTATTTTACATTGTTGACGCGTTGTCTACATTGTCTACATTGTCTACACGTAAAGTAGACCATGAAAGTCTACGTGTAGACGCACATCCCTGCATACCTTAAACGACACTGCGATAAGTTCAAGTAATATGTAAACTATTAGTTTGCTCTTTGTCGAATCACACGTTACAAAGAAAGAAGGAACGATTAATTCTGAACTCGTCCCTGAATACGAATATGACGCAAGCCCTTAACAAACTCGATTTTTATTGGGCGCTCACCTGCAACCCACGAGTTGCGCGCGCGCACCAGGTATTACGAGACACGTCATTTTTAATTTGTCAAAAAGCCCAGGAGTGTAACACTTTTTTCTTTTAAAAAAGTATAAAAGTTGCTCTAGGTCCGGTCCTGGAAAAGTGGAACTTAAGCGGATTTTTCAGGAAGATGCTTGAGATCATTGCAAACACTCTCTGGAAATTTGAACAAAATCGCTCAAGGCATTTTGAATCTAAAGACAAAAAGTCAAAAATTTCCGAAAATTTCAACACTGTATTTTTTTAACGAAGCGTTTGCGGACACATGTACCCATGCAAAAAGTGCTTGTCTTACTGATGTACTCTATCTACCATAACAAAATGCGCACTCATTTCGGACTCACCCTGTAGAATTTAAATGGACATTCATCAAAAAAAATTGAAAACAACGTATTTGATGGAATCATTGCAATTGGCACAAACTCTTTCAACGTCCCTCGTATTAAGTCATAATTCTTACCGGAGGACGCGGTAGCGGTTCCCGATTTGGCATTTCGGTGGCATGCCGAAATGTGGGAGCTCTTTCGGAATTGGGCATTTTGCAGTACATAAAATATTCTCATATATTATTATCCAATCTCGTATAACAGGGTCTCCTAACTCAAGTACCTATCTGGCACAATGAAGTAGAAAGAAGGTTTGGAATGGGCTTTGCTTCAATCAATTGATTCCAGAATGAGATACCTAGGAAAAAAAAAGGCAAAAAATCTATTGGATATATCTCCTATATCTCTCACTCTAACCCTGAGTGAGATAGCGCTAGTAAGGGCAGGAAAATATCACGGATCTCTCTTGTTCTCTCACTTTAATGTTGGCCGCAAATATATGCATTGAGTAGATAGGCAAAGGGCTATT